GTTTGCTCCAATTCAGTGCTAAACAGGTCTTCCTGAAACATTATAAACTGAGAGCATTTGCAGATGACTTAGTATTGACGTTACAGGAGCCAGAATCTAGTACAAAAAGGGTTTTAGAACTGATTCAAGAATTTGGTCAAGTGGCAGGATTTAAATTGAACAAGTCAAAAACCAAGGTTCTAGAGAAAAATTTAACACCGTTTGAAAAAGAGAGGTTTCAGAATGAGACAGGTTTAACAGTGGTTAAGAAAGTTAAATACCTGGGGATTAACATGACAGAAAAAAATGGGAATTTATTTAAAGATAATTATGAAAATGTTGGTCAGAAGTGAAAAAGATTTAGAAATTTGGTCAAATTTGAAGCTTTCACTGCTAGGCCGTATTACTGTGATAAAGATGAATGTATTGCCTAGAATGTTGTTCTTGTTTCAAACTTTGCAGATCGTGGACAAAATGGATTGTTTCAAGAGGTGGCAGAAAGATATCTCTAAATTTGTCTGGCAGGGCAAGAAGCCTAGAATAAAATTTAAAATACTAACAGATGCAAAGGAAAGAGGTGGATTTGCCCTGCCAGACCTCAAACTTTATTATGAATCAGCAGCCTTTTGCTGGTTGAAAGAATGGCTACTTCTTGAAAACACTGACATTTTGGACTTGGAAGGTTTCAATAATGTATTTGGATGGCATGCATATTTATGGTATGATAAGGTCAAAGCACATAAAGCATTAAAAACCACATTGTCAGGAAAGCGCTATTTAATGTTTGGTTAAGATATAAGGATTTGTTAGAAAACAAAACCCCAAGGTGGCTGTCACCAATGGAAGCAAAAGCCTTGAAAAAGGTCAATATGGAGGTCAAATGGCCGAAATATTGGGAAATTTTGGAACAAGACGGAAATAGACTGAAATTGCAGAGTTTTGAAAAACTAAAAAACAAAGTGCGAGACTGGCTTCATTATTATCAGATAATGGAGGCATTTAAATTGGACAGGAAAATTGGCTTCCAGGTGGAAAGATCCAAATTAGAAACAGAATTGTTAGAACCCAAAACTAAGAATTTGTCAAGAATGTATAACTTGCTGCTGAAATGGAATACTCAAGATGAAACGGTAAAATCGGCTATGATTAAATGGGCACAGGACGTTGGACATAACATTATGTTTGCTGACTGGGAACAGTTATGGACCACAGGTATGAAATTTACGGCATGTAATGCCTTAAGAGAGAATATTATGAAAATGATATACAGGTGGTACATAACCCCAGTCAAGCTTGCGAAAATCTATCACTTGCCCGATAACAAATGCTGGAAATGTAAAGAAATTGAAGGTACATTTTTCACCTTTGGTGGACGTGCCCAAAGATTAAGGTCTTCTGGGAAATGATATATAATGAATTAAAAAAGGTATTTAAGTATACCTTCCCTAAGAAACCAGAGGCCTTTCTCCTGGGTATAGTCGGCCAAATGGTGTTAAAAAAGGATAGAACTTTCTTTATGTATGCAACAACAGCAGCAAGAATACTCATCGCAAAGTATTGGAAGACACAAGAACTTCCCACGCTGGAGGAATGGCAGATGAAATTTATGGACTATATGGAATTGGCGGAAATGACTGGCAGAATCCGTGACCAGGGAGAAGAGTCGATGGAGGAAGACTGGAAGAAATTCAAAGACTATCTTCAGAAACACTGCAAAATTAAGGAATGTTAGAGTGATGTTGGATTGAAAATAAGTGGTTTCCAGCTGTACAGGTTAAAGTTAAGGATAGATTAAGATTAAAGATTAATATTAAAGATGTTTAAAGAAATGGAAATTTGATAATAAAAGGGAAAAATTTAAAGCTATATGATATTAAGAGTAAGGATTAGGTTTAAAAAAGTTGAAGTTATATATTTTAACATTTTATTAAATTAAAGATTGGGATTAAAAAAGTGGAAAAGAAACTGCTGGACAAATAATGTGGATTGGAACACAAAAGAGGGAGGTATGAGGAAGTCCAGAAAATAAGTAATTTAAAATTGGAAATGGAAAAGAGAGTTTGTTTTTTAATTGTTATGTTTTGTGTTTTTATTGTTAAGTTTTGTATTGTTTTTTGTGTGTGTTGTTTTTCTTTTTTCTTTGTTTAAAACCTTAATAAAAAATTATTAAAAAAACAAAAATAAACAGGTCTTCCTGGGGAAAGTGGTGGTGCAGATGGAAAAGTGCTCTCCACGTAGGCCAGAGCTTTCCAAACTGCGCGTCACAACATGTTCGTGCTTTGGCGTCTAGGTGTGTCGTGCGAACGCTCCCCACTCTCCTCCCAGGGCTGGACAGGGGTTAGTTTAATCTCTGGTTTTCTAGTAAAACTGAATGACTGTGTCACGAAATGACGCATGTCTAAAAAGTGTGTTGCCAACATGAAAAGTTTGGAAAGCTTTGATGTGGGCTATGGTCTGCATCCTGTTGAGGCAGCCATGCTTCCGAATGCCAGTTGATGGAAACCACTGGAGGGAAAAGGACTCTTGAGCTCAGATCCTGTTTGCGGGTTTCCCATAATAGGCACCTGGGTTGGCCACTGTGAGAACAGGAGGCTGGACTGGATGAACCATAGGCCTGATCCAGAAGGTTCTTATGGGTCAGAGGCTCCCAAATATGCTAGACAAATTCATGGAGAAGGGAGGTCATTCAGTGGCTACTAGGTAAAGGGACCCCTGACCGTTAGGTCCAGTCGCGGACGACTCTGGGGTTGTGGCGCTCACCTCGCTTTACTGGCCGAGGGAGCCAGCGCACAGCTTCCGGGTCATGTGGCCAGCATGATTAAGCCGCTTCTGGCGAACCAGAGCAGCGCATGGAAACGTCATTTACTTTCCCGCCAGAGTGGTACCTCTTTATCTACTTGCACTGGCGTGCTTTCAAGCTGCTAGGTTGGCAGGAGCTGGGACTGAGCAACGGGAGCTCACCCCGTCGCGGGAATTCGAACCGCCGACCTTCCGACCAGCAAGCCCAAGCTCAGTGGTTTAGACCACAGCGCCACCCGTGTCCCTAGTGGCTATGAGTCACAACTAAATGGAACCTCCATTATCAGGAGCAGCATATCTGGTTGATGCCGGGGACTGAGACATGTTCTGCATGCAGAAGGGGCCCAGGCTCAGCCTTTGACCTCCATAGGCCAGGACCCCCCATGTGGTAGCCTCCTGACATTTTAAGACTACAACTCCCAGCAGCCTCAGCACCACGTGGGTGTGCAATGCGGGGAGGAGGTAGCAGCATGGCTCAGAACTGTCCTCCAAAGCACCTGAAGGGCACCAAGTCTGGGGAGGTAAGGCTGGAGTAGACGATGGTGGCCTCATCCATATAAAGGCAGAGTCATGAATCCATTGTTTAGGTTCAGCTGGCTACAGCTATGGGTGCTGTTTGTTCTTCCGAGGGGCCAGCGTTCCTCTCTGCGGCAGCGAGGGGCTGTGGAAGGACTGGTTGCTATTTGTTTTTAGGACGACCTTGATTATATTCCCTTTGATGTGTATTTTGAGCCTCCCTTCGGACCAGCTCAGCGTCACAGGGCCACTCGGATTGTTTGCTCCAGCGGAAAAGCATCTCCTCCCCTCGCACTGCAGAGACGCAACAGGAACAAGACGTGGCAGCACAGCTGCCGGACATTTATCTGAATGCCAGTCCCCAGAGAAGCCGGCGCTTGGGTGGCTCCTTTTATAGCTCAAGTGAGAACACTCCACTCGCGTGTGCGTGGGCTTCCGTTTAAAAATGGAGCAGGGCAGATTCAGCAGCAAAACAAGAGGCAGCATTTTAATTTGGGCCCTTAAAGCATGTCTCTGCTAATGCTGGTACTCACATTTATTTTCACTTCAACTCATCCAGCTATTTTAATCTTTTTACACACACTGCTAGCAAGAAGACAAATGAGCTTGGGAAATCAGAGTGGGCGACACACGGGGTTGGACTAGATGACCCTTAGGATCCCTTCCAACTCTACAATTCTATGATAAAAGGCGTGAGCTTCAGGATGTTGGGGGATGAACATCACCCAGGAAGTTCCCTAACTTATCAAAGATTTAAGTCATTTGTGTCATTCATTTAGAGAGGTGTGCAAAAAAAGGTAACAGACCCCTGGATTGTTAAATCCAGTCTAATTCAACTATGGGGTGCAGCGCTCAACTTGCCCTTCGGGCTGAGGGAGCCGGTGTTTGTCCATAGACAGCTTTTCCGGGTCATGTCACCAGCAGGACTAAACCGCTTCTGCAGCAACGGGACACCTTGACAATTGCCAGAGTGCACAGAAATGCTGATTAATTTCCTGCCGCAGTGGTACCTATTTATCTAGTCACACTGGTGGGCTTTTGAACTGCTAGGTTGGCAGAAGCTGGGACAGAGCAACGGGAGCTCACCCTGTCATGCGGATTCAAACTGCTGACTTTCCTATCAGCAAGCCCACGAGGCTCAGTGGTTTAGAGCACAGCGCCACCCGTTCCCTCTGCAGTGCAAAAACAAACACATGCATGCAAAACTGAGTGGTGCAGCAGTTAAGAGAGTGTCAGACTAGGACCTGATAGAGAGCAGGGTTCCAATCCCCACTCAGACATGAAGCTCACTCCAGGGTTGCTGTGGGAATAAAATGGGGAGGAGAACCACATATGCCACCTTGAGCTGCTTGGAGAAAATGTATAAATGCCATATAAACAAGCAACCAACAGTGATCTCACCAGTAGAGAGACACGCTGTCACCTCTGTAAAACAAAACTCTGGGCAGGAAGTTTGTGATCAGAACAGAGCCTCCAAGATGGGGCGTGAGGGAGAAACAGCTGTGTTCTAACTGTTCAACTGAGCAGCAGGCTTTATTTCACTGACTAGATTCTGCACTGTCCAAAGGAAGAGTGTGGACAGGGAATGTTGGTTAAGTGTCTACTGTTAATTATTAGGTTTTGGGGCAGGGGGAGATACACCATTTTAGAGCTGCTCCAGTTCATTTGAGACACCTCAGAGGGAGACTCTGGCAGCCACCCCCAAAGACCACAAGGTACAGTTACAAGTTTCCTACATGTCTGTTATTTTATTACTTGGAAACGATTTCCCAGGTAGGACCGAGGCATCTAGTCAACTGCAAAGACAACATTCACTCAACAACTGAGAACAGCAAACATGCTTCAGTTACTGCGCCCTGGACCATGAACTAGTCTTTCGTGTCCAAAGTCACTTCTGCAGTAACTCAGACCTAAACCTAGTTTCTGCAAGCTGCCTTTCGGAGTGGTGCCTGGTCGCGTCAGGAAAGGCTCCCTCGTTCTTCAGAGCTGGAATGCTTTCAGGTCAGCTGCCTTGGCCACGACTGCGCCAGGGGAAAAAGGAAGCGGGTGCAACTGTCCCACCCAAGGAGCGCTGTTTGTTTAAGTCTGAAACCAGGAATGTCCTTCCTCAAGCAAATGGCAGGCTGCAAATGGAATGACCCCCTTTTTTGCACTTCCTCTCTCGGGGGCCATGTGCCAACAGTTTAAAATATATATTTTTTAAAAAATCTCCCACACCAACTAGGGCTTCAAAAGTTGTGGTTCAGGCAGAGAAATGTTATGGGATGCAACTGAGCTGTCTTCTGTGGCAAAGGAGAAGCAAGCAGGCGCACACACCTGCCGATGCCTCCATCTTCCACCCCCAACTGCTACATAAAGGCAGCCTTGGCCCACCTGGGGCCCACCTCAGTGTTTTGGACTACAACTCCTATCATCCCCTGCCATCAAAGCAGTGCTGGCGGGGAATGATGGGAGTTCAAAACACCCGGAAGGCCCAGGGTGGGCCAAGGCTGGATACCTCTGGGGATACAGGAGTGGGGAAGAGGGTTGCTTACTGACCAGGAACTGACTCTGAAAACCTTATCTCCCCCCACCCCTCCAAACCCTGCCATATTTTTTACGCATGAAAACACAACGCAAAAAGGAAAACAACAACAGCAACAACAACGGGGCAGAGGGCTTCTTGAACATGGCATGAAGCCGGAGATCCAAGGCAGACAACTAGGAACTGGGGCAGTCCAAGGCCCACTTTGCCCTGGAACTTACTGAAAGCTTTAAAAAGTTTAAAAACAGCATTACTCTAATGACCTGGGACCGACCACCTTCAGCCAAAACACACATTTGGAAACCCAAGCTCTCAATCGTTTCACCATATATTTGAATGGTACTGAGGTTGCAGCCCACCTTAGATCAGGCCGTGACCAAGTGCTGGGTTCAAGGCTCTAAAGGGAGTTGGAGGCAATGACAAGCCACTTTCAGAGACAGGCAGGACCTGGCTAAAGAGAGCGGCTGTAAGCCAGTCTCAATGTTTCCCAAACGCATCGTTGGTCCTTTACAAGCACTATGCACCATAAGATTTGGGAGAGATGCCCCGGGTTTTTTTAGAAGCCGACTAGAGCTGAGCACAGAGCTTTCATGTGTTCATCTAGATAAACCGAACACCTACGAGGAAAAACTGCCTGGGATGGCTAAAAGCGGCCTAATCTTGAGCATGAAATGCCCCATGTCTGCTCTGTGAGGAAACAATGAGGAAATAAATACACTCAGGCTGTACTTAAAAGGGCAGAAAGCAAGCTGCTGGCCCCAAGGTGGAAAACCTTCAAGAGGAGAATGGTGTGCGCCGTAGAAAAAGAGCAAGTGGCCGCAGAGGAAGAGAGAGACATAGAAATGCTAACTGCATTCACAGTGTCACTGGCCTTTGTGGTCTGCCACAGGAAGCTGCTCAAAGAGTCAAAGCCTCTTCTAGAATACTGTGAGGAGTAATAAACTTTCAGTTGAGGATATAGAAAAAAGGCACCTGGGCAGAGAAATCAAGGACTGAGCCCAGCCCTCGGAAAAACCTGCTAGAGTTCTTATCCTTAATTTTGCAATCTACTTACAAGTATTAGTTTGCAAGGACAAGTTAGAAGGTGACCGAACAGCTGACTTCACAACCTGCCTTTCCCCCTTGCATATGATTCGCACCCCTTAGACTCAAAGTCAACAAAGTTTGGGACACGGCATCTCCCAACTCCTTCATGGGTTATAAAAGCAGGAGCAACAAGGGGGTGGGGCGACTATCACATAAAACGGGGGAAGAAACAATACCCAGAGGCCAAGCCAAGCCAACCAATGTTACGTTAGGCTGGGGGACAAAGGACTGTTTTTGGGGTGCCCAGAGGGTTTGGGGCTCCTTCCCGGTTGGACAGCAGACCCCACCCAAGTCATTGACAAACGGCTTTGGCAGCACCCCTCGGTGGTTGTGCTGGAGGCAGCTGGCCAAGAGACGCAGGCCCCTTCCTGAGCATGCGAAATTAGCTACATCCTTCGAATCTCCCTGCTTATTTCAGAGGCCTGTTTCAGACACAGCTGCAGATTCCTTTTTTGCATTCTGAAGAGCGGAGCTACTTTGAGAGGAGTACCCTCTTGTTAGCACTGGAGGAGAGCAGAAGGCATGTCTGAAGACTCCTCTTCCCGGACTGCCTCTGCATGACGAGGAAGGAATGCGTACACAGAGAAGCCTCATCGGGGACAGTTCAGGGAAACTTCCTCCAGCACTGCAGGCTGGCCATCAGAAACAACTCATGTGGATACTGACAGAAAGCCGTGTGTGTAACTTGCCCTTCTGCACTGCCCGGCCCAGCCCAAGGCTGCCACCTCCATTGCTTCAAATATCAAACTTTATCAAAGACTTGCTAAATCAAAATGTGGTTGCGCGCCCCCCTTCCCGCACTTCAAACTGTTCCATGTCTGTTCTCTTGAAGGAGAGGAAAAGGAGAACTCCCTCTCCCTCCCCTTTGAATGTCAAGTAGTAACTCAGGAAATCCAGAAAGGGAGCCAGCTGGAATTAGTAGCTACGACTGCTCTGCTCCAGCGCGGGCAACGGGGTTTGCAGTACGCTGCCTCAGTGCATTCGGTGGTTCTCTGGGCTCCACCTCGGCATCGGAAAGATCATCTTCCTCCAGTCCTTCACCCGCTTTTTGCAAGAGCTGAGTAGACTCCGGTGGCTTTTCTGAAAAGAAAATATACTTTTACCTCTGGGCAAAGATGACCTGCTCAGGCCTACAGGGGATCCAGGCTTGGAGCTTTGCCCAAGTACTGGGACCTCCATTTTTCAAAACCACAAATAAACACCAGGAATTTCTGTTTCATTAATGGACCTGTCTTTTTACCAGCAACCTTAAGCAAAATGCACTAAAATTAATCATAGACATAAAAAGAAGCATTGAGGTAGCTTTCTTTTCGTTTTTGGAGCACTTTAAAAGTTTTGAAACCATTCTACAAGCCTTGGCTGAGTGAAACTAGTGTCCCAGACAAATGAACGTCCGTGGAAGGACAGCCCACCAGCTCCTGAGGCCGTCTCTGATCTTCCATTGTTTGTCCCACAGCTCTAAACTATGAGGCAGTTTCTCCAAACAGCTCAGCCAAAATCTGCTTGCCTCAAATGTCCACCTACTGATTCCAGCCCTGGCCATTGGCACAGGGCAACTAAGGAACCAAGCCATTATCCAGCAGCAATTATTACATCCATTTTGTAACTATGATTCTCATGCTGTATATTTGGAGCATGGGGTGTGTTTGAGTAAGGCCACTATCAAGAAAAAGGTTCTTTCGCTTAGACCTCTGAAATGTTCTTTCTCGGTAACTGGGATGAGCTCATCAGTCGGGAGCACCTTTGTCAACTTGTGCTACTGTGCTCCGAGACAGGAGACTGGGCCTGCCAAATGAGAATTGGCTTCAGCTCTGAGAATGTGAGTAAGCCTGCGTCCAGGAGCTTCTGGCTTCTCTAAGCCTTCTGGTGGGCTCAGGGGGGCACCCCCTAGTTGCTTCTTCTACCTGTTTCTACCTGGGATACAGTATTTCCTGTGCTATGGAACATCAGCTTTTGGGTCCTTGCTCTCTGCTGCTGTTCTTCAGATCCCCGGATGTTCTGGGACTACAACTTGCATCATCCTTAGTCAGGGATGACAGGAGTTGCGACCCAACCTCAGTTTGCAACTCAAGACACGCAATAGGGCTTACTTTGATAATGGTGCTGCAGTGGTCTGTGCTTTTTGGAAGGGCAAATACAGTCTGCCAGAAATACCATTATCTGGAAAAGAAAAATTCTTTGTTTTAACACTGTATTATTGCTTCGTGTGTGATGTGAGATGTGACCTTCAAAGTTTCCAAGACATACGAAAACATCTACTTACAAGCCCCAAAAGGAGTCCCGAAAACAACGTTGCAAATGCAAAAATGGCATAGGATCCCCAGGCTGGGATGCCAAGGTTTTCTGTGAAATAGTTGTGGCAGTTCTACAAGAGAAGGAAGCTGGTTAGGGCAGAGGGTCACCAAACCTTTGGTGTGTATGAATTTTTGAGCTCATGCCACCCCCTCTGATCACATATCCCCCTCCCACCCACAAAACCCCCAGAAAGATAGAAATTGCACACTTTTCCAAGGGACCTCGGTATAAGACAGACCCAGCAGAACTGCTCTTGAGCACAGAGAGGTGAATGAGGAAGTGGAAAGAGTGTGTCTCTTCCAACTTCCTCCTTCAGGTCTATGCACTTTTCTACAATAGAAAGGATAACCTCCCTCACCGGTTCAGAAGCAAGGGGTCAGTAAAAGGGGAGGAGGGCCCAGAGGCTTGGTGGGCGGCAGGGGAAGACCTCCTCAAGGTGGCAGTTGTGCCCACAGGAGCTATACTGGCAACCCCTGGGTCACCAAGGTAGACACTCAAGTGTCTTTGGCTCAAAGGGAGATTTGAAACACACACATACCCTGATCCACATAGATAGCTGGAACAAGGCAGACATGCTGCTCATCCTGCCAAAAAAAAAAAAAAAAAGCAGAAGAGATAAAACAAAGGCCTTTTCTGCAATCAAAGAAGGCAACAAAACACCAAGTGTTCTTCACTCCCGTTGGGGCACTAATGAAACCTTTGTTCGGAATGCCTGATGTTTTCTCTGCCATACTTGGGATTCTGATGCTGGATGTTTGCTAGAGAAAGTGTGCGTGTGGCACAACTGCAACATCCTTCTCGTCTCAAAATTCACTTTTTAACATTCTGTAACCTCCTCTGGACATGGTTTCCTTGGCTCCACCATCAATCTTTCTTCTCCTCACACAGAGTTAAAGGAGGCTTTTGACCAAGACCAGATTGATTAAGAAGGCTGTAAAAAAGGCCCTAGTCTAGAGCACATGATTTTCATAATATGGTTATGGAGAAGGGTAATTTTTGCTGGGAAAGTTAGCAGCTTAAAGAAGCCTCTTTAAGCAGCCTGGCCTAGGCTGACCTGCAATTTCCACAAGGTGATACTGGTTTGACCACACTATCAATGCTGAAATAAGTAAGTTTATTAAGTAGTCCACCAAGACCCTCCAGCAATTTTCAAGGTGACTGAATATTTAAAAGAAATGATCTTAAGAGAAAATTCAGTCATTTGCTTTTATTTACTGATTTTTGCAGAAGCCTATTAGGGAGGAGAAAGAGACTTTAATTGTCACTTACAGGAAGGAAGATGGACCAAACCATGAAGAAATGGGCTCAGTGGACTTCCACTCCTGGTCGCTGATGAAATTTATGAAATCCGTTTTAGTCCGTGGACCTTGGTATCGTCTGAATTCACCATCTTTACAGCTGATCAAAGGAAGAGTCCTGTCAGTAACTCAAAAATTCCACATATGTGAAACTATGGAGAAGACTGCTGGACTCATATGCTAAGGCTGAGCGTTGGTACAAACACAAGAACTCATTGTCAGCCTTATTCCCCAATGATTCTGGCATTCTCTCCCGCCCGCCCCCCACCTTTGTCCAAAGAAGACAGAGAGAAGTCCAGTATTATTGTTCCAGTTAGAACTGGGGGTGAGGAATGAAGAACTAAGGACTCCCACCACCCCCAATAAAAAACCTGTCACATTTAATTAGAGTACTTACTGGTAGATGGTGGGGAGTGCTGTTATGATAAACCGTCCACTCAGTCCTGCAGAAAGATCCAGAAGGAAAATCAGAGCTAAAAGTTTGTTAGAAGTAAGGGTTTTTTCTATGCTGTCAATATGTATTGCTGCTAAAGGCTTGTTAAGTCTTATTTTCCCAAATTGCACATATTTTGTGTAACCCTTGAACTGTGTACTCTTAAGCCTTCTACAACTCGCATAAGATACTCATGTAGCAATCAACTCCCCAACCCCATGTAACATATGACCAATACTCGGACCCCAAATGGACAGGCCTTGCTCTACAAAAGCTATTCATCTTGAATAGTGACTTGAATATTTTTGCAGCAGCAACACACACGCATGCATGCTAGCAGGACATAATTAAGGTGGTGTACTGTTAGTTAATACAGTAGCAGGTTTTTAAAAAACACTTGTAATATTAAAGAGAATGTTTAAATTTAGAAACAATTAAAGGTAAGGAAACCATTGACATGTATAAATTAAGATAACACAAAAGAACCAAGGGAGGGAGTGGGGGGAAGTCGAGGGATCTAAGTAATCCCAAAATATGAATTTATTATGGTGTGAAAATGTTTTATTTTCTATTTTGTCTGGTTTTTTCTTTTATGATGATGTGATGATAATGTTTAATTGTGAAAATTAATTTTAAAAATATTTTTAAAAGGTGGTATACAGTGTTATCCATGTTAATATATATGGAGCATGCCATTTGACTATAATTACTTCAGTTTTACGCATGCTCTCCTTTGCAAATGTCTTGCTACCTATAGAACTTGTATACCTTGGAGAGGACTTCAGGGAGGGGACAGCCTGTACTGAGTGTTGGACAAACTTCTTGACTCAAACCAAGAGCACTGCTATTTCTCATATTCTCATGGCAGAATCCCCTAAACCTTCTAAAGCAGCACAGGCTTCCCAGGACACACCTCAAAGCTACTGCTTTACATCATTAATAGTGTTCAAAGTAAAATTTAGCCCAGGCATAGGCAAATTCCGGCCCTCCAGAGATTTGGGACTACAATTCCCATCATCCCTAGCTAACAGGATCAGTGGTCAGGGATGATGGGAATTGTAGTCCCAAACATCTGGAGGGCCGGAGTTTGCCTATGCCTGATTTAGTCTAATCAACACAGATGTGTGGTACATGCATCTACTCTAATGCAACCTACTGTATCTGAACAAGTTAGAACATCCTTGTAAAATGAACTCTCAGAAGTTACTAACTAGCCTGTCATGGACTGGGGGCCTTGAAGTCCTGGGTAACGTGCAGGGGTCTCCCTTCAGATGTCAAGGAGATAAAGAACTACGGAACTTTTAGAAGACATCTGAAGGCAGCCCTGTTTCGGGAAGTTTTTAATGCCTGATGTTTTACTATGCTTCATATATTCTGTAAGCCCAGAGTGGCTGGGGAAACACAGCCAGATGGGCAGGGTATAAATAATAATAAAAATATTACTATTATCCTGCCCCCAGAAGTCCATTGTATTACTGTGGTGGCACAGAGGATGGATTTGGTTTCTGTGTTGAGACAGAGGAGGTCAGAGCACCTCACTCACCTGTGTGCAATTCCTTTTCACCTACAAGGTGAATGCTTTAATAAGAGAATGAATTACAAACATATATGGTAAACTATTTCCCCTATGACAGAAGTAAACCTTACCTGGCTGCTCTGTCACATCCACTTTTGCAATGTTAATTTCGAGATCCTCCCCCCATTCAGCAAAGCTCTCCCATTCTGGCTGTAAGTTCTGACAGGCAGGGCACCACGGAGCATAACTAGAAAAGAAAACTTACGTAAGCAACTACTGCGTGAGAAAACACAAATCCTCCTTTTGCCCCGCTAACGATTATGCAGCTTTACACCACTTTTCTGGAAAGTTTCCTTTCCACAAAACCATCACCTTTTATAATATATTTTTAAGATCCAGTTCCCTGAAACACATTCACCACCCATGCCATGTCTATACAGTGCTAAAAGCACAACTTAAGAGAAAACTACTTACAAAAAAATGTATTGCAGCCGCTCACAACGCAAGATATGCTCTTTTGTTCAATATTGTTTTATGAGTTCATGGTTAAGAAAGGATTTGGAGTCAGCCTCCTATATGGTCCACTGCCAGTGACATGATCCAGCGGCTCTCCTTTGGGAGGCAAATGCTTCCCTCTCTGCACTCTCCCAATAAGGGCTCACAGGAAAGAACCCGGAGCAGGGTGGGGGGCTTGCAAGGCCTCAGAACCTATCCTTAGACGATGAGATGAGTTCACAGCTAGGTGGGAGAGGAGAGAGCAATGCCAACATTCCCTGACTCAGCCTTTGGTGTCTCCAGCTAAAAGGACGTCAGGCTGCAAAAGACCTTGTCCTGCCTACGATCCTGCAAGAGCTACTGCTCTCCAGAGCTGACCACTCTGGGTGGAACACCAGATTCTCCTCTTAGCAATGTAATGCAGCTGCATATGCTCGTTATTCTAGATTCAGGTAGGTATCCAAGTTGGTCTTGAAGCAGTCCAAATAAATACAAAAATTAAAAAATTGTCCAGTAGCACCTTGGTATTTAGTCGTTTAGTCGTGTCCGCTTCTTCATGACCCCATGGACCAGAGCACGCCAGGCACTCCTGTCTTCCACTGCCTCCCTCATGCTGGTAGCTTCGAGAACACTGTCCAACCATCTCGTCCTCTGTCGTCCCCTTCTCCTTGTGCAAACATCAGAGTCTTTTCCAGGGAGTCTTCTCTTCTCATGAGGTGGCCAAAGTCTTGGAGTCTCAGCTTCAGGATCTGTCCTTCCAGTGAGCACTCAGGGCTGATTTGCTTCAGAATGGAGAGGTTGGATCTTCTTGCAGTCCATGGGACTCTCAAGAGTCTCCTCCAGCACCAGAATTCAAAAGCATCCATTCTTTGGCGATCAGCCTTCTTTATGGTCCAGCTCTCACTTCCATACATCACTACTGGGAAAATCATAGCTTTAACTATACAGACCTTTGTTGGCAAGATGATGTCTAGGTTTGTCATCACTTTTCAGAACAAACTTAGTTAGTGTCTAAGGTGCTACTGGACAATTTTTTAATATGCTCATTATGTCACTGAAGCCTGGCTTTATGATTAAGGATAATGAACGGTGAAAGTGTGTATATAACGAAGTAAGGGGGGAGGGGGGAGTTTCCTTGGTTCACATCCAGCTCTAGCAGCAAGAATGAAGTTGTTCAAAATGCTCTAAGTTGGGCAACAGCAGACTATCAGTTCCCCCTCCTATATCACTATGTTCATGTATGTATTTTTCTGTAATGTAAGTCACCTGATGACCTTCGGGTGACAAGGCAAAAACATTCCTCTTCTCCCCAGTCTTCGGCTACTTAAACAATTTGTGGCATTTTAAACCCTGGAGAGGGGGGTATTGCTCTGTTTGTTAACATGTTACGTATTTTTGTGCTTCATACTGCAAACCACCCTGTGCTCCTTAGATGAAGGGAGCTATAGAAATCAAGTAGATATATAAATAAATAAAAACATAATAAAATCAACCAAAGTAGCTGCTGGGCAACTGCAGATTTTAAAAAGGGCAAAGCTGTTTCAGTAACTCGCTGAAAACTCTTTGCAAATTTTGCAATCTTTGTACATTTGAGGAAGTGGCTCATGTGCTTGTCAGCTACCATATTAAGAGTTTTGCCCTGTTGCAGGCTTTTTTCTGCCTGCTCATGGTGCATCTGTGCCTCAGAAAGAGAAGTGAAGGTGCTTCCAAGGAGCCCCTAAGAGGGACGCGCCATCTAGTCACAGACAAGCTCCTCTCTCTCCTTTGGGGATTAGTGTTTCCTGCTAGTATCCCTTCCTGTGTTTCCATGCTGCAAAACGCCCCGTGTTGGATGAAGAGCCATGGGGGAACTTTATAAATAGGACAGAAGGAGCACAACTTGACTGTTGAGAGCGGGAAGGAAGTCAACTTAACGGGGAGAAATTGTATCCAATCTGTTGTAATTTGGCTTGTTAAAAATTCGGAAAACTATCGTTAGTAGGATTGGAATAACACTTGTGGTTTAATGCTGAATTTTGGACGCAATGGAGAGAAAAAAAGATATGGATTATCGTAAAAGATACAAGGGGAAATGATTAACAAAGGACCCACAGAGGGGAGGAGGAGGGAAGTCCCGGAGATTCTTTGGAATCTTGTTTCTATATTGGATATGTGACAATTTTAATCTGAAAAGCCAAATAAATAAATTTGCAAATAAATATAGAAAGGTAGAAAATTTCTCATTACAAGTCTTCAGACAACCCTGCTAGGGATGTCAATTGCTTACAATAATCTTTCAAGTACCTTTCTGTATTTATTTAAATTTTGAGTAACTTTGTAATGAGTGCAATTAGAATTAGAAAACGTGCAAAATGCTGTGATATAAAGGTGAATTTTGATAGCCATGAGGCGGGAGGGAAGGAAGGAAGTCAATAGGTTCTAAAGAGCCAGGGCGGTAAAGTGGATCATGATGATGTGAATGTATATAATTAAATGGAAAATAAATAAAAAAATTTATATATATATATATATATATATATATATAGTGTGTATATATATATACACACACACATACACACAGTGGTACCTTGGGTTAAGTACTTAATTCGTTCTGGAGGTCTGTTCTTAACCTGAAACTGTTCTTAACCTGAAGAACCACTTTAGCTAATGGGGCCTCCTGCTGCTGCCGCACCGCCGGAGCACGATTTCTGTTCTTATCCTGAAGCAAAGTTCTTAACCTGAAGCACTATTTCTGGGTTAGCGGAGTCTGTAACCTGGAGCGTATGTAACCTGAAGCGTATGTAACCCGAGGTACCACTGTGTATATATATATATATATATATATATATATATATATAATAATAATAATAAATTACAAATTTTTGGGGGGAAATTGAGTGTGTGTGTGTGTGTGTGTGCATGTGTATATATATTTTTTGAAAACTAATGAAAATAATTTGGCAAGGAAGATTTATTTAATCAAAGAATCATAATAACAACAGGGATATGAGAAGGGCGTCCCTCTTTCCCCTCGGGGAGGGGGCCCCTGAGCATGCACAGAGCGCCCCTTCCCCCTCAGCCTCCCCCCCCGACTCACAACTCGACCATCCACTCTCCCTGGAGGAGGTCCCTCCACGACCCGTCGCTCAGCGCCCTCACTCGGCTCCTTCCCGCCCGCGCGGGCCCCGCCGCCACGAAGAGGAGCGCGAGGAAGAGGAGGAGGAGGCGGCGAGGCGGCGGCGGCGCTGAGGAGACCGCGAAGCCGCCGGGAGCCGCCATCTTGGCCCTCTCCACCGCGCATGTCACAAGGGAAGGCGGCCCCGCGGCATGCCGGGAAAAACGGGCGGTGTCAACGGGCGCGGGGAGGGAGCTGGCCTGCGCATGCGCTGCGTTTCTCCCCTGCGGGCGGGCGGAGGTGGGTCGGAGGTGGCTCCGCCCAGGACCCGTAGTGGGACGGCGATTGGGCGACCGCGCCTCCGCGGCGAGCCAATGGCTGGCTGGGACAGAGGCCTGCCCCGCCCCTCCTGGCTGGGCAGAAGAAGCCTCGGTCCCGTTAGGATGACTCAGCGATTCTGATTGCGTGACGTTGCATTTTATGTAAGAGGCGATTCGCTTTGGGCGAGGAGAGAGAGACCGGGAAATGGAACCGAGAGATCAGTGTTAATAATAATAATAATAATTAAGTAAATTATTATTTGTAGCCCGCCCATCTGGCTGAGTTTCCCCAGCCACTCTGGGCGGCTTCCAAAAAAGTGTTAAAAACAATACAGCATTGTTGTTGTTTAGTTGTTTAGTCGTGTTTGACTCTTCGTGGCCCCCTGGATCGTGTCCACCTCTTCGTGACCCCCTGGACCAGAGCACGCCAGGCCCTCCTGTCTTCCACTGCCTCCCGCAGTTTGGTCAAACTCATGCTGGTAGCTTCCAGAACACTATCCAACCATCTCGTCCTCTGTCATCCCCTTCTCCTTGTGCCCTCCATCTTTCCCAGCATCAGGGTCTTTTCCAGGGAGTCTTCTCCTGAGGTGGCCAAAGTATTGGAGCCTCAGCTTCAGGATCTGTCCTTCCAGTGAGCACTCAGGGCTGATTTCCTTCAGAATGGAGAGGTTGGATCTTCTTGCAGTCCATGGGACTCTCAAGAGTCTCCTCCAGCACCAGAATTCAAAAGCATCAATTCTTCGGCGATCAGCCTTCTTTATGGTCCAGCTCTCACTTCCATACATCACTACTGGGAAAACCACGGCTTTGAACTATACAGACCTTTGTTGGCAAGGTGATGTCTCTACTTTTTAAGCATTAAATATTAAAAACTTCCCTAAACAGGGCTGCCTTCGGATGTTTTTAAAAGATAAGATAGCTGCTTATTTCCTTCACATCTGAAGGGAGGGCGTTCCACAGGGCGGGTGCCACTACTGAGAAGGCCCTTTGTCTGGTTCCCTGTAACCTCACTTCTCGCAGTGAGGGAACTGCCAGAAGGCCCTCAGTGCTGGACCTCAGTGTCCTAGCTGAACGATGGGGGTGGAGACGCTCCTTCAGGTATACAGGACCGATGCCATTTAGGGCTTTAAAGGTCAGCACCAACACTTTGAATTGTGCCCAGAAACGTACTGGGAGCCAATGCAGATCTCTCAGGACCGGTGTTATGTGGTTCTGGCGGCCACTCCCAGTCACCAGTCTAGCTGCCACATTCTGGATTAATTGCAGTTTCCGGGTCACCTTCAGAGGTAGCCCCACGTAGAGCGCATTGTAGTAGCCCAAGCGGGAGATAACTAGAGCATGTACCACTCTGGCGAGACAGTCTGCGGGCAGGGAGGGTCTTAGCCTGCGTACCAGGTGGAGCTGGTAGACAGCTGCCCTGGACACAGAATTAACCTGCGCCTCCATGGACAGCTGTGAGTCCGAAATGACTCCCAAAATGTTTCTCAACCTTGGGTGCTGAGATGTTGTTGGACTACAACTCCCATCATCCCTGAGCTCTGGCCTTGCTAGCTAGGGATGATGGGAGTTGTAGTTCAACAACATGTGGGAACCCAAGGTTGAGAAAGACTGCGACAGATGATAACATTACATGATGTCTTCCGGGGTGTCATGTTGCAGACCCCCCTGTGATCTTGGGAGGAAGGGTGGTATAGAAATTGAATAAAAAATAATACAGTACCTTGGTTCTCAAACTTAATCAGTTCTGGAAGTCTGCTCCAAAACCAAAGTGTTCCAAAACCAAGGCGCGCTTTCCCATAGAAAGGAATGCAAAACGGATTAATCCGTTCCAGACTTTTAAAAAGAATCCCTAAAAAAGCAATTTAACTTGACTTTTACTATCTAACGAGACCATTGATTCATAAAATGAAAACAATAAACAATGTACTGCAGTCACACAATCAATCAATCAGTAGCTGATCTGGGTTCCACACAGTCACAAAAAAGGCACAAAAAACGCAAAATAAATAGCAAAAACAGACAGACCTCAGTGTAACACTCAAAATGGAAGCGTAACACTCAAAACGGAGCATGTTCAGCTTCCGAAAAAAGTTCGCAAACCAGAACACTTACTTCCAGGTTTGCAGTGTTTGGGTTCCAAGTTGTTTGAGAACCAAGGCGTTTGAGAACCATGGTACCAGTGTGTGTGTATATATATATGTATACACACACACACACACACATTATATATACAATGCAATAATTACATTCATTTGTATTTTGGGGCCACCAGGAACTTAAAATCTTAACACGCCCCCCCCACCAGCACATACATACATTAAAACTAGCATTAGCATTTCAAAAAGCTGTAAGATCTTTCTTTTTCAAAAAGTGTTTCCAGCCGTGTGGGTGGGCAAGAGAGGGAGGCACCAAAGGAAGAAGGGGGTTAAATGCACCCCACCAATGCACCCATTTACTTTTATCAACCAAACTGCTACTTTCTTCAAATTGTTCGGAAAGAAGGTGGGAGGTGGGGTTAATAGCCACAAAGAAAGAGGCTCTCTGGTGGGGCATCTTGGGAGGTCCCAGTGCTGGGGGCCGCATGAAGTGAGGTCTGGGGCCAGAGGCTGCCCCTTTATGTGTCACTCAAACTTGAGACTGAAACACAGTTGGATTGCAGTCAAAAGCAACTTGCTTCTTTGTCTGTCCGACTATCAGAGTAGCTAACACCACCTTTTGTCAGCTCATTAACCTCGGGCAGACCTGCTGAGGACCCTGAGATCCTGGAAGGAGGTTTACTCGTGTTTATTTTGCATTAATTTCAAAATTCCTACATCTTCGCAAGATTCATAAAATATTGTCAATCTCTGTTAACTGCTGTCCTGATGCTTGTTTAAGTCTTAATGGTCATTAATATTTCATTTTTTTTATTCCCTGAATGGGAATTTGAATCTCTTTTTGAAAGTGAATACTTACCACTACTACCTGTTCTTTTCAACCCTGGGGCTGCAGATTTTTTTCAACTGAATCTATTTTTCTCAAGAAGTCTGGAGGAAAGAAAGAATGTGAATCCAGGACACGATGGCTGCTGTATGAGCCTAGGAACCGGAGACCTGGCTCCCAGCAACCTGCCAATTCTCTTGAACCAAAGGAAATATATTAGAAATACATTTATTATCAGAATGATTCTTTGGTCTAATTGTTCCAGTTAAAGACCAGAAGATTTCTTCCTTGCTTTGAAGGGGAGCTACATGTTTCTATTGTGAACGTTTTATGCGTGTTTTTAACTTTGATTCTGGAAAATGAAAACACAGCAGAATTTGCTACCTAACTACCCAGGCAGTCCAGTGAAACACGCTGAAGTGTGGGTGACAGCAGTGCTGTGCAGCAGTGGTTCTTTCACGCCAGCTCGATGGCTACCACACAACCCACGGGAGCGAGTTTGTAGTTTTCTGTTTCTCAAGTGCTGTCCAGTGGGGCAGCCCTGTTAGTGCCTTGCCTGGGACTTGTCCTTCTGTGTCAAAGATCATCAGTCTCAATCTTTACTTGGCTTTGAAACTTCCTCTGGGCATGTCTCTGTCTTTGCAACCTGGCCTGATTTGCAGAGCTGTTGTGCAGGGAGACGGGAATAGAATTTCAGGGTGCTGGTATTCAACAAAAAGGATTAATAGTAAGGTTCGAAAGAAGAAGAGTTTGGATTTGATATCCCGTTTTATCACTACCCTAGGGAGTCTCAAAGCGGCTCACAACCTCCTTTCCCTTCCTCCCCCACAACAAACACTCTGTGAGGGGAGTGGGGCTGAGAGACTTCAGAGAAGTGTGACTGGCCCAAGGTCACCCAGCAGCTGCAGGTGGAGAAGTGGGGAAATGAACCCGGTTCACCAGATTACGAGTCCACCGCTCTTAACCACTACACCACATTGAATCGTAGACATAAGAGAAAAAGGGTACAGCTCCCAAGGGGCAGTCACTTTTGGGACTGGTGAACAAACTGCAGGAGCCGGAGGGGGGTCATGCAACACACTCCCAAACTGCTTGCTTTCACTGATTTATTTAGTAAACATCGCACAACCAAATGAAATACCGTTACAATGAGAAAAGAACATTATCACACTTAGCAAACACAAAAGAACAAGGAGGTTGCTGAGCAGGTTCCCGCTCAACTCAAATGCCACCTTTGTAAACGGGGTGGGAGAACACGAAGCCCGCTGGTAGGAAGCTATGCTAGTTGCCCAGCAAACCCAGGGGGGAAACGGGTCAGAGTCGCGCTGAAAGCTACAGTACATGAGGGGTCGGAATCCTGCTTTAAAAGCTGGCTTTGCCTTGGGCCAGAGAGGTGACAGCACATCCCATGTAAGGCAAAGAGAGGAGCCGTCACCCAGCTCTTCCAATGAGTTCAGAGGGGTTTAAGGCAAGCGTGGAGTGCTCATGTTCTGACACACAACGGAAGGGTCACAAAGCAACAGTAATGAACTTCTCTATCTCTGGTGGGTGGGCGAGAGGGGCGAACGCAAGCAAGGTGACAAACAGGTCCCAGGGCAGCGCCACGGTGGAACCACACTTCCCAAGGTTCTGCCTCAGGTCCTTTTAGGAGCTGAATGACAACAGTCTTGTGGGACCAACGAGCACCATGTGCAGCCCAGCATACCTCACACCTGCCGCCCCTCCAATCTACTCTGCTCTATGTTTCCTGATGGAAGGGAAATGCGCTTCCAAGCGTGGGCAGTGCGTCTGCTGCTTTCTCCTTGAGTCACCCATTAATGCAAATCTGACCGATAGCAGGCACACTCTCCCCCTGATCTACAGTTGCTTTGCCACACGGGGATGATGACTTAAGCAAGACCTTGTGCAATGTCTCACGTGGAAAGGCCTTCTCTGCGAGACGAGACAGTTGCTGAACTACAGCAAGCTTATTGCAGCCTAGAAGTGTGACAGCCGGGCTGTTCGGTTTGCCTTACGCCTGAGCACTTAGGTGAATGGGAAAACGAAGCCCCCAGACAGAAGGGAGTCTGGCAAACTTGCTGAAATATGCCAATCCCTAGACTTGCATCTACCACACTCACAAATTACCCTGCAAGGAATCAATCCAGTCTTGACTAAAACAGTTATTTGCTCCTTAGCACACTGGTTTTTAATGCAAGTGCTCTACATAAATATATTTTTAAAGAACTCATGAACATCTACAGGGCTAGATTCCAATAAGCTAACAATTTTGTAGGCTGCCCAATGAAAGTGCCCAGAGGCCCTTGATAAAAAGCTGCTACATCTGGATTAGTTGGACCCTCTACTGGGTACTATATGCCACCTCCTTCCAACAGGGCAGCTTAGGCCAGGATTCAATCACTGTGTTTCCAAACACATCCTTGGCTCAGGGGTCCTTAGGCATGATGAGAAACTGCCAGCTCTGCTTACGGCGACAGCCTAGCCGCAAGTCATGCTTTGCAGGAGGCTCAAGGGGCATGGCAGATAACGAGGGCAATCGTGTGCTCATCAAGGCCTTTGCATCCCGCAACCATTTCATTCCCTCCCTCACTCCCTCGCCCTCCGGTCATGCCTTGTGGCTAGGAGTTCCAATAATCAGTCTGCTTCTAAGTTCAAAGGCACCTCAGAGAGAGCGAGAGAGCGCTAGCACATGCGAACTGTTTAACCAAGCATTTTTCCTGAACTGAAATTAAGTAGTTCATGAACGCAGAAGAACCGAAACAGCTTTGACGGCCTCCTATAAATTGCTTAAGGTTTTCTTCGCGCTGTCCAGAGTGAGCATCTCTGAAGGAAGCCTCACAGAAATGAACAGGAATTCCTCCAAGTGCACAATTCCATACGTGAAAGGTCACTGCAACTGTTTGCATGATGCTATTATTGCTGAGGAACAAGAATCGACAAGCCACCCTGCGGCCACTAGGCAGAAAGTGCTTGTTCGGTCATTTAGTTGCTTGAAAACTCTGCTGGACTCCCTTAATATCTTAAGGAAAGTTTCGGGAAAACACAGTACATGCAAGGTAGAAATGTGACGCAACTTTGACTGTGCTCTCCTAGTGTCAGTCTAAACGTGAGCTCATGGGAGGAGGAGGAGGAAGGAAGGAAGGGGGAAAACAGCGTCATTTACCCTATTAGAACTTGGAACAAGTTCAGAAGTAAAAGGCTTAACACAAAGAAACTGCATACCCCATTGCTGTATGCTTGTGAATTATGAATAACTGGGGAAAGTAACTTGTGTTCAATAGAGAAAAAGGAGGGGAGAAATGATTTTGAGAGGAAGGAAAGTGGGAGAACACAACAGCAAAAGGGTAGCCACCTGAACAAAGCAGAAATATATGGGGGCAAACACACAAAACAGAAATCTGAAGAACTAGTTTCACAGCCATCTGTATAAAATGAGGATGACCACACAGGGTCTTGCTTAACCCCTTCAGAACATAAAACTAAGTTTAGATGGATATTTCTTACAGGAACCGCCCGGCTGGAGAGCAATTCACCAACACTGGGCAAGTCCTCCTGAAATGAACAGCAGCATTTGAAGAATTGCTTGGAAAGACGGAAAGTAGTGGGATCAACGCTGCCTCATTATTTGTCTTAAAGGGAAAAGGCAATAATCCGTATGGAAGAATATACTTTCCGTTCATTAAGAATCTGAGTTAGAGTTCTCCAAATGACGTAATCTAATGAAATGCTATGATGTTAATTGTTTGACATGTCGCACAGGCACGGACAAAAGAAACAGAAGGAAAATGTCAAAACAAGAAACCACCAGCGTGTACACTGGCGGCATTCACCACATCGGCTTCAGACCCCCTCAGACTCCGCAGACCCTGCTCTTTTCGCCAAACCATCAAGACAGTGCCATCCTCTCCTATTCACTCGGAAGCTGGTCCCTCTGGTTTCAATGGGACTTTGCTTCCTTGCAACTGGGCAATGCGGGTGAGAGGAGCCTTAGACTGCCAACAGCCTTGCTAAAAAATAAATAAATCTTTTCTTAGCACCATGTTAGAATCAGAAGACTTTGAAAACTTGGTTGTACATTCTTTACAGTCATACATGGGCCAATTAATACGGATTGAAGGGAGGGAGGACACTTCTATCTTTTTGAAGTATTTTTACACACATGCTGCAAAACTGATTAAATATGATAAAAACACACACACAAACAACCCAAGAGGTGTGGAAGGGTTTGCTGTCTAAACTGCTATCTCTGCGTCAGGCTTGAAAGCTGCTGATCCTTTCATTCAGAGAAAGAGAAGGGAAAGAAGGGTTACAGGTTTTAGACAGGTAGGCAACTCCAAAAAGTGCGGGGCTAAAAAGGCATTCAGCTTATCAACTTAAAGAGAGCCACCCGCTCGTCCACTCGCCAAATCCACACAAGCAAGTTAAGAAAAACGACAGGGAGTGGATACTAAGTGCAGGCAAACAGACGACGACCGCATCAGTTATTTACAAACCTGGAGTAATGGGGGACGGGGGGAGAGGCAGCCCTTTAGTTAACTGTTCATAAAAAAATTGTGAAGCAATGATGGTCTCTCACTGCAAAGATGGAGCCAGACATCAACCAGGCAGTCTTCACCCAGGTTAACTGCGTCAGTCAGAGGAGGAGGAGAAAGAGGACAAAGCTCCATGAGTCAGGGAGTTTCTACGCCTACTTCAGGCAACACAGTGATTCTTGCATCAAGATGAATTATTTCACGTTAATGACAGTATGCAGCCTGGGTCCCTGCTAGGAAACCGGCTCCATTTTTCCGCCCTTCGCTTCTTTGTGATCAGCAATAACCAGGAACAATTCTCGTTTGGGGTTAACCTGTCTGCATTTCATTTGAGCTTTTCCCCCTTCCTCCAGACTCCAGGATGTGCAGCTTCCGGTCTCCACAGTCTGTGCCAGTTGCATCCTCAAGTGCTCCTTCTTCATAGCGCCGTCAAGCCAAAATTGCACCGGCAGTACATCATGCCAGCCGTGTCCAGCCAGCTATCCGATATGGGGTCGTATTTCTGTACAGTGTTCAGGTAGGATGACCCTGAGTGTCCGCCAACTACATAAAGGTAGGTGTCAATTACAGCCGCACCAACTCCTAATGGGGAGGTGTAGAAAGGAGAAAAAGAAATGTTGAATGCTAGGATATCACCTCCCCTTCTCTACAAAAGGAGGAAGAACACTGTAGGAACAGAATGCAGGCCAGCTGCGGAGCTTGGGGACTGATCAAAAGCAGGCCCAGACTGAAGCCCTGCTGAGTTCAAGAGAACTTACAGATCCAAGTTTATTATTGGGCCTGGTTCATCTGGGAAGTTTATTTAACAGATTTATATTCCACCTAGCAACGTAAATATTTTCAGGGCAGTTCACAATGCCAAATAAATACAGAACAATACAAATTAACGTGGCCCATGAAACTAGCAGCAGGAAGGAAAGCCTCTTCAGAAATTAAAAGTTAAATTAATAGAGACTGATGTGGAATCTCTGGGTGATGCCTTGGGTCTGGTTTACTGTGAAAAGGTGTCTGATAGAAGGGCCAGTACATTGCCAACCACAGAATGCACTTTGGACCTACCTTCCAGGTACTCTGAAAAGACCACGGCTAAGCTCTCCCCACACCTAGCCCAACTCCCTTTCCTCATTCTCACATTATGATGATGCCTAGCTCTTACAAGGCCACAGGGTAGTAGATCCATGGCTAGAATTAGCCAGGGACATGATAAGCAGAGAAGGCCTATCTGGGAGGGAGGGGTTAGGGTTAGGCATCTAGGCAGGGGAATTCAGGGCTGAGAAGAACGCCCAGCAGAAGCCAGAGGCAGAAAAGTGTTCCTTGTCCAACCTACAGTGTCACAAATGCATTCCCAGATGGAACAGAAGCTTCCACTCGTCTCTAGGCCAGGGTGATGGGAGTCCATGGAGGTCCCCTTTGGGCTGATCCGGCCCTTGAGCAAGCAGGACACCGCCCTCAAGCCCACAAGGGAGGCACAACCTCTCGTTGGCTCACCATTGCTCTTGGGGCTCAGATTTGAGGACTCCCTCTTAGCGACAGCAAGCAACTCCCCTGTGGAGCTTATTGGGGTTATTCTGCAAGTCAGGGCTACAAACAAAGGAAATTGATTCAAGGATCAAGCCTCACCCAATTCCTCAGCCACAGAAAAAAGTACACAGTTGCAAAAGAGGAAACTGGCAAAGCCACATTCAAAGACAGCAAAAAAGCCATATATTGCCTGTGTATTAAAGGAGTCAGATGGAGGAAGATATGCGATCAGGAGTCACTGAAGCATTTCAGTAACCTTCAGGCTAAGGCCAGCCTTCTCCCAAGTTGGTGCACTCCTGATGTTTTGGACTACAAGTCCCATCAGCCACAGAATCACATGGGTTGCGATGTAGGGTAGTTGTAGTGGAAAACATCTGGAGGACACCAGGTTGGTAAAGATAGGCCTAAGGTATAGAAAGCATCTTAAGCTAAGTTTGCATCGATAGATCAATCCAACATCCCCTTTCAATGCATTTTCAGCTCCTGGGCTGCTCTCACCCAGAGAGGACTGGAAGTGAGGAAGGAGCAGTTGTATGAGGTACAGCCTCTTTTTAAAGGTTTTATATCCCTGAACCATCAGTTATTTGAGTGCTGCTCAAGTAGGTCCCTTGCAGAGTTTCTTGGTCTTCCGTAGCAAGGACTACCATTTCCTTTCTGGAAAGCAAAGCCAAAGAGCCCTTTGGGGTATCCTGACAACTTCACTAAGCACTGTCCTGCTTGGACATAAGAGATGAAGAATGCATTCCTACAAATAAAAGGTATGTGAAGAGCACTGAGGCAAAGAGTATTCTTGCACGTGGCCTCAAAGGAGGACTCTGTGCTGTTTCACTTAGTTCCACCCCAGCCCCCCTTAAGTCACAAGGAAGTGGCAGCAACTTCTAAGCCAACCAGAACCAGCTCCTGGGATTCTTCCTACCTGTTCGGGGTTCCTTCATCGGCTGGCAAACAGTCCACTGGTTTTGATGAGGGTCGTATCGCTCAATGCTGGACAAGTGGGAGACGCCGTTGTGCCCTCCGACCACGAAAATAAAGCCCAGCATGACCCCAACGCCGAAGTTTATTCTTTTGTCCGCCATCGGAGCGACTGGCTCCCAGGAGTCCTTGCTGGGATCGTAACGTTCCACGCTGCAGAAGCAGAGCAACCAAAGGGATTAGTGGCAACACTTTGTACCGATTTAATACCTCAAGAGGCCACTGTAGCTGTGCTCATGAGGGATTCCCAGCACATTGGGAATCCCCAGTGAGATATTTGATAGAACAGGAGTTACTAGCCTCAATATATTTTGCTGTAACAGAAAAGCTCTGGGTACAAAGAGGAAAACATCTACCAAAGGAGCAATTGCTAAAGAAGGGTCACCCAGTGCAATATCCTTGGCCCACAATGAAAGCAAGGCTGCGAACTAGCTGCGTGTATGAAGAAGGGCCGTAGTTCAGCAGCAGAATATCAGCTTTGCAAGAGAAAGGTCCCAGGTTCAGTCCCCAATGGCCCCTCCAGGAAGGACGGCGAAAGACTCCCTGCTCGAAACCCTGAACAACCACCGTCAGTGAGTGTAGACAAGGCAGAGCTTGATGGACCAATGGTCCGTCTCCGTTTAAGGCAGCTTCCTCTGCTCCTAAAAGACCAAGACAACTTAGGAGGAAAAAGAGGGGCACTGCTCAGGTACACCTGCCACACAAACATGGTCAGCCCCTCTTGGGCTCATGCCGTGCTTCCTGAACGTTTTGATGGCTAAGGGGCCTTGCCTTCGTGGACACTTCTACATACCAGAAGTGCAAGGAATGCCGCCCACATCATGAAGGGTGAAGTGGCCCACAATAATCCTGCACCCACACTGTATCTTGGCTCAAGTCAATGGAAGCCACCTGCCCCGGCTCTACTTCAAACTCCACTGGGAGGGTAGACCATGTTACCTGTCGTAAGCCCCTTCCCCCTGCACACAGATCCCTTCTCTCAGCACACTTTCTCAAAGAAGTGGAGGGATCCGAGGAAAAGGGCTGGACACACCTCCGTGCCTTCCCCATGGGGTGAATGGGGAGGCAGTGAGGCACTGCCTTCTGTGGCATGCTAACACCCTGCCCAGTTCTAGCAAGAGGCATAAAAAAAGCCAAGGTTTGAGCTGGTGAAAGGAAGACGCTCCTTGCCCCAAAGAGTTCCTTGTATCAGGGCAGTGACTTCTGCCTCCAGCTACAAGAAGATCAAAGCAATCCAAGATCTTCCTCTTTCATACCACCCATATAACAAGCCTGGGAACAGAGGGTTGGGGGATCCTCCAGAGATTTTGAAGGCGTGCAGGGGGAGGAGAGGAAATAAAATATCCAACTGTGCCAAGGGAATCATGCACATGGAGGACTGGATGCAACTCTTAAGCTCTACCTTTCATGCCATGTGCCTATTTTTCCCAGAGACCTACCTAAGTGTACCCACAGCAGGAAGAAGAGAAGATATTGGATGTAGGGGGGAGGGAAAGAAACCACAGTGTGTGAACCTGAGCATTTGCCAGCCGCACTGCAAGGCCTCCTAGTTTAGGAGTGAAATGGGGAAGTTCTGGGGCAATGTTAATTCTGCTATAATAATGTGGAATTGAATAGACAGTTTATGTGCTTGTTTTAAGTGGGCTGGTGTTTTTATGTGAGCTCATTGCTGAGTCTTGGGTGTTAGTTGAGCTAGCAATTCAGTTATATAAAGACTATGGTTGCCACTGGACAAGAGACCCCCAACTCTACAGGGTGGGGGCACAGAGGAGTTCCTGCTCCAATTCAAATCCAGACACAAGCTTAACGAAGATGTTTGCATGAGGCTACTTTCCACTCTGCTTTTGCAACACCAGTCAGGATCCCAGACCTTCCACCAAGTGAGTAGGGACTATTCAGCTGGAGTAAAACTAAGCCCAGAGAAGACACGAGGGTACCCACAGGGGTGCCAACATCTTGCCCTGTGAAGGGCACAGAGCCAGTGCGCACAGAGACGTTTCTGGACCAGGACTTTTTATTAGCCTCAAGCCAACTAAAAGCTTCTTTGAAACGTTCCTATTTCTCTTTCTAAGTCTGCAATGAAGGAAAACACGTTGAACTCTACTGCAGGTTTTAGCTGAAGATCACAGAGAATTCCTTGGGCGAATCCTCCAGAGAAAGCTAATGAGGCTCACTGGGAGCAACTATGGGTTGCTTGGAAGCAGCTCGTGCATGTGCCGACTGAAGAGCGCTTAGGTCTGTGGGGGTGGGGTGGGGGGTGAGCTAGGGGGTGCTTCACCCAACCCCCAATGGCCCAGCTCTACTTACCTGTTCATATGAGCGGGGCCGTAACCTCCAATGGCATAGATCATTCCATCCAGGACGGCTGCGGCAAAGCAGCTCCTGGTTTTGCTCATGGGCGCCACAGGCTGCCACTCCTTCACCTTGGGAATGTACTTCTCCACCGACTGCAGGTAGGACTGCCCATCGTAGCCCCCCAAGGCGTAGATTTCTCGCGACAGAACCGCCACCCCCAGGGTGCTGCGGCTCTCGTTCATGCTCTCGAGGGACGTCCAGGTGTTTGTGTCGGGGTCCCAGCATTCCACGGAGCTCTCGTGCTTCCGGTAGTTGATGCCTTGGCACATGTGGGTGGCGATCCCCCCTATAACGTAGATTTTCTGGTCCAGGACGCAGATCCCGAACTCGTAGCGAGGGACGCTCAACGGTGCCAGGCCTATCCAGGAGTCGTTCTGAGGGAAGTACATCTCAACGCTGCGGGAGGAGAGGGAAGAGGTCATGAGGCAAAACGCAAGAAGAGAAGAGGAGGCCGCTGTATTGAGCCAATGGCCCACCTAGCAGCCCAGCATCCCATTCCTATGGGAAACTCTCAGTCGGGATCCAAACACGAGGGCAACTCTCCCCTCTGGTGGTTTCCAGAAACTGACATGCTGAAACACTGCTGCCTCTGACCAGGGAAGCAGCGCATGGCCATCAGGGTCAGTAGCCACTGGTAGACTGAAATTGTCCAATCCTCATTCAAAGCCATCCAATTCAGTGGCTACCTTGGGGTCCCACTTCACCACCCACAACGATTCTGTGGAGCAGTCCACCCCTTTGGGGATTTCTAGTCTGCTGGACTCAATGCCCTCTTTGATGGACAGAGCGACACCACCTCACGCATCGCCCAGCGTCAATAAGCATGGGTACAGGCAGTCCAGCAGACATTGGATGTGTGGACATTCAAAAAGTTTTCCTTCGCCAGAGTATTGAGCTAACTTTGCAGTCATGGGATAAGAGGACAGGTCCTCACATGTACTTGTATAATTGGGCTTATTCATTCTTCTTTCATAAAATTTAAAAACCGCTTGATGGTTAGGAAAAAACCTCAAAGCGGTTTACAAAAAGGATAAAACAATAAATTGACCCTAAAAATGTAAAATGCGCAGAAAGTTAAAACCACAGTAAAATAGACTAAAACAAATGAAAACTCATACAAGCTTTTTAAACATCTAGGAAGGCTTGTCTACGCAAAAATGTCTAAGAACAAGAAGCCAACAATAGGAATAAACTGAGAGTTCTCTAGGATGGAGGCCGGTGAGTTGTTGGGTTCTGCAGTTATCTGTACAGAGATCTTCTTAACTTCCTCATAACCAGTATTTGGGGGTGAGAAGTGGGGTGGTTAAATTTGCTGATGACATGAAATTACGATACTGTACGGTAAGAAAAGTTATGAAGAGCTGTGAAAGGATCTCTCCAAATTTGGTGAATAGGCAGTAAAATTATGTGTACTGGGGCACCTTCACATAGACCCTGAAGTGATCCAAACTGGGGGTGACTGGTCAGGAAAGGAACCTTGGGAGCAGCAGTGCATAGCTCAGTGTGCAAGAGTTTTGATAAAGGCAAATTCCTTGCTGGGATGGGGCGAAGAAGAAAAACTGTCAATATCATGTTTTACTATGAATCCAAGGTGTGATGACAACTGAAATACTGTCTACAGTTCAAGGTTGCTGCCCCATAAGCAAAATATTGTAGAGTGAGCTGGAAGAAATTCAAAAAGGGGCAGCTGTGATGATTGGGGTCTGGAAAAGCTCCCCAACACCTGGGGCTTTTTAGTTTAGAAAAAAGTGATGGTCTTGGGACACAGAGGCATAAATAATTATGCACGGTGCAAAGAAAGTGGGGAGAGATATTCTTCTCCCTCTCTCATAAAACTGGAACTTGGGAGTCATCCAATGAAGGTGATTATTGGGAGTTTCAGGACAGACAAAAGAAAGCCCTTATTCCCACTGCACATAAATTAAATGGTGGAATTCGCTCCCACAGTGAAATCCAGCAACTTGGATGGCCATAAGAGATGAGAATTCATGGATGGTAAACCTCTCAGTGCCCCCATGCTGCCTCCAGGATCAGAAGCACCACGATGCTGAATAGCAGCTGCTGAGGGAAAACAAGTATGAAAGCCCTATTGCTCTCGTGTCCTGTCTCTGGGCTTCCCGGAGGCACCTGCCATCTGCCACTCCAGAAAAAAGGGTGCTGGACTAGGAAGGAGTTTGGTCTAACCCAGGGGTTGGCAAGGCTTACTGGCCATGGGCCAGATCACTCCCAGAGAGATCATCATGATGCCGGAAGTTGCGCCTGCGCATGTCCGTGGCGCTGGAAATCGCTTCTGTGAATGCGCAGACACTGAAAATTGTGCCTTCCGGTATCTGTGCATGCACAGACGTGATTTCCGGTGCCGCTCAGTGAGTCCCCGCGCCGCACCGGTTTAGCGCAGCGCATGAGGGACTTGCTGAGCGGGCAGAGCGGTTCAGGGGCGGGTCATAGGCCGGTAAAACGGTCTTTGTGGACCGCACCCAGCCCATGGACTGCACGTTGCTGACCCCTGGCCTAACCCCCCAGGGATACTAGCTGCCTTTACAGAGTGGCTACTGGAGTGCATGAAGAACAGAATAACAACTGATAAAGAGCATTACATATTATAAGCAATGAACTGATTGCCTTCCCAAAGCTGTTTCATTCCAAGCCTTTCCTTGCTTGACCCTTCTGCTTGCTCTACAAGACCCAGGAAATGAAAGGCCACAGAAGGCTGCCCACCAAGCTATCACTCTGTTATGTTCAACTATGGGGTGTAGAAACCATCGCTCGCTGCCATGGCTTCGGAACAGAAGCGCTAGGAAAAGCAAGACCGCGGACTCCTAACCCTTTTCTGGCTCTCGCTATTCCTCACCTCTCCAAGCAAGCGAAGAGTCCAGCCTTCCCTCCCACAGCGCAGATCACTTTGGGAGGGCAGCGGGGGCGTGTGGTGAGCACCGTCTGGTAAGACAGCCTGTGCTCAGGCATGAAGTGGTACTTCAGGGCTTCGTTCAGCAGGTGCTTGCAGGTGTGGTCATCGCGAATGAGATGGTTGGCTTCGTACAGCCTCGTGAGGAACTTAACGCTCAGCAGAGGCAGCCGCACGCAGTGCAGGAGCTGGGCCAGGTACTGCTGGCGTTCCTGCACGTCATACTTGATCCAGGACTCCAGCGCGTAGAAGACCATCTCCTCGCTGGCCACATTCAGGCAGTCATTGGAAACTATTTCGTCCAGCTCGGAATGAGTCAGTTCAAAAAACTCTTCCGTCTGGCAAACATCTTCAAAGTTCTGGCAAATGTATTTGTTGGCGGCCAAGTAGAGGTCGTGGCAGCCGTACGTCTCCGCAAAGCGGGAGATCCCGATGCAGTTTCCAGGATCCAGCTGGCTTTCCAAGAAGGTGCAGCATTCCTTCAGCACGAGCTTGATCTGCAGGAGGTTGGCAGCAGGCAGCAGGGACTCCACGGTGTCCTGAGAGATGAACACGGTCCCCGTGTAGGCATATTCCACTATGGCCTGCAGGGCCGCCTCGGCGATGCACTGGAATTCCACCTCAGAGTTCTCTTTCTCCGAGAGGTTGCCGCTAAACATGGCTTTGAAGTACGGGCTGATGCTGGCGAGCACCACTTTGTGGGCGTGGATCTTGACGTCTCCAACACGAAGGATGATATCGCAGAGCTCATGGTGCTGCCGGAGGAGGTTCAAGCCCTGCAGGAGTTGTTCCGAGTGCAAAGGGGTCAAGTTGGCAATCATGTAGGTTGGGGACGATGGGTCCATCTGCAAGACATGGAAGGGAAAGTTGGGAAAGCGTTAAGCAGAGCTGAAACCTCAAAGCATAGTGCATGAGCAACCCTAGCTCATGATTGCACATGGAACATACCTAAACACACAGGCTGGGATTCGTGTTAGTGCTGGAGATTTCTCTATCAGCACAAGAATTTCTGCTTGCCTCCCCACTCCTCACCTCATGTGCAATTCTCAGGGTCCTCCCTGCCCCCCACTGCTAGAGCCGACTGGGGGTGGAGGAGGGGAGGGGGGAGCCCTGTTGTACTAGTGGGATTTGTTGTACTGAGTCCACCTAGAAATTGGACGCAAGTCCTGTGTGGCCGCACATATTTTTTCTTAATTTGCTAGGCTTCCATGAGAGCGCTTTCTCTCTCTCTCTTTTCATTATCCTTGCTGCATTAATTTCTTGTTTCCCTCCACATCTGGCTTGAATTGCCTATCTTGCGTGGAAGCTGCTTGAAGTGCACAGTTCTTTGATACCACCCAGGATGAATCATTTCAAAATATTTTGGCTTGCCACATTCATAGGACCATGCAGAGGGCCTTCTCGGTGGTGGTGCCCTCCCTATGGAACACCCTCCCTTCAGATGTCAAGGAAATAAACAACTATCTGACTTTTAGAAGACATCTGAAGGCAGCCCTGTTGAGGGAAGTTCTTATTGTTTGATGTTTTAGTATGCCCTGATATATGCTGTGAGCTGCCCAGGGTGGCTGGGGAAACCCAGCCAGATGGGCAGGGTATAAAAAAATAAAAAAATAGTATTTTATTATTATTATTTGCCTTATACCAAGAAAGACCATTACTCCATCTAGCACAGCATACTATACTGTTCTAACAATATCCTTTACCTTTTTTCACCTACTACATATAGCTGTATCTCTTCTTCCTTCCATTTTATGGTTGTAACGGTTTATCCGTTTCATTTATATGCTCATGCTGCAACCCAGCCTGAGACCTTAAGGGTAAGAAATCTAGTAAATAAGGAAATATCGTCCACGTTGCCTGGCAGTGACTCTCCTGAGTCTCCGCTCATCCCGGAGAGATGCAGGTGGACTGAAGCTAAACACATTTTATTTGCAAAACACTTGTTCTACCACTGAACTGCGGATCTTCCGTAAGCAAGAGGGGTAATGAGAGCTTCTATCAGAGAGAATAGACTGGTGTCAAGCAGACCAGGCAAAATACAACCAATGTTATTCCCATATCCCCCCCCCCCACTCCATCCTCAAAAGCCCAGTGGTTAGCGTGTCAAACAGACGATGACCTGGGAGAGGCCAGAGCTCAGATCCCCCAACTCAGCTACGGAGCTCACTGGGTGACCTTGGGCCAGTCTCTCCGCCTAACAGGCTTGTTGTGAGGAAAGCGGGGGGGGGGGGGGGAGAACCATGTAACCACCTTGAACTCCTTTTAGAAATGCAATGGGAGGCTGACGGACCCCAGAAAGTGATACCCAGCCATTCACCCTCTTGAGGAGGTTCCCTGCACCCGCACACTGTCGCCTTCGGGGTATTGAGTACACGGGACCAGGCAAGGAAAAGATGGGACCACTTCAAAGTCCCTTTGGGAGTCTTTGGACGCCTTGCTTGTGCTGCACTGCGGGGACAGAGGGCTTGCTGAGAGGCCGGCCGGGAAAGGCCAGGGTTCAAATCCCCCCACGTCCCGGCCAGGAACTTCACCTGGTGGGGGGGGGCGGCCCCTGCTTCCTCCCAGCCTAGCCTACCTCGCAGGGTTGTTGTTGTGGGGGGTGTCAAAGGGGGGTCGGAGGTCAAAGGGGGCAGTAGAGAAATGCCATGAGATGCAGCGCTCGTTCTCCTCCCCGCCAAAAGCCCTTTCTCTCCCCGGGGGCGGCCCCCCTCCTCCCCGCCTGGCCTACCTGGCAGGGCTGTTGTGGCGGGGGGGGCTGGCGGGGGGAGGCGGGCTGCGAGGAAGAGGGTCCTGCCCCCCTCCTCACGAGGGACCCCGGGGGGGAGAGAGCGAAGGACGACCCCCCCCGGCTCACCTGAGTCACGTGGCTGCGGCCCGGTCGGGAGAGGGGCGGGGGCGGCGACCTCCGCGGGCTCCTCGCAGCCACAACAACACAGGCGGAGGAGGAGGAGGAGGAGGAAGGGGAGGAGGGAGGGAGGCGCGTCACTTCCGGCGCCCGCCCCTGAGGAAAGAAGGTCGGATTCAGGCCCTGACAGGCGGGAGAACGCCCGCCCCCCTCACCAAATCCCCATCGCGGCTTTTATTTCCTGGCATTTGTGTGCCTGTATGTGTACAGGTGTATAAGTATGACGTAGGACGCGTCCCTTCCCCACCATCCCGTTTCTTGAGGCGAGGACTACGACTCCCAGCACGCCCCGCGCGGAGGAGGAGGAGGAGTCCGCCCTCCCCACGTGACCTCCGCTCTCCCCCCCCCCTCCCGGCTGCTCGGCTGTTGCTCCTGCCGCGCAGGCGCAGTGGGCGCGGCCTGGGCGGGCTGCCTGAGGCGGCGGCGGCTGAGGCGAGGCTGAGGCGGCGGCGGCGGCGGCGCTGGTGACGCGTTTCCCTGGAGACGGCGATGCTCCCCTGCGCGGGGCCCGGCGGCGGGGGCGGCGGCCTGGGGTCGGCGTGGCGTGTGAGCCGGGCGAGGCCCCGCGGGGGTCATGGCCAGAGAGGAGCCCGAGGGCGGCGGCGGGGGCGCTGAGGCGGAGGAGCGGCCTGGGCGTGAGGCGCCGGCGGGGGCGGCGGCGGCGGCGCCTGCCCGGCCTCTTCCCCTCAGCCTCCTGCGGGCGAGGGCCTGCGCTTCGGCCTGGTCCCGGCGGAGCTGCACGCGCGGCTGCTGGACCAGCGGGACTACCGGGGCCGCGTGGGGGCGATGGGGCAGCTGAAGCGGGTGCTGGGCGAGGCGCCGGCCGCGTCCCTGGCCTGCCTGCCGGCGCCCTGCCTGCTGGGCCTGCTGAGCCTGCTGCGCGCGCTGCTGGACGACTCCAACTTCAAGGTGGCGCTGGGCGCGCTGGAGGCGCTGCGGCTGCTGGCGGCGCGGCTGGGCCCGGCGGCGGGGTCCCGCGCGCGCCTGGAGCCGCTGGTCTCGGCGGCGGCCAAGGTGCTGGGCGACGCCAAGCTGGCCGTGCGCCAGGAGTACCGCCAGCTCTTCCTGGCGCTGATGCGCGCGGCCGGGCCGCAGCCCGTGCTGGACCTGCTGCTGCGCCCCGAGCACCTGCGCCACCGCAACGCGCGCGTCCGCGAGGTGGTGCTGGCCATCTCGGTGGCGGCGCTGCTCACCTTCCCCTCCGAGGACTTCCAGCTGCCGGCCCTGGCCGCCGCGCTGGCCCCCGCGCTGGCCGACGCCAAGCGCCGCGTGCGCCACGCCGCCCTCGAGGCCTTCGCCGTGCTGGCCTCGGCGCTGGGCCCCGCGCGCGCCGGCACCCTCCTGGAGGCCGTCGACGCCGTCGAGCTGCGCGGCGAGGGCGAGGGCGTGCTGGGCGCCGTGCAGGCGCGCCTGGCCCGCAAGACGCTGCCCCGACTCACCGAGAACTGGTTCGTCGAGTACGCCGTGCCGCTGCCCGACTCGCCCCACGCCGCCGGACCCTGGCCCCGCGGCGCCGACACCGACTGGCTCCTCGAGCAGGGCAACCGCATCCAGAGCGCGCACAGCGGGTCCGCCGCCGCCGCCGCCGCCAACCTCGCGCCCTTCGCCGAGCAGGGCGGCTGCCCCCGGAGGGTCCTCAGCGCCGGGAAGGGGAAGCTGCCCTGGGAGAGCGACAGGCGAGGATGCTGCTTCGCCAAGGCCAGCGACGCTGCCCCGGTGAGTCCCTGCAGCACAGCTATCCATGCTTCGAGACATGCATCGATTGGGATTCAGTTTTACAAGCGTCTCGGACTGCTAACCCCTTTCCATGCCCCAGAGGGGCGCCAGGGGGTCGTCACGCATAGTTTGGGAAGCTGGTTTACTGTCATAGACCAGCAGTTTAAAAATAGCTGAAAGACAAAGCTGTAGAAAGGAGGTAAAGTAACTATAAAAACGGAAAGACAAAAGTTGCTGACCAACAGGTTAAAACAACTCAAATGGTAACTACAGTGGTACCTCGGGTTACAGACGCTTCAAGTTACAGACTCCGCTTACCCAGAAATATTACCTTGGGTTAAGAACTTTGCTTCAGGGTGATAACAGAAATCGCGCTGTGCTGACAGTTGGAGACACCATTAGCTAAAGTGGTGCTTCAGGTTAAGAACAGTTTCAGGTTAAGAACAGACCTCTGGAACGAATTAAGTACGTAACCAGAGGTACCACTGTATTATTAAAGCGATCACGTTGAAGACTTCACAGGATTTCATAAATGGAATACTAGTGGTGCCTCTCTCAGGCTCACTGTCCTTGTTTTATCAGGGAGGAGAGGTGGAACCAGGGTTGCTCTTGCCCTCTTGTGCATTTTGCACCTGGCTATTGGCCACTTGCAACCAAGTGAAGACGCCTGGGTGCCAGGATGGCAGCTGACATCTCCACTGTCTGGCTGGCACACAGCAGCATATATTTGTTGCCATGCTATGGTGCCAGTCAGACTTTAGCTGGAGCTGACAGGAGCTGACATTTGTCATCTTGAAATAAAAAAGGCACCTAAACATTCCATTAGTGCACCTGTAACCTAGGTTTAAGGGGCTATATGGCGAATAGCTTTTATATCTCTAGTGTGGGATTTGAATCCTAGCCCAGCACTGCTGGTTGCATCCTCTCCAAGATTGGCTCTTGCAAGGCGGTGCTGATGCTGAAACTTCACGTCCCTCTGTTGAATGGCTTCTGCACCCTGCAGTAGCTGAGGGTGGGGACAAAGGGTTTTTCCGGTAGATTCGTAATCTGGGGAACCAGGTTCACGTCTCCGCTCCTCCACCTACAGCTGCTGGGTGACCTTGGGCTAGTCATATTTCTTTGAAGTCTCTCAGCCCCACTCACCTCACAGAGTGTTTGTTGTGGAGGAGGAAGGGAAAGGAGAATGTTAGCCGCTTTGAGACTCCTTTGGGTAGTGATAAAGCGGGATATCAAATCCAAACTCTTCTTCTTTTTTCGTTATAGTGCAAGGAAGAGAGCCATGGGGGTGGGGGGGAAGCTTGGCATGTGGTTTAGAGAAGCAGGTGTGTTGGATGGGGCAGCTATAGAAGACGGAGTGTTCTTAGTTCAAGGTAGGGCGACAAAAGAAACATTCATAGCCTTTCCACCAAGGAACTCAAGGTGGCATGTCCGGTTCTCCCGCTCCTCCTTTTATCGCCACAACAACCCTGGGAGGTAGGTTAGGCTGGGAGAAGGCAGTGGCTGGCCCCCAAAGTCTCACCCAGTCAGCTTCATGGCCGAAAGCAGGATTTGGACCTTGGTCTCTCCCAGGTCCTAGTCGGACACTTGTAACCACTATGCCACCACTGGCTCCCATAGGGTAGGTCAAGAAGAGGAAATGGCTATTCACATTTTCCCCAAAGTGGCCCCTGCCAAGTGGTGTGGATGCTGCAGCTTCAAAGGTGTGGCCTCTGCACGCCACAGGAGCCGAGGGCTTTGCGGGTGCACCAGAGAGCTGTGGGGAGGGAAAGCTCAGCAGACAGTTTGGAGAAGCAGGTTAGTTGGATGGGGCAGCCATAGAAGAGGGAGCAATCTTTAAAGTGCAAGGTGGGGTGATGAAAGTGGCATTATGACTCTAATATGCCTGTGGTTAAAGGCTAATAGTTCAGCACATTAGAAGCTTGAACAGGGAGTCTGTGGCACATACCTGTCAGCTGTCCAGGACATCCCCTTTGGGGGCACTGTACTCTTGCACAGGTCACATGACTAACCAGATTCAGCATAAAGTGAGACTCAGATTGAAGCTTGAATTTTACAGGTATCTGTAGAATTTCAGGGAGGAATTATTTGGTGGTTTCTCCACTGTAATTTTGCTTAAAGATTATACCTGAAGGAGCATCTCCATCCCCATCGTTCTGCCCGGGCGCTGAGGGCCTTTTGGCGGTTCCCTCGCTGCGAGAAGCCAAGTTACAGGGAACCAGGCAGAGGGCCTTCTCAGTAGTGGCGCCCACCCTGTGGAACGCCCTCCCATCAGATGTCAAAGAGATAAACAACTACCTGACATTCGGAAGACATCTGAAGGCAGCTTGGTTTAGGGAAGCTTTTAATGTTGATGGACTACTGTATTTTAATATTTTGTTGGAAGCGACCCAGAGGGGCTGGGGAAACCCAGGCAGATGGGCGGGGTATAAGTAATAAATTATTACTACTACTGTACTATTATGATTATGATTATTATTATTATTACTACTACTACTACTACTACTGGGCTTGTTTTTTGTTACTTACTGAAAACTTTAAGTTTCTTTGGATTTTCTTCTGTATTTTAAATGTTTGTCAGTTGAAAGATGGATTTAAGAAGTATGATTCTCATGGTTGGGAATTGATTCTTGAAAGTAGCAGCAAAAATGTTTCCCAGGATCATGGAGGAAATTAATTATTACCTTCAGGCGCATTCCAGTGAGCTCATATTTTGCTACAAATTAACACAAGTTGTTCAGTAATAGCTGAAAGAATTTATAATGAGGAATGTTCATAGTGATCCAGTAACAGTAGTGAAAGGTAGGGGAAGACTAGGAGCCGCAGAAATACTGAGAGGAAGAAGAATATAATGAAAAATTCCTCTCTGTTTGTCCGATCAGCTTGCAGAGTGTTCCATTAGAGTGTGCTAGAAATTTAATCTGACTCCCAATTTCTAAAGGTAATCAGGTTTGAGGTGTCCCAGAGACTGATGGAGGCAAAAGTATGGTACTTGAAAATGCTGTAACTTTTGTAAGACGACTGCCCGATTAAAACATTTATCCTGCAGGCTCCCAAGGTCCAGATTCAGCACAGTTGTCGATTGCATGTAACCACATCGCTTTCTAGTTTTACAAGGAAGAAGGCTGAATTGTATTTTAATGCCTCCTCTGTCCTGTTTCTCTTGCAGCTCTCGCCATCCAACGATTTCCTGCAGTCTCCAAAACTGAGGCCTTCGCAAGGTAAGTGCTACATGTGTGTGCCAACCCAAGTGACTCACTGTCACACGATGGTGCAAAGGAAGAGGGGTCCCTGTCCTCCAGATCGGTCCTTTGCTCTTAATATGACACAGAGGATGGCGTTCCTCACTCCCAACTCCGTGCCAAATCTGGGGAAGTGCTTTCTGCTAAAACAAAACACAATTGGCTACAACCCAGTAGATTTTATCACAGTCCTTTTTTAGAACCCATTGATCCTGCCGCATACTGGACTGAGTTGGCTAAGCTATGGTTTGTTTGAACATGTAAACTCTGGCCAGCAGACTAACTGTGGTTTGTTTCAGCGATGGGTTGCCATTGCATCTGAACCCAACATCCTTGCTTAATCTCAGTTTGTTTGGCCGCTCCATATCAGAAGCCAGCCAAGCTACAAAGGCACATGACAAGAGCCTTTGCTGGTCTGTAAGGCAACCTGTGATTTGTTGAACAAACCATGGCTTCCTGTTACGAGTGAACACAGCTGTTGTCAGTAGGGATTTCCGGGGGCTGAGGGGGAGTGCTCACACTGCAGAAATGAAAGCAGGGTGGATAAAAATCAATGATTAAAAAAAAAATCTGATAAAAAAAATTAAAATCTCATTTTTTAAAATTTAAATTGGATTTTTAAAATAAAATGCTTTTGGAGGAATTTTTCCCCCTAAAGATAGTTTTCTGTTTAAGTTACATTATAGTCCAAAGGCTATTCATCAGGAAATAAGGATTTGTTTTAAGTTTTTCATGTGTGTTAAAGCTCAGTCTAAGTTTTTTTTTTTTAAAAAAAAACCATTTAACATCAGTTTAAAAACATGGATACATATGCTATAATGTTATTGTTTTAGTTAAATAAATTGTTCAAATTGTTATTAAGGAAATTATTATTTTTCTTCTTCCAATAAAGTACAGCAGAAAAGTTGTCCAAATATAAACAGTTAACTTATTGAACCTCACAATAATTTCATAATTATTGTTCTATGTATTTCTAATAGTATAACCAAATCAGTAATTTTTGATATAACTGTAAAAACTACTCTGAAAATTTATTCTTCCAAAAATGAAACCTTCATCTGGTTGTAAATAGTAAGATTATACCAGCAAGGAGTCTTTCTGTAAAAAATAATAATGATTTAAATCAAGTCTTACTGACTAGTGATTTAAATCATGATTTAAATTTATTTGATTTAAATCAAATCTACCCCTGAATGAAAGAGCAACCTGAGCACTAATTTGGCTGCTTTAAGGAAATGACCCTGAAGAAGCTTCTTGTTGTCCTGGAAACCTTTCCAAGAATCTTGGTTCTTTGGGGAAAGCCCTAGACATTGAATGAAAAGCTCTATGGAAATAGCAGAATCCAGGACAAGCCCCTGAACTTCTTTTAAGAAAAGGTTGTTATAATTATTCCTCCATTGCACAGTTGAGTTTTTGCCTTTTTGAGTTTTTCTGTCCCATCCGAAAGGTACTGTCTTTATTGTCTTTTCTTTGTCTGTGAAAAACTTTGGTCTTCCAGCAAGCCTTTTAAGTGGTCTTTACTGGCAGAGAAATTGTGTTTCTATATATATATTTATTTATTGATGATATTTTTTATTATTAAATTTTTCTGAGCTGTTTCATGGGAAATGGCTATTAAATAATTTTCCCCTTTTTAACAACTGGGGGAAAGTTCAGAGTAACAAGTGGTGGCAATGTGAATGCCTGGAAGTTGAGTTGGAGCCAGCCCACATGTTATGGGCACATTCCTCCCTTCCTTTTAAAATGGCAGTCATTTACTTTTGAAATGAATGTGTGAGTTAAGCACTTTTCTTATTTGGCGAGTCCCTCATCTTTAGGAGAGACTGAACTACTTCTAACCCTCTCCTCTTCGCAGAACTGCCAGCTATTTCCTGTTCCTTTGCATTTGTGTAGAAAACGTGGTCTTGGGGGGGCGGCGGCTCACTGAACCCCACTGTCTGTCTGGGTTAGAGGTGGGGAACCTCCAGTCCATGGGCTGAATTCTGTTTGGCACAGGTTCTGGTTTGGCCTGTGAGGCTGTTTTCCCCAGACCACGGCCACCTACCCAACATCATACACGATGAGGGAGAGTCGTGGGTTTGATTGGATGTGCCGCTCAGTCCCCCATAGCGAACTTGAGCATACCGCTTGAAGTCGCCACCCATCGGCTGGCAGCCCGTGACTTCAAGCCTACTAGGTCAGGTGCATGGCTCAGTTCCCCGGTGAATACAGTGGTGCCTCGCAAGATGAAATTAATTCGTTCCGCGAGTTTTTTCGTCTAGCGAATTTTTCGTCTTGCAAAGCACGAAATCCCATAGGAATGCATTGAAATCCAATTAATGCGTTCCTATGGTCAAAAAAAGTCTAAACAAAGCCAAATTTGGTACAACAAGAGTTTATTAAGTGCTCTTTAAAGTCACACATACTGTAAAGAGCATTTCAAAAATTGAAGGAACAATAAATTAAGTTTCTAAACATGACAGAAAAACATTTAAAAATCAACAAAGTGTACAGTACATTTTCTAAGACTCTGGGGGACAACTCGAAGAAGGTTCCTCTTCCACTCTTTGCTTCTTGCTGAAGAACCCCCTCCTCAACTGTTCCCCCAGCCACCCACCACATAGAAATTCAAATCCAGAATTTTTTTTAAAAAACAGCAGAGTGGCCCAATGGTCACAGAAAATCATAAAAATGCAGGGAAAAAACCACAAGCTTCCAGATTCTTGCAAACCCCTCCCCAACACCAAGTCCTTGAATTCCAAACACCCCAACCCAAAATCCAAAACCCCCCAAAAAAGTTTTAAAAGTTTAACTTACCAAATGACTGCAAAAGAAGTTTTGGAAAAGCTTCAAAAATCACCAAAGTCTTCAAAAACCTCAAAAAAGGCTATGAGTTGCTCCTCGAAGTCAAGTCACAACTGAATTAACGGTGTTAAGAAAAAGGAAACAAACTTGCAAGACGTTTTCGTCTTGCGAAGCAAGCCCATAGGGAAATTCGTCTTGCGAAGCAGCTCAAAAAACGCAAAACCCTTTCGCCTAGCGAGTTTTTCGTCTTGCGAGGCATTCGTCTTGCGGGGCACCACTGTAGAAATAATTCCCTAGAGTTCTTTAAGCTAGTGGATCTGAAAGCTGTAACCAGACAGCAGGCTATCCCTGGAAAAGTGCTAGATCTGCAGAGAGGCTTCCCAGTAGCTCAGCCAGGTGGATCTGTGGGGCAAATGCGGGGAAGGGAGATGCTGCAGCTGACTTCAGGTGTGTTTAACTGGTTTGTAGGAAGTTATTGCCAGGCCTGTGCCAGTCCTTGAGCAGGAGAAGTTAATGGAGTGAGTCTGGAATGGTTAGTGTATTTGTAATAGTGACTCCTGAGAAAGTTTTTTGCGCTCTCGTAATAAGAAGGAGCCGAGCTTTGTCACTTCCCACTTTAGTACTGAAAAGGCCATACTGGACAAGACCAGACTTGCTTTGCTCCCTGTTATTGGCAGTGCATTGCGCACCTGCCTCTGGGTGGACTGTGCTAGTTTAGAGGGACTTCAGAGTTCATTTAGGATGAGCTCAATTAGAATGCAAGTTTGTGTGTTTGAGGGGGGAGTGGGAGACGTGAAACTACTGGATTACTTTCAGTTGTATGTGTTTTGTTTCTTTTTAAGGGCCGCTTTTGATTCTTATCTTTCCCTGTCCTGGATCGATTAGGGCAAAAAGTACTTAGGAGAAACTGCTGTGCCCCAAGGAAAGGGAACTCTGTCTTTTCTGCATCTTGCCAGTTAAATTATTCTGCCTTGTGCACATGAAGAAAGCTTGTTGTAAGGTTGCCTTGGGAGCTTCTTCACGCTTGGTGCTGGGAACGCTCAAGGGACATTCCAGAGTCCCCAAGGAAGTGTGTGAAATCCCAGAAGAGGGGCTGTGTGTTTTCGTGTCTGTGTGTGGTCTCTTTGCTTGCTAAAGTTGCTGTAAAGTGTCACTGCTTATGGAAGCATACTTGACTGCCCTTTCTTTTTGCTTGAAAGGTGTGATGGCCTCTCATCAGCCTCATATTCCAGGAAAATGCGGGCTGCTTGGTTTATCTCACACTCGCGGGAAGAGCGGCAGTGTGGATTCTGATCTGCAGTTTCTAGGACTGAGCAACCCCTGGCAAGATAAAGGTATTTGTAGAATGACCATCTTTTAAGCATTTGTGCATGCCAGACCCATTCCAGCATGCCCTGTAGCACTCTGTTGGGTGGGTCAGATCTGCATTGCAAAGCATATAAGAGGATGGCTTGCGTTGATCCAGTTTATTGGTTCAACCAAGAGTCAGTGTGGTGTAGTGGTTAAGAGCGGTGGACTCGTAATCTGGTGAACCGGGTTCGCTTCCCCGCTCCTCCACATGCAGCTGCTGGGTGACCTTGGGCTAGTCACACCTCTTTGAAGTCTCTCAGCCCCACTCACCTCACAGAGTGTTTGTTGTGGGGGAGGAAGGGAAAGGAGAATGTTAGCCGCTTTGAGACTCCTTTGGGTAGTGATAAAGCGGGATATCAAATCCAAACTCCTCTTCTTCTTCTTCAAACTGGCGAAGCACTTGCAACGGTTTCCCGGGCCATGAGCAGAAGTCTTTCCTGGCTTTCTGCTGTCTGACATCTTTAACCTGAGGTGCACAGAGCATGTGCATGACTGCAGAACTGTAGCAATAATAATAGGACTCATTATGTTCTGAAGCCCTTTAAGGTCAAAGCTCTGTGCTATATATTACTTCTTCATGCACTGCATGCATGTATGGGTCAGTTTCCTCCTCTGAAATGAATGGTGAGCCCTTGCAAGCATTGAGTACCCAGTGATGCAGCTGCTGTGCCTTTTTTCTTCTTTTGCTTGTTAGGAAGCAGGAACACTGGCAAAGAGCATGAGGAAAGTATGGAGCCCAGCTCATTCGGCCAGGCTTGGGCACAGGGCCCTTGGTTCTTGCTCCAGCCCACCTGCTTATTCTCCAAACCTATAGTGCAGAATTGCATCTGCAGTAGGGGGCAGAGAAGGAATAAATTATGCAGAATTATTTATGCCCATGAAGCCAAAGTGGCAGACCCATTTGTATGTCACAGACCATCAGTTAAGCAAAGTAACATGTCCTTTTTGATATGCTTATGACTTCAAGGAAAATCTCTCTGTGTGACTGGTGCTTGAAGATTGGTTATCAGACAGGTTAGACAAGAAATAGTTTTAAAATGGTTGTGTTTCCTTTCATGCTTCTTTAACCTGGATCGTTCATTTCTTTTCCCCTCCCAACCAGTGTGTGCCAGCCTCAGTTTCACCAGCAAGCCTCAGCGGACCTTCTGCAGCCCACCTGAGCATGCACCGCCTCTCCTGGGCTCCCACCCCAGCCAAGGAGCTTTCATCCTTCCGTCCTACCCGTTCTCATCGCCCCGGCACAGTCCAAAGCACACCTCCCCTCCTGCGGACTCGCTCAAGAAGTCGCAAGACTTCTCTAATTCCTGGCCTCTGAAGAGTTTCGAAGGGCTTCCAAAACCTAGTCATCAGAAGAAGTTTTCCAGCCCGATGGCAGGAGAGGACGCAGGTACGTGCCCTGGTGGAAATAGCTTGATGCAGTCTCCAGTAATGTGTGCTGAACCTGGTAAGGAAGGGTTGCCAAAGCCGAAAAGAGAAGGAAAAGGAAGGTGCTACCTCACCTTGCTGCAACCCAGTCTCCAGCAACGGCCGGGGGGGGGGTGTCTTCCCGGGCCCCAGGAGGGAGGAGGGCGGCTGAGGTCAGCACTGGCAAGAAGCAGACAACCATGGAAATCTCTGCGTTTCTATTTTGCACACTGCTTCCCACACACACTTCCTTTACATGTTACTGATCAGTCACCAAGCATCTGCCCAAATAGGGGGAATCTTTCTTTGCCTCTAGAAAGGGGCTATAGCTTCAGGAGTTGGCAAATTCCAGAGAAAGGGAGTTTCACAGTCGGTGAGTAACTGGCATTGTGACAAGCGGGGGAAGAAGCCGTCTCAGCGTCTGCAGGGCTCAAGTTGTTGAGGGATTTATAGGTCAAAACCAGCATCTTGAATCATATCTAGGAAACAATATTAAAAGCCAGTGTGGACTGTGCATCAATAGTGCAGAATGTCATTCCCTTCTGTATATATAAAAACTCTACTTTTAAAATGTTCTGAATGTGTGTTCTCTCTGCATGTGTTTCTGAATCAGAGGGAAAGCCACAGGATACGCCTCCCATTCAGCTGAAACCTGCCTTTGTGAGATCGCCGGCTTCGCGGAGAGGCCTGAGTGGAACAAAACCAGTGCCTCCCATCCCCAGGGGCCTTAGTCCCTTACCTGACAGAGTGGAAATCAACGTGGTGGGACACAAGAACGGGGAGCCAGAAGACATCTGGCTGAATGAGAGAGACAGGAAGCTGGCCATCGATCTTTCAGAGTTGAATGTCAATGAAAAGGAGCTGGATGAGGAAGAGGTGGGGGCTCAGTGTGCTGTTTTTACTCTTAAGAAAGGGTGAATAGCAAAATTATTTTCCTGGGCTTCCCATAGGATGTATACACATGACCAACACAGGTTTGTTTGTAGTTTCTGTATTCCATGTTGCTTTCTTATCATAGGCACTGCAGGGGGAGAGATGGGATGATGCATCTTTTAAACAAAATTCTGCTCCTCACTCCAGTATCCAGTCGTAGGCAGGCAGCAGATAATTCTGTAACCTCACACTTGCGCTTCCTCACAGCATCCAGCTGGGATCACGTCTCCTCCCTTCTTTTCAGATGCAGAGTTCTCTCCGCTCCTTACGTAACAGCGCCGCCAAAAAGAGAGCAAAGCTAAACGGCAGCACTTCCGACCTCGAAAGTCCAGACTCTGTCCTGAAACTCGACCTGACCTCAGAGTCTCCTTCTTGCTTGTCGTCCCCAAGCACCAGCTCCTACAGTGAAAGTGGGGTGTATAGCCAGGAGTCCGTGACATCCCCGCTTTCGACAGCCCCTCAGGGAATGAGAACAATGTGAGTGTCATTCATAGCACGAGGGGGGAATCGAGGGGTGAATCCACAGCCCATGGCTTGGGGGTGGGGGGAAGGGGAGGTTTCCTTATCCCATGTGGGCCTTTTCCTGGAGGTGGTGATGCGGGGGACTGAACCATCTGGGCCCCCCTGCATTCAAAGCAAGAGTTCAGTCACTGAGCTGTGGAGGGGCAGTCCTTGCTTTCTTTTGGAGCCTTCAGGGGTTGCTGAGCACTGATGGAGGTGGCTGGGGACATGTTATGCCAGTGCTCCAGAATATGCGCTTGCTGAAGCCTCCTGGGTGCCATTCTCCAGTCAAGGCTCGGTGGTTTGTGCTCCTTGTCCCTCATTTGAACTCCTATAAACAACAGTTAAAACAACAGCACGTGCATAGAAGCAGTTCATATCCAAGGCAGACGCCAACTGGGATAAAGGCTTTAGAAGGCATGTTGAAAGAGAAACTTGAACTTGCCATCCTTCTTCCGGGTGCTGGGAGCTGCTCTTAGTGGCTTTTCTGTGCGCAGTGAAACACCCACTTGGAGGGATGGTGTTTCTGGGCCATGTGAAAAAGTTGCTCCATTTCCCGTGTATTCTCGGTCCCCGGAGAGCTGGTTCCTCCCTGCAAATTCTCTCGGATGAGTAATAGTGAAAGCTGGAGCACTTTGTGCAGGGTAGGAACGAGTTAACAAAAGTGCCTTTCTTGCTGCCACAGGTCGGACATATTCCCTCTCCTTGGAGGTAACTCCCAGCCAATGAAGCTCTCACCAACACGGAATCGGGGTCCCATAACCGTGGAGCAGAGTCCCACCACAGGTAGTCTGTAGGGCACATAAGGACAGCATGGATTTAATGGAGTTGTTCTTTTTGCAGTGTCTCTAGATGCTCCAGTGGGTGTCCCTTTGCTGACCTTCCAGGTCATTGAAAGAGGGTGGGCAGGCAGCAGCCATAGTCCCAGCTAGCTTTTTAATGTGGATTTGCAATCAGGTCGCATCATATGTGGGGGTTGGGCTCTAAAGGTTGGACATAATAATGTGAAAATGCATATTGCAAAAATTACCTTTTCATTGGCCGGGAAAGAAAGGGAAGCCTCTTCCATGTCTCTGCTGGCTCCCCTCCTCCCCATGTAGTGACCCAGAAAGCATGGAGGCAGGCAGGCAGAGGTGGGAGGAGGAAGGCGGGCAGAGAGTGATGCAGGCAGAAGAAAAAGGCTGGAATGGAGCTGCAGCTGGGTGGGTAAAGTTGAATTTGCGTAAATACAATGCGCATATGATGTGACTCAGCTGTATTGCTGGGAGGGGTCAAAACAATCTTTGAAGACTCTACACATTAAGAAAATAAAGGCACTGCAAACTGTCAGCATATTAATTTTGATGTCCTAGAATGACTGTACATAAATATACATGCTTTTTGTGAGATTTGCTTTAAAGAAGTTACTAAAAACTTTGACTTGGTGTTTGGCTGGTATTGGATCAATTTTATGAAGCAATGTTTCTAGAACCAGAAACTTTTCTTTCAGAAAAACATAGTGGTGGGAAGTTTTCTACCCCAGCCACATTACTACTTCCCCAAACATGTACTGAGACCTAAATTCTAGTTTTCCTTGGACTATCTCCCAAAGCGCATATCATACATGTGTTAACTCTTTTCACCGGGTTGTGGCAAAAATTCCCCAGGCAGGCATACCTCCTGCAAGCAGTTTGTAAACGCAGAATTCACACTCTGGCCAGCTCAGGACTGCGGCATTTGCAAATTTAGGCATCTTCCTGTGTTGCTCTTGGGAACAATTTGCTGTGGATTCTGCCTTCCAGGGATAATGTTTCATGAAAAAGCGGCTTCCAGCGTGAGCATCAGCGGCCAGCGCCTGAGCTACGGGAACGGATCAGGAGATTATGAAGAGGACAGACAGAAAGTGGCATCGCCCGCCATCCTTAAAGGGCAGAGTAAAGAGCACCAAAGGCACTGTAAATCCACCAAAGGTGAGCAGGTGGAGGGTGCCGGAAGGGAGGGGCTTCGACTCTTAGTCTTCCTTTCTGATGCTCTGTGTGTGAGAGAGCAAGAGAGAGAGAGTAAAGTGTTCCCTTCAGATGTGTTAGAATCTAGCTTTTCATTTTAAGATTAAACTGGAGGAATGTTTCTGGGGGGAATGGGAGTGACGGCACACGCTTTGGACCTGATCCAGAGCTGTGTGGTGCTGCAGTAGGCATCCAGGTCCTCCCTGAGAGCATTTGCTTCTCTGTCTTTGGATAAGGCTCCAGAGGGTAAGCGGAGGCCCACTTGTGTACTGGATCCACTGGTTTGGACTGTTGATATCAAATGCAAAACCAGAAAGGAACTTTCTCAGTGTCATGGATGCAAAGCACAAATAACTTACAAGTAGTCTTAACACCCGGTTTTTGTTTGTTTTTCTAGGGTTTACAGGGCCCCCTTCGAGTTTACAGCAGCTAACTAGCTTAGACTTCATTTCACCGAGTGCCTTGTCAGAAGACTCTGTAGTCATTGTTGGAAAAGGTATTTCGAACAAGCACTTCCTGATTACAGTGCTTCTTATGCTGGCCTGAAAGATTGTCTCACCTCTTATACAGGCAGGCAGTCACTGGGCTCTGCAGGGCCTCCTTCAGAACCATCCTATCGGGAGGTCCACTCCACCCCATGGAGGAATTGGGCCTTTAGTATTGTCTCTCCCCTTGAATATTGGACGTTTCTGTTGCCTTTTCAGCACCAACTGAAGATCTTCCTTTTTCAATAGCCCTTTTAAATTCCCAGTCTGCATCCGGAATGTTCTTAAGATGTTTCATCGCTTTTGCCAGCCTGGACTCGTTTGTGGGGAAAAGAGGGGGATATAAATTTCATTAATAAATAAATAATAAATAAAATTATAAGGAAGGCTTAAAATATATTTTGCTTTATCATCCTTCTCCCCCACCCAACTCCCTTGTATATGTTTTTGTTGGAGTGGGAAGTCACCTGGTCCTGTGTAAACATTGCTTGCTGAGCAAATGGTAGCTGTGCTTCCCTTTTCCTGCTGGCGATAAAAGAGGCAAAGAAAACAGTTCCTGTGCACATTGAATGATCTTGGTGCTGTCGTCACCTTGTTTAAACCTGTGCATAAAATGGTTGTGTTTAAAGAAATAATGTATGCCAGAAAGAAAAAACATGATCATGTGTGTTAGATCTTTCATGATAACCCAATAAGACATACATGTCTTTTTAGGAGTGTTTGGAAGCCCGCCTTCAGCTCCACTAAGTTATGGCCAGTCCCTGATATTCTCCATGGAGAATGGAGATGCACCTTCGTTCAAGCAAAGCATGGAGCCGCTTTCCGGGATCTACGGGAGAGCCGTCCAACAGCAAAACCCTGCACTTTATTTTGATGTGGAAAACGAAAGAGATGTAAGAATGGAAAATACGTTGCAGAAGGGGGACTGTCACAAAGACGAGCTTTCTGAAAATGCATAATGCACCCGTGTGCCACGGTTGCTACGATTGCATTTTGTTCTTGTTGATGTTGTTTAATGTGTTAAGATGTTGCATGTGGCCAGAAATGCGCCTACAGATAATGGGCTCAGGAACGAATTGCATATAGTTCCTGATGCATACTGCGGCACAGTGACAAATGCCGGCATGATCCCATTCTGTTATCCTAAAAGGTTCCAGCAAGTTTAAACAATAATGCACAACCTTTTTTTTCACTAGGCTAGATAATGCTGAGTGAGGCCCTATTTTATTCTTAACTCTGGTTAGGAGACTTACTTTTCACTTTTGTTCATTTCTCCTTTGTGCTAAAGTATGTGCTACAGCCATCTGCAGTCTCTTAGCAATTGTTGACCTCTCAATAGCTGATCACTCAGGTGCAAAGTGCATCAGTGTTAACAGTGCAGCCATGGTGTTATTTGCATGACTGTTGCTTGAATCATCCTGCTTTTCTGCTGTGGAAATGTTATTTGAGTACCAAAATGGGGTGGGTGGGTGGGTGTTTGATTGAAAAAATGAGGAAATTATTGTGAGGGAAAGGGGACTTGTTCTGTTTCTCACTGAAGTGCTATGTCACATCATCCATTAAGATATTGTTGTCCTCCAGAAATGAAGTCAGACTGCTGGAGACTCCACCAATAATATTTAGAAATTTTGACTTTCAGGTGTCTCTTGAAGACTTTTTATGCCAACGGTCCTTCATAGCTATTTTATTTTTGATGAGCCTGGCATCATTTTTTGTTTTAACATTGTATGCCACCTTGATATTTTTTGATACGGTGGGTATAAAAATACTTAACATAAAAAAGTACACTTTCTTGTTCTATGCAGATGAAAGTTGCCTTATCCAAATCTGCCCGGGAGAAGATGAGACAGAAGAAGAGAGAAGAAAAAGAATATCAGGAAATTAGAGATCTTGAAAGAAAGGAATCGCACACTTGGGAACTGCTTAAGCACAATGAATCGGAGAAGAAGACAGCCGAAACCAGTAAGCCAAATTGTTGTTTTTAACTGCTCTTGCAATGCCACCTTGTAAATGCGCCTGTGAAAGTCACTGACCTGCAGGTCCAGCTCCATCATTCATTTCTCTGCTGTGCATGGAGGGAGAGGCCTCTCTTCCTCTGGCAGGCTGCTTGGTCTCTGTGTGCAGATCGCAAAGGAAGGATGAAACATTGAAAGCAACAGTGCTTTAAGATCCATTGAGCTCTGTTTCTTACTCCAAATGCAATTTCTTTCTGGTATGGTTTGGGGTGTGCATGGTACTTGTTTCTCTAAATCATCTGGGGGCTGTACAAAGATTAAAAGAGGCTTGCGATTTAAGTAACTTATGGGGATATGCTGTTAATGAAATCTGGTTCTTTGCCCTTAGGAAATGCTGCTTTCAGTCCTCTGTTGAAAAGAATGTCAAGTGTAAAAAGGGCACAGCCTTCGGTCTTGCTAGAATCAGGTGAGACTTTGCAGCTCAAATATAAAAAAGAGGTTGTTGCCGTGTCACGTATTGTGGGGCGTCTCAGATAGGTTGCTTCTACCGTTGGGAACATCTGGCTATCCCTGGGGCTGGGGCTGCCTCTGGTTGCTCTGCCTATGCAGCCACATGCTCGTCATGTGCTACTAGTCCCATTGCACTTTTGAATCACCAACTGGGCAATGCTTGCAGGTGAAGTCTCTCCAGGTCCACGAATGCAGTTGAAAGACCGGGTGCTGTCTGTCACGCACAGTCCAGAGATAATGGAACCATCCGAACTGAGACCCTTCCCTAAACCTGAACTTGCTCTTTCGGAAGCCCTGCATTATCTTGCGGAAGACGACTGGTATGTGTCCCAGGTTATCTTTCTCTTCTTTATTTTTATTGACTCTGTCATGCAATCAGCAATTAGAATTGACGTCCGCCCAGTGCTGCTTGCATAGCTTTGTGATGTTTTCATTTTCAAACACAGGGAGAAGAAGATTGAAGGCCTGAACTGGATCAGGTGCCTCTCTGCCTACCACCCTGATGTCTTGACGGCAAAGCTGCACGAAACCAGCCTGTCTGTTGTTCAGGAGGTTAACCTCACCTCTCCTATCTAGATCTTTTCCTGCAATTTCTTGGCTGATGGTTTTGAGGGGAGCGTTGAAGTGGGCGTAGCATTACAGCCGCTTGCCCTGGCTTTTTTTGTGTGTTTGGCACCTCGGCTCCTCCTACACCTCCCGTCAAGCCTTTATCTAAAAGTTAGATTGTTAATTCAGCTTGTTACTTCCACAACTTATGGCAAAATCCTAACCACAATTAAGTCCCAGCTAAGAGGGGTTAGGGTCACAGCCTAAATTCACCAGCACATAGGGCAGCCTATAATTTAACACTAGATACTGAAGTGGGGATTTTGCTTGGCTTCTTTTTCATGTCTGTCAAATATGGCATGCAGGCAAAATGCTGTTTTTTGTGCCTTTTCTGGCCTACCAAGCCTAAGCAAAGGTGGTCCTTGAATTTGGTCCCTCTAATTCCATTGGCATTTTCTAATGGACTGAGTTGGGGCTGAATTCCATAATGACAGCCATGTTACTTTGTAGTAGCAAACAAAACAGTTGATTTAACAGAAAGCATATATTGCTTGAGTGTAACAAAACGTTTGAGTGGTTTGCAAAAAATTAAAATTATCAGTAACAGTAAGTGGTTAAAACATTTGAAAGACAATTAAAATCAGCAGTAAACTAAAAAGAGATTAAAACACATCAGCTTTTACACGTCTGTGTAGGCTTGCCTCAACAAAAATGTTTTATGCGGGTGCTGAAAAGACTAGACAGTACACCTGCTTAGTGTTCATAGGCAAGGAGTTTCAAAGTGTGGGTGCTTGCCACACTAAAATATATATTTTTTTATTTTGTTAAATGCAGAACAAGTACAGTCATACCCCGGGTTGAAGTTGCTTCAGGTTGAGCGTTTTCAGGTTGCGCTCCGCGGCGATGCGGAAGTAACGGAACGCGTTACTTCCAGGTTTCGCCGTTCGCGCATGCGCAGATGGTTAAAATGACGTCATGCGCAGAAGCGGCAAATTGCCATGCGCAGATGTGGGTTGCGTTCACTTCAGGATGTGAACGGGGCTCCGGAACAGATCCCGTTCGTATCCAGAGGTACCACTGTATTATGTGATACTTGTAACCTGTGCCAGTTCTGCAGTGGTGGGCCCTTTGGGGTAAGGCAACCCTGCAAGTAAACTGTTCCCAAGCCGTTAAGGGTTTTATATACCAGTATACACCTTGAGCTTCAACCAGTGCAGATCTCTGAGCACACGTGTTACCTGCTGACAAGGACTCCAGTCGGCAGCTATGTTTCGGCGTTCTGCACTAACTGTAGCTTCCAGGTCAAGCACAAGGAAAGCCCCACATAGAGTGCATTGCAGTTATCCAGTCCTAGAAGTCCCTGTTGCCTGAACTACTGTGGTCAAGCTCTCCCACTCAAGGATCAGTGGTAGCTGCCATGCCAGACACTGGGCCTCCAGAGGCAAAGCTGAACCCAAAAGTGCCCTCAGACTGCAACCCTGTCCAACGCAGGCAATTTACTATTTTCTCAGGTCTAGGGAAACATTCTCAGTGCCTCTGCTGTCTCGTCTGGATTTAAGGCCACCGTTGCATTTTGCCACCATCATCTGACTCAAGGTCTTTTCTTTCGCACAGGTGAAGAATTTGCGTTCCGTTGTTTCCCGAGCTGCCGTGGTTTGCTTAGGGGACTTGTTCAACTACCTGAAAAAGAGCATGGATCAAGAACTGGATAACACGGTGAAAGTCCTCTTGCACAAGGCTGGGGAACTGAACACCTTCATTAGGGAGGATGTGGACAAAGCCTTGAAGGCCATGGTGAACAACGTGACACCAGCACGGGCACTCTCGTCTCTGATCAACGGTGGCCAAAGGTGAGCCTCTGGGACTCTTCAGAGCTTCTCCTGCTCCTTATTTGCTCCTTTGTAGGCCTCTTCGTTGTCAAACAAATGTAGTTCATAATAAGAGCCAGTGTGGTATGGCAGCCACAGTGTTGAACTAGGACCTGGGAGATTGGGGTTCAGATCTGCACTTGACCATGGAACTCACTGGATTCCACCTTCGGTCAGTTGCTGCCTCTCAGCCTTACCTTCCTCATGGGGAGGAGGAGGAGGAGGACTAAGTGTGTCACCTTGAGGCCTTGGAGAAAAGGTAGGGTATAAATGAAATAAAATACCGTATTTTTTGCTCTATAAGACTCACCAGACCACAAGACGCACCTAGTTTTTGGAGGAGGAAAACAAGAGAGAGAGAAAATTGAATCTCGGAAGCCAGAACAGCAAGAGGGATCGCTACGCAGTGAAAGCAGGAATCCCTCTTGCTGTTCTGGCTTCTGGGATAGCTGCGCAGCCTGCATTCGCTCCATAAGACGCACACACATTCCCCCTTTTTAGGAGGGAAAAAGTGAGTCTTATAGAGCAAAAAATACGGTAAATAGCAGTAGTTAATCCTTGCTGTGTGAGCTCCACTGGAAGAAATGGGACTCACACGGGAGCATTATTGAGATGAAGTCCAGTTAGAAATGTGTGCAAGCTGTTTTGAAAGGTGTGCTTGGTAGAAAGTTAGGACAGGCAAATTCTATGTGAGTGCAGAAGCCCCGTCACATAAACCAGTCGCTCATCACACTTCAGAAAAGTATTTCTTTCCTGCAGCAGAACTTTGAGAGAGCCGCTTTATTGCAACAGTGATTCATAGGCTTTCTTCCTTGGTTGCTGCTGCTTCTGCATGAAACAAAACTGTCAGTTGTTGTTGTTTTTTTTATAATGATATTTATTAAAGTTTCACAAAATTATACAAAACAAAGAAAAAAGTATAAAGTACAGCAAAAAAGTAGAAAATAAGAAAAAACATACAAAATAAAACAGTTAAAAACACAATAATGTTCCATAACCTATCTTCCTTACTCTTATTTCCCCGGACCTCCTCATACCTCCCTTCTTTGTATTCCAGTTCCATTTGTTGGTTCAGCAAATCCTTACCTAAAACTGTCAGTTGTTGAAAGGTTTCTTGTCAGCGCATTCCTACAAGGCACCTGCTCTCTAGTCCAGATTACGTTGGGAGAATGGAGTGGGGCTGCTTATTGGTCATCCAGCCAGATCCACTGCTTTAACTCCAGATGATCTCCACATTGCTGTGATCTGCAGCTTAAAGGAAGGGTTCTGCTGTGCAGCTGTGGAAGTTTTTAGGGTCTGCTTTCAAAATCATTGTTTCACACACTTCTCTCTTGCGGATGTTTTCCTTTCTTCTTGTTCCCGTTAGCCACTTGAACACAGCAGTGAGAAGATGTGCAGCCCAGCACTTGTCAGATGTGGTGGAGCACATGGGGCCGGGCCGAGCGTTGTCGGGCATTAAGGATGTGACTGACAAGCTTCTGTCTGCAGTAGCCAAATTTGTCCAAGACGGATCACAAGAAACAAGGTGAGTGAGCAGATGCAGAGCGAAAAGGAATATGGGATGCTGTGACCTCCCAACTTGTCTGGAAACCTAGATTCACACATGAAGAAATGTGAATATGTAATGGCAGAAATAGCTGACGGATCAGAGACTGGGGAGGAAATGAAAGAAGCTCAGGTCACATTTTTTCAGCTGATTTTTCAAGCTTGAAAAATCTCAGTATAAGCTTTAGAAAACACCATTTGAAAGTTTTCTACATTTCTAAACTGGTTCATAATGAGAGCATTGCATAAAAGTGCAGTTTGTCTTCCAGCTGCAGTTTTATGCATGTTAAGTTCATGCAAATTGGTTCATCACTAGAGGCTCCATATGCAGATTACTGATTGACATCTGGCTCCAAATACAGTTATTGTCGTGATTCCCAACTTTTGATCTCGCTGCTCCTTTTTTTACACATGCAGAGAATACATTTTGTATGTACATAATTAGCAAAGCCGAAATAATTGATATGAGCATGGTTTTATATGAATGCCTTCCTGTGGTTCATTGAACCATTGGAATTGTTGGAAGAGGGACCCCAAGGTTCATCTAGTCCAGCCCACTACAATGCAGGAAACATGAGCCCTCAAATGCTTCACAAATATGATATGGGGTGTGTGTGTGTGTGTGTGTGTGTTACTGAGTTGTTGTTTTTATTTTGATTACATATTTTGTGGTTTTATATTTTGATTTTGTTCTGTGAACCACCCTGAGACCTCTGGGTATAGGGCGGTATAATAATAATAATAATAATAATAATAATAATAATAATAATAATAATGTACATTTTACAGAAAGACTTCTTTACTGCTTCATAATGTACATCCCAGGGAGGTGGGGCAAGGTGTGAACAGCCCTGAGATCTACGGGTGAAGGGCAGTATACAAATTTAATAAAGGAACAGACAGACAGACAATGAGTCTGTTACTGAGCTCAGGTATCCTCAGTCAAGCATTATTATTGTTGTTATTTTACTAAAGAATCAGGCCTGACAGACATGCGTTGTGTTACGTTCATGGGTGTAAATCTACTCATCTGATTTGTGGTGGATGCAGGTACTATGGACGGAAGATGCTCTTCACTTTGATGACACACGCAGACTTCGACAAGATGCTTGAAAAGTATGTGCTGCCAAAGGACTTGCCTTACGTGAAAGAGACTGTCAGCAGCCTGCGGCAGAAGGTAGGCTGTGAAGAATGTAACGTCGTGTATTAAAAACAAGAGGCAGGGAGATTTGTCAGATTTTGGAAGTAGTGATGAACTGACCGCTGCTGCCAAGGTTTTGCCAACTTGACAATTCCAGCTTCTCTTTTAAAGTGTCGGACAGACAGCAGAGGCCTTTGTCTTCGCTGTGTTCATTGGTTGTCACTTAGATGACACCTTTGTATCCCACCTAAAATATCCAGAAATAATTTAGACCATCTTTGAGAGGTGACATCTGATACACTTCCTGAGAAACAATCCTTAGTTCTAATTATCACAGACAGTGAGGATGCACCCATCCTCATTAGCTTTTCACAAGTCCTGCTTTCAGTCCCTGGCTTGTAAGATAATTAGTTGGTCCATGTTATAAACCATGTGTAGGCAAACTAAGGCCCAATCGCCTTCTCAGTCCAGCCCGCGGACGGTCCAGGAATCAGCGTGTTTTTACATGAATAGAATGTGTCCTTTTATTTAAAATGCATTTCTGGGTTATTTGTGGTTCATATTTTTTTTCCAAAATATAGTCCGGCCCCCCACAAGGTCTTAGGGACAGTGGACCAGCCCCCTCCCTGCTGAAAAAGTTTGCTGACCCCTGTTATAAACAGGCACAGTTATTGTTTGCTGCTGCTTTTATTATCTGTCTGAGAAACTATACATGGAGGCTGATCATTAGCCTCCTGACCCTTGGATTCTTTCAGAAACTGACTTACTGCTTTTAGAACTCTGCAACTAATGCCCTTTCCACCAGTTAGGTAGAGAACACCTCATAAATATTTTTCCTTATGCACCCCAAAAATTTGCTCTTGGGGTGGTAGAGAGAACCCCTGAAACAGCACTTGGTGGGAGATTGTTCTGTCTGGCAAGTTGATGTGCTTGTGCAGATGAAACATTTGCAGTAACACAATGTTGAATTCTACCCTTAATTTTTTTACCCAGATGCCCTCTTGGAGTTGTATCCAACGTTAATCCTACTCAGAGAAGACCCATTGAAGTTTGTAATAATAATAATATTTTTAATTTATACCCCGCCTTCCCCAGCCAAGGCCGGGCTCAGGGCGGCTAACAAGCAATAATAAAACAAGTTGAATGAATACAACTTAAAAACAAGATTAAAATACAACATTAAAATATTGAAACATTAAAATATTAAAATGCAGCCTCATCACAGGAGGAGAAAGGAAAAAGAAAGAGGAGGGAATCAAATTGGCTCCAAGCCAAAGGCCAGGTGGAACAACTCTGTCTTACAGGCCCTGCGGAAAGAAATCAGATCCTGCAGGGCCCTGTAGACATGACTATCTTAGGCTCATTCATTTTAGTGGGCTTTCTCTGAGTAGAACTTAGCTGGATATAACCCACCCTGTCTTTGTAATGCAATTTCAGGGTCTGGGAGAGATGCCGATAGTCACACCCTCGGCCAAGGGCGGAAGAAGGGGTCACACCAGCAACATGGACAATTCGAGATCAGCCTCTGTGTCGCGAGAAGCGCTCAATGCTGGTGACAGGTACAGTTGGCCCTTCCTGCTTCAAAAGCTTGGGGGGGGGGCAAATGGGCTAAGGAGTTGGGAACCTCTCCTGCGTAGCTCTAGAATCTATTGAACTATATGGGCCTTCTCTGAAGTTATTACAAAGGCTGCAGAAGTAGGAAAGCTCCGCTGCAAACCTCTTGACGTTCTTCTTTTCAGCAGAGAGATTAGAGAAGTACGCGAAATGCCCCGGAAATTAGCTCCCCGTAACGCCTTGGAAAGTGCGGAATACGTGAAGGTCATAACGACGCTGCTGAATGCAAAAGATTTCCGGGATCGAATTAATGGAATCAAGCAGCTGTTGGCAGACACAGAAAATAACCAGGACCTTGTTGTTGCAAACATTGTGAAGGTAACCGTATAAAGAAAAAGCCCTCAACATCCTTCTTGGAGCTAGCAGGGGATCCCATAGAGCAGAAACCAGGAGATTGAAATTGGACAATATCATGGCTCCGAGGGGAAAGGGAGAGTCGCTCTAAACAAAGGAGGAGCCTGTTTGTCCCTATAGGTAGAAGCACAGCTATATAGGGGGAGAAATGATGTTTGGGGGGGGGGTTCGACCACCGTTCCAGTTAGCCCTGTGTCATCTACTGCAACTGGCAGCAGTTCTCAAAGGGCACAGGGAAAGAGCTCCCTTGAGTTGGGAAGGGCAGGGATTGGGTGTGGCATCTTGTGGCCCCACCACTGAAATGTACATGGAAATGCAAGTGTGTTCGATCTCTTTATGGGACTTTGCACGCCCTGCCCTCCTGGACACATGCTCTGCTCACCCCTTTGCACCATGGGATTTGGACCAAGGCCCCTCATGGCCTGGGACTGGGCACCAGGTTTAGACACCAGGGACTGTCGCTTGGGTTCTGCCTGGCACATGGATGTGTTGCAGAGCCTTTGACAAGTTAGCCTTGGCTCTCTATAAAATGGTCAGTAAGAATTTACCCCACTGCAGAATGAGCAGAACAGGTCGTTTAGGAGCCTGGTTTCCCCGTTTCCTTTTTGATTATCTGATATTAACTTGTTTTTCATATATTGGCTATTTCTTGAACAAAAGAAGCCCAGAATTCTAACTCCTTCACTGACTATAGTGTTCAGAGATGTTGGGATGCACGCGGACCAAAGCGGTCTGCAGCCTCTTCCTTTGTTTTGCCCTCCCCACAAGTGTTGGGAGTAGGCCGCTTGATGTGTGTGCTGTTGTCCTGGGGCATCAGCCGCGTTTAGATCAGCAGGCAGAGCCTGGTCAGCTCGCTGCATCTGCGTGAGGAAACGGGCTTCCAGCTGTTGTGGTCCTGTGCCCTTGTCTAGATCTTCGATGCCTTCAAGTCCCGCTTGCACGACTCCAACAGCAAAGTCAACCAGGTGGCCCTGGAGACGATGCACCGCCTGATTCCTCTGCTGAAAGAGAAGCTGTCCCCCATTATCAACATGCTGATCCCTGCCTTGGTGGACAACAACCTGAACTCCAAGAATCCAGGCATCTACGCCGCTGCCACAAACGTCATCCAAGCCCTCTGTCAACACTTAGGTAATGGGGCCTTTTCAGCTGCCAGCCACGCTTCGGAAAACAGGGTCGCGAAAAAGAATTCGCAGCAGGTTTGGGGCTGAGCAACCAGGAACTCTTGTTTCTTTTTCCATTGCTCAGTTTATGCATCTGTTCATTGTGTGTTGGCACACTGGCGCTCCAGGGGGTGGAGGAATGTTTCCAAGCTGGAGCAGGCCTCCAGCCAATTCTGATGGGGGGGGGGTTAGGATTCCAAAGGCCTCATTCTGTGCACTTCCCTGCCAGGGAATTCCAAAATAGCCCCTTCCTGGCTATTCTGCATCAAACACAGGATATATGTAGCCCTCCTGGGACTCCCACTGAGTTGGTTTTCTTTTTTTTTTAAATCATATTTATTAAAGTTTCCAAAAAAATAAAAATACAAAGAAAAAAGACAAAAGAAAGAAGATATTTAAAAACCTTACTTTCATTCCCTACTTTCTGGGACTCCCCCTCCCCTAATTGTATTCCCCTTTCCTTAATTTGGTTCTACAAGCTCTCACTCCCAATTTAAAGCTTAATTTGTTTAACCCACTATCCAGATTGAATTGTACAAATCTTACCACCGTCCCACATCATTAACAGAAAAAGAAAAAAGATTTTCCCCAAGATCCACCCCAGTTCCTTCCACAAATTCCCTTTTTTTAAACACGTCCGATCAAAGTAAAATAACATGCGTAAGTTATGTAAAGAAATAGAAAATAAGAGATATAGAAAAATTCAAAAAATGGTTACACAGCCTTTGGATTTCAAATCTCCCCCCTTCCCGGTTTGAATTCCCCATGTCCATCAGTCTATACATTATCAGCTTGGAAGTCTCATTTCATGACCAGATTTCTCCCGATTCCATCTTGCCGGTTTTCTTTTAGTTTATTAATTTAAATAATATTTGACTTCAAATGTCCAATCTAACAAAGGCCTTTAATTTCCTTGATCTTTACCACTCCTCCCGTTGTTCTTTCCGTGTCGTAATCAGTCCTTTATTCTTCTTATTCCTCACTTTCTCAGGTTTCTTGTCCTGTTCAGCTGCTAAAACTTTCTAATTCAGAAATCTAGTGTCTCTGCAGAGGTTTGTTATTCAGGAACAAAAACTTACGTCCAGTCCCTTTCTTTCTTCAATAAAAATTCCATTGTCTTCCTCTGTAGACAAAATACTCTTTCAGTTTTGCAGCTTTCCCAGAAGATAACAAATCCTGTGCGAATCCCAGGGTATTTTTCCACTTACGACCGTTCTTGTAGTATCCCGAAACCCCTCTAGGGGGATTGTAATAACTTTGTATCCTCTAATCCAAAAGTCAAATTGTTGCTTATTTTCCAACAGTTTATATCCATATTATAGCAAATTGTAACAAAATTAACCAGCAAGGTCCTCATAAAGTCCTCTTTATATTCTCCAGCTTTGACAGCCACTTTGACAGCTGTCAAAGTCTCCGTCTCTCTTCACCAGGCTCCACGAATCGCCCCGGTTCCCAGGGGGGGGGTTGCATTTCTTCTCACCCTCCACTCTTCTCCTCCAGCACATTTCTTATAATTTCCCATCGTGAAATTAATGATTTTTATCAGAGACATACTTCCCTTTGGACCTTGGTTACCCAGTCCTTGTTTTGGAATGCTTACAATAGGGGGGGGGATTGACTTCCTTATTAAATCGCCCCCGCTCGTGCCAAATCCAAAATTTTGAACCCGGTTTCCTAATTACTCACGGGTTGTTGTTAATAGTCCAAATTTTCAATAGAAGAAGTCAGCGCTCTCCGTCGAATGGCATGCGGCTGCGCTCGGCAGGGAAAGCAGTGGACTCAAAGCACAACGCCACTCCCCGGCACCAGAACCGAAGCATTTAAAAAGGCTCCGTCACGAGTCGGGAGGGCGCTACTGGTGCAAGCCGCGTCACCCATGTCCACGGACTCCGTGCCCGTGGATTTTAAGGGTCCCCGCGTCGCCGACGCGGTAGGACCCAGCCCCTGCCGAGCAGACTCCCTCCGGAGCTCGGAGGGAGTCCGCCATTCGGCGATGGCGCTAACCCGGAAGTCCCACTGAGTTGGTTTTCTGTCTCCCTCCCTCCTCTGCATCTAGACAACTACCTGCTGCTTCAGCCGTTCTGCACAAAGGCCCAGTTTCTGAATGGGAAAGCCAAGCAAGACATCACAGAGAAGCTTGCAGGTAAGGCTCTTCGTGCTTTGCTGCCGTGCCTTCGTACCCAGAGTTCGCCCTTCCAGGATGAGCCTGCGCAGGATCTGCTTGCTCAAGACTCTTTACTGCTCTGCAGCGTCCGTGATGGTGCCAGGCAGCTTGGAAGGTTGTTGCCAACCTAAGGGATGTAAAACGAACGTGAAATAGCCCATTGATATCCCATCCCATTATAACAGCTGAAAGCAGAGCAGGAGTTTAAGCTTAAGAACTGAGGAAGCTGCCTCACACAGAGTCAGGCCATTGGTCCATCTATGGCAGTACAGTGGTACCTCGGGTTAAGTACTTAATTCGTTCCAGAGGTCCATTTTTTTTTAAATATATATTATATTTTTATTAGTTTTCAAATACAAAAACAAATTTATACATTCCATACATCTTACTTCTCTTTTTTGACTTCCCTCAATTTGTCTGCCATTCCTTCCTATTGTTACTTTTTACAGATTTCTACCCTTTTAACCCTTTCTCCTCACAGAGCTTCCTTAAAGCTTACAAACGTAATTTTATTATCACTCAGTTTTTGCATATATTGGATAAACTTTTCCCAATCTTCTGTAAATCTTTGATCTCGTCGATTCCGGATCCTTCCTGTCATTCTGTCCGGTTCTGCATAATCCATCATTTTAGTTCTCCATTCTTCTATCGTAGGTAATTCCTCCTGTTTCCATTTCTGGGCCATCAATATTCTTGCTGCTGTCACTGCATATAAAAATAACTTCTTTTCTTTCTTATTTATCTCATTACCTGTAATGCCTAGTAAAAATGCTTCTGGTTTCTTAACAAATGTATATTTCAACATTTTCTTCAATTCATTATAAATCATTTCCCAAAAGCATTTTACCTTCTTACATTCCCACCACATATGAAAAAAGGTACCTTCTTTTTCTTTACATTTCCAACATTTGTTACTTATCTTATACATTTTTGCTAATTTCACAGGTGTTACATACCATCGGTACATCATTTTCATAACATTTTCTTTTATAACTGTGCATGCAGTGAATCTTAAACCATCTTTCCAAAGTCTTTCCCAATCCTCCATTTGAATATTATGCCCTATATCTTGGCCCAGTCGATCATAACTGATTTTACCTCCTCATCCTTCGTACACCATTCCAGTAATATCTTATACATTTTTGCTAAATTCTTATAATCATTATTCAATATTTCTGTCTGAAATTTTGATTCTTTGTCAGCAAAACCCCTCTGATTTAAATCTTTTCTAAACATCTCATTAATTTGAAAATAATGCAGCCAGTCATTCACATAGTCCTTAACTTCTTCAAATGATCTCATTTTCCATTTTCCTACACTTTTACGCATTAACTTCTCATATGTCACCCAACCCCCTGTCATATTGACTTTCTTCACACTTATCGCCTCCAACGGCGACAACCAATATGGAGTTTTTTGTTCCAGCAAGTTTTTATATCTTTCCCACACTTCAATCAAAGACCTTCTTATAATGTGATTTTCAAAACCTTTATGTACTCGTCTCTTGTCATACCACAAATACGCGTGCCACCCAAATCTATTATCAAAACCTTCAAGATCTAACACATCCGTGTCTTCTAATTTCATCCATTCCTTCAACCAACAGAGACAAGATGCTTCGTAATACAATTTCAAGTCTGGCAGGGCGAAGCCTCCTATTTCTTTTGCGTCCGTCAATATCTTAAATTTTATCCTCGGCTTCTTACCCTGCCAGATATACCTTGAAATTTCTCGTTGCCAATTTTTAAAAATTGCTGCCCCTTTGATTACTGGAACTGTTTGAAACAAGAATAACATCTTCGGTAGCACATTCATTTTTATCGTTGCAATTCTTCCCCAAAATGACAATTTCATTCTTCCCCACACCTCTAAGTCCCTTTTGATCTTATTCCATGTTGGAATATAATTATTCTGAAACAAGTCAATACTCCTAAATATTTAACTTTCTTTACCACTTCTATTTCAGTTTGCTGCTGTAATCTGTTTACATTCTCCGAATCTACATTTTTAGTAATTGCTTTAGTTTTTTTCTTATTCAGAATGAATCCTGCCAACTGACCAAACTGGTCCACAAATCCTTTTCTTATCCCTTTCGGATCTTCAATCTTATTATCTTCCACAATTATTCTATGAATAGTATTTTGCTCTTTCCTTTTTTTTTATCTGCCAAGCAAGCAGTTTTCCTGACTTGTTTGCAAATTCAAAGTTCCTTTGTCTCATTCTTTTAATATTCCATTCTACTTCTCTGTTTATTATCATTGCAAATTGTGCTTGTAACGCTTTAATATTCATTTTCGTTTTATCTTCGGGACTAGTAATCAATCTCTTCTCATTCTCCATTATTTGTTTTAAAATTTCTTTTTTCCCATTTTCTCTTAATTTATTCTTAATTGAATTCTGTTGAATAAAAAGTCCTCTCATTACGGCTTTACTAGCGTCCCAAACTGTGGTTATTTTTGTTCCTTGATTCATATTATTAAAAAAATAGTCCTTCAAGCACTTTTGTGCCTCCTCTACAACTTTTTGATCATCAAAGAGAGTCTCGTTTAGTCTCCATCGGAAAGATTTTTCTTCATATACTTTCAAGATACACTTTATTGGATTATGATCCGATAGTACCTTAGGTTGAATTTCGATCTTTAAAATTCTTGTTGTAAGCTCATTAGTTATCCACATCTGATCGATTCTTGACATTGATTGATTTGCTTCTGACTGATACGTGAATTGTTTTTCTAATGGGTGTTTCAGTCTCCAAATATCTATTAAATTGCAGTTCTCTACCATTGAAAAGAATGTCTTTGGTAATTTCCTTCTTTGGATTTACCTGTAGCTCTTAGTCTGTCCATGTCCAATGACACAACTGCGTTCATGTCACCCATTATTATAATCTTTTGGTCCATATATTCAAATAATTTTTCCTCTAATTCTTTGAAAAAGTCCATTCTGTTTTCATTTGGTGCATATACTCCGACAATTATTAATTTTTCACCTTGCCACTTAACTTGTACTGCCATGATTCTACCCTCATCATCTTTAAAAATTTGTTGAGCTTCTAATTTGTTTTTAATATATAATACCACTCCTTTCTTTTTAGTTTTGTCCAATGAGATAAATTCGTTTCCTAATTTTTTGTTTATTAAGATTTTCCTGTGTTTTCTCATCACATGTGTTTCTTGTAGGCAAATAATGTCTAAATTTTGTTTTTTCAAATATTGATTAATTTTATTTCTCTTTTTTTCTCGTTCATTCCATTAACATTCCAGGTTCATAATTTCAACGCCATTTTGATTTCTGATTAATTTATAATAATAGTCTTTAAATTTTACTTCTCCTCTTCTTCTTCCCCTTCTCCTCCCTCCTCTTCTGATTCTTGTGAGGCTCCTCCTCCCGCTCCTGCTTCCGCCAGTGCTGCTCCATCTTCTTCTCTTCCCAGTTCTTTATATCTTCTCAAAAATTTATCCATTTCATCAAATCTTGTTATCCTGTGTCTTTTCCCTTTATAAGCAAATGACACTCCTTCTGGGAACTCCCATCTAAATTCAATTTTGTTTTTTCTCAAAGCTTGCACCAGCTGTTGATATTGGTTCCGTTTTTTCAAAAGCCGAAGTGGGACATCTTTAAAAATAATTACAGTGGTGCCTCGCAAGACGAAATTAATCCGTTCCGCGAGAGTCTTCGTCTAGCGGTTTTTTCGTCTTGCGAAGCAAGCCCATTGACGGATTAGCGCTATTAGCGCTATTAGCGGTTTAGCGGCTATTAAAGGCTTAAAGGCTTAGGGGATTAGCTGCTAAAAGGCTATTAAAGGCTATTAAAGGCTTAGCAGATTAGATAAAGGGGGGGAAAAGCGGAAAAAAAAATCAAGACTCGCAAGACATTTTCGTCTTGCGAAGCAAGCCCATAGGGGAATTCGTCCTGCGAAGCAACTGCAAAACGGAAAACCCTTTCGTCTAGCGGTTTTTCCGTCTTGCGAGGCATTCGTCTTGCGGGGCACCACTGTATGTTGCTCCCGTCGATGTTCAATCTCTTCTCCCTATTCTTTTGCAGAATTAAATTTTTCATTTCTCTATCTTTAAATATCACCAAACAGTCTCCTGGAAATTTCTTGGCCTTTGTTGATCTCACTCTGAAAGCATTTTGTATTGTTTTTGCTACGTCCTCTTCCTGCATCTCAAGCCATATGGCAATTTCTTTAATTAATTTCTCCTTTATTTCTTCTCCTTGGGACTCTGGTACCATTCTAAATCTCAGATTATTCTCCTTCTATCTCAGTTCATTCATCGAAATAGCGTCCCACAATTCCTCTTGTGTCTTGTTAACCTCTGCTACTTCTGCTTTAATTTTTCTTCTTCTTTTCTAATCTCCTTGACTTGCGTTTTAACCTACCTTGCCCCTTCTTCCAAATTTTGTGTCCTTTTTAACATATCTTTCATCTGCCCCTTTATTTCTTTGACTGTTTCATCAATTTTTTCCACGGTCACATCTATTTTTTTATCCACCAACTCCAATTTTGTCTCTGTTTTTCTCACTTTTTTGTATTTCTGATTTAAGATCTGCTTTGAGCTCTGTAAATAGCTTTATTAATTCTCCTTTTAATATCAGATTCTTGTCTAGAACCTTTCCTTTCTGCTGGTGTCCCTGCTTCACCTTTTTTCTGTGTATGAGACATCTTGTAAATTTAATCAAATTAAATTAATAATTTTTGATGCACCAATAAGATTGTCCACCAGGGGGCTACGTTTCCCTAAAGTTCAATTTCTATTTTGTTAGGACTGTATTTATATGATTGTCCACTAGGGGGCGCTCCAAATTTATCAACCGAATGTTAGCTAAGGAGAATTAAAACAAAAGCCAAACTCAAAATCTTCAATTTTTTCTTGCCACTTGGTTGGCTAAATCCAATACAGTGGTTATGATAATTAAAAATCTGAAAGTATTCTCAGAAGTATCCTTTAAATCACTGTAGCAAAGTCCTCGGAGAAAATAAATCCCAAAAGCCTCAAAATACCAACCATCAAGAGACCCCCACAAAAAAACAAAAACAAAAAAATAGATCAATCCAAATTTCATGGGGGGGGGGGGAGAACAGGGTAAATAGACACAACTCCCAACCCTTTTCAATGTCCAAAAATGAAATAAAATGGCATTGCTTTCTTCTCATAAACAATCAAATTATGGGGGGTGGGGGGCGGGCACAAATCCTCTGGATAAACTTTCAAAAAACCAAAATAATCTTTCCAAATGTATCCCAGTCCACTCTCCAAACAAACATAAAAGGCAAATAATACTTCTTCCCTTGTTAATAAACAATGCTGCCAAGGTGAGTGTGTAAAAATAACAAAGAATAAGAACTTTCCAGTTCGTTGCGCAGTTCACTTAAAATCGAAAGTAAAGTAATCCGTTCTCAAAATCCTTCCTCGCCATCTTGACCACTCACCAAACAAAAAAGAAAGGGATTATTCCCTCTATCCCCTCGGTCTTCTTCACCCCACCAGTTCCTTATGTAAGTCCCTTAAAAAATATCAAAAGCCAAAAAAAATAAAACAGCAAGATAGTTCCAATTGCCAAGCAGTCTCCGCTTGTTTTTTACTCCACACTGATAATAGTCCTTGTGTGCGCTTCGGAATTCAGACAAAGTTGACCTCCTTTTTACCCTTTGTCTGCATCGAATTGGGTCCAAATCAGCAAATTTTAATCCTTTCGAAACTTCCCAAACGATTTCTTTTAATTTGGAAAGCCGATCGCTCCAGTGGGCAGGCTCGGGGCTGCGCTCCTAGAGGCTGGCAATGGCGTCCCGCTGCCAGCCCTTCTACCCCTCCGCTCTCGTCTCCTCTTTAAAGAAGATACCTGGCGGCCAGAGGAATCGCTACTCCGCAGCGCTGGGATCCTTACCCCCTGAGTATCCTTTCAGCGGGGTTTTGGGGGGCTAAGGCGCCCTTTTGGCACCCCCGTTTATCTTCTAGGAGCTGGCCTCCCTCTCCCGAGGGAAAACCCGCTTGCTTCCACTTTCCGATCAGCCTGTTCCGGAGGTCCATTCTTAACCTGAAACTGTTCTTAAGCTGAAGCACCGCTTTAGCTAATGGGGCCTCCTGCTGCTGCCGCACCGCCGGAGCACGATTTCTGTTCTCATCCTGAAGCAAAGTTCTTAACCTGAAGCACTATTTCTGGGTTAGCAGAGTCTGTAACCTGAAGCGTATGTAATTTGAAGCGTATGTAACCCGAGGTACCACTGTATAAGCTTTCGTGTGCATGCACACATAAGCTTATGCCCAGAACAAACTTAGTTGGTCTCTAAGGTGCTACTGGACAATTTTTTAATATGCTCATTATGTCACTGAAGCCTGGCTTTATGATTAAGGATAATGAACGGTGAAAGTGTGTATATAACAAAGCAAAGGGGGAGGGTGGCGTTCCCTTGGCTCGTATTTGGCTCTAGCAGCAAGAACAAAGTTGTTCAAAATGCTCTTAAGTTCTGAACCCGAGGTACTATTTCTGGGTTAGCGGAGTCTGTAACCTGAAGCGTATGTAACCTGAGGTACCACTGTACTGTCTACATGCATTGGCAGCAGGGGTCTCCCCTAACAATTCCTGGGGATTGAAGTCAAGGCCTTCCACTGTGCTCTGCTGCGGAGCTGGGCCCTTCCCCACAAAGCTTGTTTGGAGCACCATGCGCTTAATTGATGGCCTTTCCAGAAGATGTTCTGAGTTTGCATGCTCTCAGTTGCATTCTTGCTCAAGTTGAGCAGGCCAAGGCTTGAGGTGGGGAAGAGCCTTTGGTGTGACCAGTTACTCCCCCCCTCTCTCCGCCTCCCCTTTTGTTGTTCCGAATCCAGAGCTGGTGGTGGAGCTGTATCCTCGCAAGCCTCACGCCGTGGAGCAGAAGGTCTTGGTGGTCCTGTGGCACCTGCTGGGCAACATGACCAACAGCGGCTCCTTGCCCGGAGCCGGCGGCAATATCCGGACAGCCACCGCTAAATTGTCCAAAGCGCTTTTTGCACAAATGGGTCAGAACCTGCTGATCCAAGCTTCGTCCCAGTCCCCCCACATCAAAAGAACTCTGGAAGAATTCCTTGACCAAGCTACCTGAAGCAGACTGAGCAGGGGCAGGTGTGTGCATGAATAAATGCACCTTCATGGACAGTACGGTACCGACTCCTTTCCGTGGGGTCGAGTGGAGCATCCCCCTCCCTCCCTCTCTCTCGCTGCATTCCTTCACAGTGCCTGTGCTTTTCACGTGGAAGTGGATTTGGATTGACTGCTTTTAATTACTGGGTTTTCCTTCCCCCTGGTACGCGTCCCAGGCCGAAACCAAAATCAGTATGATGCTTGGGAACTCTCCCCCCTCTGGTGCTGTCCCAAGAATTCTGTGGAGTTGGGGAATGGATGTCTTGCGAAAGCAAAAGTCAGCTCTGCTTGTTTGCACTCTTCTGTAGACTCAGTGGGACAATGCCCTGTGTGTGTGCGCTAACGAAGATGAGATTTTAAAAATAGGAATAGTTCTAATCATGAAATCATGTTATGACATGTCTTCTCATGTAGCCTTAAGAGGGAGGGGGGGGAAAACTTTTGAGAGGCACATTTATAAAGAACAGGGTTCTGTGTGACATTTGTGGAAAAAAATGTATTTTTAAAATCAGTCCCAGTCATGATTGTGCAGTGTTTCCTTGCTTTTGCTGCTGCTGCTGTTGATGTATGACATCTGCTTGACAGTTGGGCATCATTATCTGCACACTCTTGTAAAACTTTTAACAGGTTATAATGAAGCATGTTGACCAAAATTTATAGAAAAGAAATAATTTTTACATATTTTGAACAACACATGTCTTAAAAGAAATGTCACGTGTTGAATATAGCTTCCATATTTTAGTGTGAAAAAATAATACTGAATTTATCTCTGTCCAGAATTTATAAAGGTGTTAAGTTTTCTGCCCTGCTGTGCAATCCTCAGCAATCTAGTGCCAGTTGTTCCTTCTGCTCTCGAAATTTTACCATCTACAAGTACTGTATTCATTTGAAACACAAAAACAAAATGTTATTAAAAAAATAAATGGATTTATTTCTGTAAAAATGATTCCCTCATGTTGCTAGACTTGAAATTTACTTTGCATAAAATGTATGTCATGAAAATCCATGTGGAAGTAGGGGGAAAGTGGCCGGCAAATGTGCCATTTTGGAAAGAAAATGTGGGGAGGTCAGGATCGGACCATTTGGTCCATTTAGTTCACTACTGTGCATAATTAGTCTTCTATGTGGGAAGTCTGAGAGTTGGGGCTATTGTATGTTGCAGCCATATGAACTTTCTGAGAAAGTTCATGTCAGCAACGCCACTTTCAGAGATGGTTTTATGGAACAAACCTATTGATGGAGGGAAGACGTGAGGAGGGAGGGGGGAAAGCAGACATACCAGACCCGCCATACTAATCCTCTTTTCCAAAGGAGTGGCCCCATCCTTGCGAAGTGTAACCAAGGGTACTCAGATCATGGCACAGCCTCAAATGAGGAGCTGTGGGCTTTGTCCAGTTGAAGGGGGGATCTGGAGTGTGTTCCTAGCATGGTTATCTCTCGCTTGGACTACTGCAACGCACTCTATGTGGGGCTACCTTTGAAGGCAACCTGGAAACTACAATTAATCCAGAATGCGGCAGCTAGACTGGTGACTGGGAGCGGCCGCCGAGACCACATAAGACCTACACTGGCTCCCAGTACGTTTCCGAGCACAATTCAAAGTGTTGGTGCTGACCTTTAAAGCCCTAAATGGCCTCGGTCCTGTATACCTGAAGGAGCGTCTCCACCTCCATTGTTCTGCCCAGACACTGAGGTCCAGCTCCAAGGGCCTTCTGGCAGTTCCCTCATTGCGAGAAGTGAGGTTACAGGGAACCAGGCAGAGGGCCTTCTCGGTGGTGGCACCCGCCCTGTGGAACGCCCTCCCAGCAGATGTCAAAAGAGAACAACTACCAAACTTTTAGAAGACATCTAAAGGCAGCCCTGTTTAGGGAAGCTTTTAATGTTTAATAGGTTATTGTATTTTAGTGTTTGTTGGAAGCCGCCCAGAGTGGCTGGGGGGACCCAGCCAGATGGGCGGGGTATAAATAATAAATTATTATTATTATTAGGCAAGCAGGACAGATTAGGGATTTGCTGGTTCTGCCCAGCAGTCTCCCTGCCTGAGCTGGTTTTGGAGGCGGTGTTGAAGACTCCTGGACTGCTGGTTCTGGGGAACTTCAACATCCATGATGAGGCGACTGGCTCAGGGGGCTGTCCCAACATGTCACTGGCCCAACACATGTGGGAGGACACACTCTGGACCTTGTTTCCTCGACTGGGAGGGAAGAGGGTGGTCTGGAAGTGGGGGACATGGACATCAGCCCCATGTCAGATCACTTCCTGTTGAGAATCAGGCTTTCGGCACCTTTTCCCCTCCATGAAGGTGGGGGGTCTACAGTGGACACTCGGGTTGTGAACGTGATCCATGCAGGAGGCACGTCAGCAAACCCGCAGTGCCGTGTCTGCGCACACGCGGGTTGCGATTTGGCAGTTCTGTGCATGCGTGAGCGCCCAAACCTGGAAGTGACCCATTCCGGTACTTCCAGGTTTCGGCACGTCCATAACCTGAAAACGCGCAACCCGGAAGTAACCCATTCTGGTACTTGAAAACGTGCAACCTGAAGCGTCTGTAACCCGAGGTATGACTGTATTAGGATGGCCCAGCCTCAGGGACTCTTTAGTAAGAGCTGGGAAACAGCAGCTCAGCTAAACGAGATCCGGAAAACACCAACTGGAGAGCAGCATGATGCATAGAGGTGTAGCGCACTGGGCAGGCGGGGGATGGCTTCCCAGGTCCCAATAAAAATGTCATCCCCACCACACAGGACATGGACTGCTCTCTTGCTTAAGAGGCTCCCACGAGACCACAACCATGAGAGGAGCTTGGAGTTCTGATGTAAACACAAAAGCACACTTGAGCTCGGGGGAATAGGTAATGTCGCTGTGAGGGTGGGGTTTTTTTTTGGGGGGGGGGTTCTAACTGGATTCTTGGATGAGAAGTTTGATGCCTGCAGGTATTCAAAGAAGATAAATCACTATATGGGTAAAACCCACAAATTTAAACTGTTTCAACTTGTATTTTAATAGATGTGCAATTGTTTCTTGAACATCTTAACCAGAATATTTTTTTATACAGCCCGTTTACTCAAGGAGGTTTTTATTGTATTTCCCTTAATCATAAGGCAAATTCCATTTTATCTCATTTTTTGGCAATTAAAGTGTCCATTGGAACTGGGCTATCAACTTGTTTTGCTGCATCTACTTGTTTTATATATAAAATAATGTCCTAATAAGTTATCCAATTTTGAGAATAACTGCATATAATTTTTTAAAAATTTGGTTTTCACAGTGCTGCGTGGTCAGGAATTGTTCCTCTCTGACTAACCCTCCATCCGCTCGCATCCCATCCAATGCTCTTTTCAAAATGACTTGCTGGCTTCCCCAATGATCACACCCTTTGAAAGTGGGTGGTTAGCAGTTCTGCCCCACTTCAAACCTGCCTAGTCTCCACTGCTGCCCACCAGAGCAGAGCTCCTCCTTGGCAAGGGCACCATTTGCTGCCCTCGAATGTTACCCTGAACAGCTGTCACCTGACAAAGCCTGGAAATCCCAACTATGAACAAAAAAACCAACAAATGAATTGTTACAAATTAAATGACGCGTGTAATGATCCTGATGAACCTATGTGGGCAGAAACGCGGAATCGACCTGCAGACACTCCAAGGAGAGTAACTGATCCAGGATCTCCTACAAAGTCTCTGGGGACCACTTGATCCAGTAAGCCCGTGTTTCCACGTGCAAGCTCATCCCCAGCACCGGAATGAAGGAAAAGCACAGAGATTGAGGTGGTGTTGGGGGTTCAACCAAAGTTCAAATCCCCACTCAGTCTCAGACCAGGAACCATATTGCTTCTTCTGCTTCACAGCTGGTTCTGATGGTGGAGTAGGGCTGCCCAGAGCTGAAATCCTAAGCGATTAGCTGTCCGCTTCCTCCCCCTCCTCCTCGTTTTGCTCCTCCTCCTCCATCCTTTCATCCTCCTCTTCGTTCTCATCGCCTCGGTTCTTCTCAGGGTCTTCTGCATCTCCCTTCTGGTCTTTGTCTTTTTTCTTTAGCTCTGAGGCTCCCTTTTTGCCTTTCTGCTCACGCCTGTAAGCTAGAAGGACAAGCAACTGTCAAAGCAAGCCCAGGCAGTGGCTATTATCATCACACACCCGGGCACAGGAGAATGCGAACCAGAAACTGAACAGAGGACACTTGAACATTTACCTTCTAAGGATTCCTTTAAGGGGACAACAAATCTCTGGAACTCCATCTCCTCCATGGCTGAGAGGACGTCTGCAGCATTCAGCGTCTTTCTTTTCCCCTTCATTGCAAAATTGTTGGCACTAATTATGGAGAAAGCAAAGGAAAAATTACTCACCCGTCACTAGTAAAAATCTCCTACCAGTCTTTTTCCCATGGAAAAATTAAACTTTTAATAATTCTCTTCCTCCTGCCCCTCATAAAATTAAACAGCAGCAAAATGAATGGCTACACAGTGCAACCATGTGGTTTCAAAGCTTTAATTAGTTTTTTTCCCAGGTGACTATCCATATGAAAAACATACATCCACATATATCAATGCACAGCTCTTTTGAGGGTACTAAAACAAACATCTTAATTTTCAAGAGCACCATTGTTTAAATACCTTTTTATGAGGAGGCATGGCTTGCCATGGTGCAAGATAGCAGCATGACCTAATTTCTCCCATCAATTGGACCAATAGGACTTGTACTGAAGCCTTTATTGATATACAACAATATTTGCGTTGCTCTATACCGTCCACCTTATGGAGGTTGAGGCTACTGGAAGGCTGGAGCGCCACCAAATTTATTGCATTATGTTTGTGTTTGTTTGTGTTATTAAAACTGGTACGGTCATTATTCTTATAAACAACATATAAATTGCAAGTCAGCGTTGTGAAATGTCACACAGGAAAGGTGTGTGTTGAACAATTGTGAAGGGACAGCCTAAGCTCTCTTTACTTTTTGTAGACCGAGTGAACAAAAAAACCAAACAAAACAAAACCTACCAACATGACTGCAACCAGTTCCACTAGCCACATACCACTGTCAGTAAGTAAAAATGGTGAGAGGCTTGAGCTTATCCAGTCAGGCTCATGGGTCTCACCACCAGCAGCACTCACTCACCATGATGTGGCATACAACACAAACACACTGGCAGCTCGGGAGATCGCACTTCGGGCTTCTTTGGAAATATTTACTCCATCAGGAAGCTGAGGGGAAAGAGGCGTGAGTAAGCCTGGGAGATCCATGTCGCGTCTGCATTCAGCAGGCACCAGTTGCCCGCAGCGTTCTGTCCCACTCCTATCAAGACACATCTGACATTGCACTTCTGCCACTGATGAGGGTGTTTTCCCTCTCCCTCTATGTCTTGCACACCAGCCACTAGCGCCTCTGTCTTCTCCAACGCTCCAGATTCCCAGCATCTTGTCCACTTACTCATAGCTCCCACGGCACCGGAAGTATTTTTACAGAATGTTAACCATGTAATGAAACATGACAAATACGTAAAACCCAAACCAAGGCTGGCACAGGATGTTACATTCGGCAGAGAAAATGTTAAAGCAGGTTATCCGGGTAGCTGCAATAAGATAAAGGCAGGTAAGTAGAGAGGGAATGCAACAAGAGGCGAGGCAGACAGGAGTTGTAAGATGGAAGGAAACACAAACCTTTAACAGAAGCCATCGGAGCCACAAGAAGTACCAAGAACAGGGCTCAGCCACACTTCCATTTGCTCTGAAATTTCTAATCACGGGTCCAAGAGGTTTTCCTTTTGTTCTACCACTTTCCCCGGAAAAACCTGCCGTTTGTACTGCTGAACAAAGGCCACAGAAAACCCCATCGATGTTTGTTCTGATTCAACAGCAAACGGTGGGTTTTCCTGGGGAATGTGGCTGGAAAAACAAGAAAAGAAGCTACTTGCACTTTCAGGAAACATCTGAAGGCAGCCCTGTATCGGGAAAGTTGTAATGTTTGGGTATTTTTGGAGGGCTGGGGAAACCCAGCCAGATAGGTGGGGTATATTGTTGTTGTTTTTGTTGTTATTCTTATTGAGTTTATATAACACCCTATACTGGTAGGTAGAATATAATAACATTATTATTATAATTTTATATTATAACAATAAAAATAATGATATAGTTGTTGTTCTTGTCTGCAACCCTGGGGCAAGTGGTGGAAGTGTGCCTGAGCCCTGAGAGGTTGCCTATTACTCACGGCTTCCTTCATGATGCGAGTGATGACAGCGTTGGGCAGGTTCAGGTCTTCGGGACGTTCTGCCATGGCACCCCTGGAGCCTGGGGAAAGGGGGGAACACGGCAGCAAGGGGGTTATTTAAGTTTAGGGAAGCTTATAATGTTTGGTGCATTACTGTATTTCAATATTTTGCTGGAAGCCGCCCAGAGTGGCTGGGGAAGCACAGCCAGATGGGCGGGGTATAATTAAATTATTATTACTATTATTATTATGCGCTCTCTCTCCCCCCACGCATAGCTGCCAACTTTTCCCTTTTCTTGCGAGGAATCCAATTCGGAATAAGGGAATTTCCCTTTTAAAAAGTATTTGAAGACGCAACAAAGCAAACTGGACTCCTTGACTGGATTTGAATAAACATTCACAAACTTTTTTATTGATGATATATCAGCTAAATAGTTTGAGGATCTATACCATGGTACCTCGGGTTAAGCACTTAATTCATTCTGGAGGTCCATTCTTAACATGAAACTGTTCTTAACCTGAAGCACCGCTTTAGCTAAAGGGGCCTCCTGCTGCTGCCGCACCGCTGGAGGACGATTTCTGTTCTCATCCTGAAGCAAAGTTCTTAACCCAAGGTACTATTTCTGGGTTAGCGGAGTCTGTAACCTGAAGCGTCTGTAACCCGAGGTACCACTGTACAACTGTTAACATGCAGAAAACAGCATTCTCAGAGAAACCAAAGACTGGAACTGAGGGAGTGTGGGAGTGAGGAAAAATGGGGGTAAAAATAAGGATGATATGTTTCTGGATAATACGTTTTGTTTTAATTTTGAATAAAAAAAAGGGAAATGTTGGCAGCTCTGCCCCAGCGACGGCCGGCCTCGGCCTCTGGGCGGCTCTTTCCCTCGCTCCGCGTCCCTCACGGGGCCCAAGCGGCCCAGACAGGCGACCCCCGACCCCCTCACGGACAGGCGCCTTTGGAACTCCCCGCGCAGGGAGGCCGGGCTGGCGGCCCTGAGGGGAATAATCGCCTCAGCGGACCGCCGCCGCCAGGACTGCCCGCCCACGGCCTCCCCGCTCCCCGCCCCGGCTGGAGGGCGGCCCTTTCGGCCTCCGCAGCCTCCCGCGCGAGGGTGCCCCTGAGCCTGCACAGAGCGCGGCGCCCCCTCACCGCTCGCCGCAACGGCCGCTCGGAAGGCGCGCCGCGAGGGGCCTCCTCAGCACTCCCGGCATGCAGCGCGCCTGCGCACGCGCGGAGGGAAGGAGGGGCCTCGTCGCCGCCACGACGCTTCCGGCTCCTCTGCGGTTCTTTCCCCTCACGCCGCCCCGCAAGCGGCGCCCGCGAAGGAGCCGCGGAAATGGGGCGGGGGGGGCGCGACCCTCGACACGCTTTGCGTCGGAAGCTACCGCGTAGAAAGCCTGACGAGACCGAGAACGACGGCCTCCGCGGCCTTTGTCCCGCATATGGCGGCGGGACGAAGGGAAGCCGGAAGTTGGGGGCCGCCAAGAGTGCGCCGCTGGTCGGCTTTGCTAAGAGGCCTCCGCGCCTCTCTGTCCCGCGCGGTGCACTATGGGAAGGGAGAGGGAGGGCGCTGGACGTTGCTTAGCAACCAGAGAGCGGCCCGGCTTAGCGCAGGTGGGGGAGAAAAGGCGGGAGAAAAGGGCGGGAAAAGGGGGCGAGGGCGGGGGGAGGGGAGCCGCGGAAGCTTTTCCTCACAGAAAAGGGCGGAGAGGGGGCGAAGGAGCCCCTGAGCATGCACAGAGTGCTCCCCCCTCACACCTCGCTGGTTGACACGGAGACTTTGTTCCTCTCCTTCTCAAACTCTGTTTTTATAAATCTCCTTCCATTCAATTCGGGTCCTCTTTACCTCCTTCCATCTGGAGACCTGGAGCCGCTTTGCAGCATAAGGGGCAGGGGGGAAAAGGGGGAAATCAAGATGATGCGACCCCCGAGCGAGGGGCGTTTTTAATGTTTTTTGAGGTTCTGTTGAAAGCCGCCCAGATTAAATAAATTATTATTTAACAATAAACAATTATTATTATTATTCATCATCATCCCTTTCTTCTCCCCAGCCCCCCCTCTGACTTTTGCCAAGGCCATTTTCAAGCCTGATTCAGGGTTTGAGGTGGTGATATTTTGGTTTTATTTACTCCAGGCATGTCGAAAGTCCGTTTCGGGGGCCTAATCCAGCCCAACAGTCGGTTTAATCTGGCCCTGTGGCAGTTTATTTCCTGGGGCAAAATCCTAAAAAAAAACCTCAACAACTTCAATCCTAAAAAAAGTTCAACGGCTTCATTAAATCATTAAAAATCATTTTAAAAAGTCAACAACTTTGCTTGGCCCTCACGGCCCTTCACTTCATCAAATCTGGCCCTCTCTGAAAAAAAGTTTTGAAATTTTTTTGGACACTACTCCGTTTTTGTTGTTCTGTAGTTCCAGACATGTTTTCTTTACTCATTTGTTGTTACTCATTTCCTCTTCCCTGAGGAAAAGCCTACAAACGCTGCCGGTGAAATAAATGGGAACTGGATTCATTTCTGTTCCATCTCTGGACACAAAGGATGTCTGAGGGGGATCACAGACATTTTGACTCTTCTTTTCTCCTTTCCCCATAGGGTCTCCCTTGCCTCCTCCCTCACAACAGCCCTGCAAGTTTGCCCTAGGCAGAGACACAGCGGGTGAGCAGCCAAAAGCTTCGTTTCTGAGCGGGCGATTTGAACCCAGAGCCCCCTGGCACCATTCCCACCACATGCACACAATAAAAAATCAAATAGAAGTTGAGGAGCAGCAAGTATCAGCGTAGCCAAAGGTTTGAACTACCAGCTCCTAATACCCGTAACTAAAAGTTTGTGTTTGTGTGTGCGTATTTTAAAACGTGCAGTAAACATTGCAGTTATAAACTAACTTTTTTTAAAAGGGACGAAAGAAAACAGTGCAAAAAAACACAAGAAAGATATGCAATGAGTATAATCAGTTTCAGTGACATACATTATTATATTTGTATATATAAATATTATTGTCCTACATGATTATCAGAAACCTACTATATTCTGTATAAACTCCTTCCAAGCATCAGTATATTTAAATAAACCTTTCACATTTCTACACTAACTTACCTGTGCGTAAGCCCTGCTGAATTCCATTGGATTTATTTATTTAATGTCTATAGACATCCAGCCGTTCTCCCAGATTGGGACTCGAGACGGCTGCCAGCGTATTTCAAAACACCACCAACAAAATACAGAGTAACAAAAACAAACCACTTAAGATGACCGGTAAAAGAATAAAGCCAGCCTTGAAATAACGATTGTCCTGATAGCGGACTTACTTCCGAGTACAGTAGATGCATATGGGATTGGCTCTTCCCCTACACACGCCACCTGTTTTATCCGGACAACAACTCTGCAAGCTAAGTTAGGCCAGCAGAGAAAGATGGAGGGAGAGCCACCAGCCCCAGGCCATCAGGAACCAGGCAGCTTCCCATCCCATCCAGGGCTGTTGTGATTGGTGTGCAAGGTCTTCTGGCCCTGGGCATCTCTTGGTTTAAAAAGCACAACAAAGATTCTCTTGCACCCACTTTGTCTCTCTTAAAAAGTTGTGTCTGCCCGGTCAGGATTTCACCAGCAGCAGATGAGGGAGTCAGCCAGCATCTCTGGATTGTGTCCCATTGGACTAAAGAGAACTTTTATAGATGAATGTTCTTCCATACTTCTAAATACGATATATTTTTTGCATATACTGTATGCAGTCAAAATGGCTGCTCCAAAGTAAGAACCCAGTTTAAGGTGTCTTAAAGGAGGGGGAGGGAGTTTTTATGCATGCAGGTGTGTCTTTATTTTGTAAAGCGCCGTGTGATCCTCGGATGAAAGGTGGTATATAAATTTGATTAATAATAAAATTACTTTGCCATCTTTCCCCTTTGCAAGGGCTAAGGGCAAGTAACCAGAGGAAGGTTTTGCCATTTTTTCTTCAGGAAATAAGCAGGCTATTGGATGGGAAACGAATGGCTTGAACACCTCTTGACATGCCCTGGTTGCCTTGATTTCTGCTCATATGATTTGGACCAGGAAAGCTCTCTCCATCTGAATGAAGGGGAGGTTCTCTCTCAGGCTTAGGCAGCACTCGGGCTCCTAACTAGCACATTGAATTGCATCTGGAATACTAAAGACCCAAGACTTAGCTATACAGCTGTAAATATGTTTTAAAATGCAGTATACAAATGTGGCACTAGATGGTAACAGTGAGCTATGCAAAATTCATTGTATTTTTTCAAAACATTAAAAAAAAAAAAAAAGCATTTCCACAGCGTTTTTTATATGTGTGCAAATTCCACCCCAGAGGGGTTCTAACCAGAAGCAGGACAGTTACTGGCCAGCAGCCTGTCCCTTCTGAAAAATTTGCTCACTGTTTCCGCTTGTTTTCAGGCTGCTCTAGAAAGCCAGGATGGCGACCATCGATGCCAGTCAGTGGGATGAAACCATTTGTGATATGATTGCCTGCCAACACCCTCCTTGCTGGGAGGCAGTCCAGAGGATCGTGAAAGGGCAGCCCCGGATCATGTTGAGAAGCCTTGACTCTCCGGAGGGAGATTCCCCCGAACCTGAAGGTAAGCCAGAGAAATTCTCACCCTGCACAATACGCTAAATTTATTGATTAAATTTATATATCGCCCTTCATCCGGAGATCACAGGTTTACAGTATAAAAACATAAATGATGTAGCGTAATAACAAATAATAACAATTTAAACAGCAACCTCCTCACCGTTTAAAAGGCCCAAGATGATGATGATGATTAGTTATTAAATGTATATGCTTCTGGTAGCGATTGGATGCCAAAGTATACTAGCCAAGTTTGACCCTATAGCCGTTGCAAGCAGTAAGCTGGAAGTGTCGCCACTCATACCTTTCTGCCTTTCCTTTTGTAGCTGGAGTGCTCTTCTCTTTGGTTTTTCCATGTTTCAGATGAACTGCCGACACTAAAGATTGTGGACCTTCCCCTCAACTATTCTCAGAGAAATCAGATAAGATGTGCTGAAAGTTTACTTTCCATCTCGAAAACTATCTCAAGCATTAAAGGTTCTAGAAGTTATTCGAATACCACCCTGAACAATGTTTTGATGCCCCCAATTTCACGAATCAGGTTAGCACACCGAGATTTCCCATAAATATGTGCTTCTGGAATCACAGGCTTTGGGTGTCTGACGTTTAATGCATTCTTTTGCTACTCCCATGAATTAGATCCATTTTGGTGCCCTTGGCAAAAAATCCTCATGACAGCCACACCCCCCCCCCCCAACAGACAGACCCCCCATTGAAACAAACTGGAGCTGAGCAGATACGTTGCAGTATCATTGTGGAAACCCCATACGTTTATTTTATTTTTTTTAATGATATTTATTAAAATTTCAGAAAAAAGAATTACATAAAAACAAGAAAAGCAAAAACAAAAGACAGAAGTAAAAATACAAGAAAAATACAAAATACAAAATACAGAATAAAAGAATAAAAAACACTTAAAAAAAAATATCTTTCCATGCCTTACATTCATATCCTTGTTTCCCTGACCTCCTCATACCTCCCTTTTTTGTATTCCAATTCAATTAGTTAATTCAGCAATTTCTTTCCCTCTTTATTTTCTCTTAATCCTTTAACTTAATATACTATAACTTTAAATTTTCACCTGTTATCAATCCATTTTTACATACACATTTATAGCATTACTGCTTAAACCACCTAACTTCATTCTAACATCATTCTAACATTCATTAATTTTGCAATATTTCTGGAGATAGTCTTTAAATTTCTTCCAATCTTCTTCCACCAACTCTTCTCCCTGGTCTCGGAATCTGCCAGTCATTTCCGCCAATTCCATGTAGTCCATCACCTTCATCTGCCATTCTTCCAGAGTGGGTAGGTCTTGTGTCTTCCAATACTTTGCAATAAGTATTCTTGCTGCTGTTGTGGCATACATAAAGAAAGTTCTATCCTTCTTTAACACCAATTGGCCCACTATGCCCAGGAGAAAGGCCTCTGGTTTCTTCAAGAAGGTATATTTAAATAACTTTTTCAATTCATTATAGATCATCTCCCAGAAAGCCTTAATCCTTGGGCACATCCACCAAAGGTGAAAGAATGTACCTTCAGTTTCTTTACATTTCCAACATTTATTGTTGGGCAAATGATAGATTTTTGCAAGCTTGACTGGGGTCATGTACCACCTGTATATCATTTTCATAATATTCTCTCTTAAGGCATTACATGCCGTAAACTTCATACCTGTGGTCCATAACTGTTCCCAGTCAGCCATCATTATGTTATGTCCAACATCTTGAGCCCATTTAATCATAGCAGATTTCACCGTTTCATCCTGAGTATTCCATTTCAACAGCAAGTTATACATCTTTGACAAAATCTTAGTTTTGGGTTCTAACAGTTCTGTTTCTAATTTTGATTTTTCCACCTGGAAGCCAATTTTCTTATCCAAATTATATGCCTCCATTATCTGATAATAATGAAGGCAGTCTTGCACTTTGTTTTTTAATTTCTCAAAACTCTGCAGTTTCAGTCTATCTCCATCTTGTTCCAAAATTTCCCAATATTTCGGCCATTTGACCTCCATATTGAGCTTTTTCAGAGCTTTTGCTTCCATCGGTGACAGCCACCTTGGGGTTTTATTTTCCAATAAGTCCTTATATCTTATCCAAACATTAAACAATGCTTTCCTGACAGGAAACCCCATACGTTTAAACGAGGCTTGCACAGTTGAGCTTACTGGTGGGTTGTGCCCTGTGTCAATTCATGCTTTTGCCCATGTGGTTTTTCCAGCTCCGAAAGGTATCCCTTCCCAGGACTGAACTCCAGGATGGAAACTCGTGCTTCCCACTTCACACCGATAAGTTTCACCTGCTTGAGGCAAGCTGAGAAAGTGAGTTCTCTGGATTGCTGGGAAGCTGGCTGTGGGTTGGGAGGTTGGAGAGAGACAGTAGGTCAGGAGGGGCAACTTACACATGGCCAGGGTCCTGCTGGCTCAGCACCAGCAGTAAGCACTTCCAGGAAGAGGCTGCTTCACGCTGCACTCTCTCCCTCTCCCTCTCTCTCTCTGGCTGCTTCCACAAGTGAAATCTAAACAGTGGCTCCACAACACACTTCACACAGCATAACAGCTGAAGCATTGCCTACCAGCCCTTAGGTAGTTTATTATTTTGCTCCATCCCCAGCCCCTCCACTGGCCCTTTAATTGGTAATTTCCTCCTAGCTTTGGATACAGTTGGCACTTTAATCGATTCCTTTCCCTTTGTAACCTGAGTGCTCCTACCTCCTGCTTTTTAACTTCCTACATATTTTTATTACTGTGATTGCCCACTTAACGACATTGATTACTGCAGTTGCTCGATGGGATTTCTTTGTAAACAATTAGAGCCTTAGGATTAGAAAGGGACCTTGAATTCCATCTAGCCCAACCCCCTACTGATGCTGGAAACTTACCACAATTGCTAGTTAAATTAATTAATTTCCTTGAACTTGCAGTTGCCGAACTTTTGTTATGCACCTCCTGCCCAAATAATGCTTGGATCTGCATAATGGGAGAGCTCATAGCCTTCCCTAAACTCCTAAAAAGTCTTTATATTATACATCTTTCTTTTTTTCTCACACATGCTGTTTACTTACAGCATTGCCTGAAACCTTGAATTGCTCCTGACGCTGAGCTGGCTGGGCCCCAAAGGCATGACTTGGGGTAAAGCAGCTTCCTGTGTTCCTAAGCAGGGAAGAGCTGTGTGTTCCTTCTTGCCAGCTACATCACAAAGATTATTTAATGGCCAGCAGTGGCACTCTACTCATGAAATATCACAAACATTGACAAAAGCAGCTGCAGAAACCACTTCTTGGGAAATCTTAGTTGTGTTTCTCTAGTGACCTTGTATAAGCTCTTTGGGGGCATTTGGCTAAATGGAGCATCTCATTTTCCCACATGTATATGATAGATACAGGTGACGGACTTCAGTGAGTCTGCTGTGCACGGGCTGTGCACACACCTGCCCCCCTGTGGAAGCTTGGTGGTCACATGGGTCCCAGACAGGCGCCACAGGCTTCTGCGACCTGAGAAGCCGGCCACAAGAGGGTAGGTAGCAGGATGCGGGTCCACATTGTCCCATGTGCATCTTAAGGGTTTCCCCTTGTGCTGGAGGCTTCAGTGGTATGAACTTCCCTTATGGCCTGTAGAGCAGGCGCTATGAAGCTGACTCCCCTGGGCAGTTCCTAAATACCTTACCCTGAGGACCTTACCCTGTAACACCTGTAGGAAATGATCCTGCTCACTTATCTATTTCTTACACCTATATTCTCCTTTTCAGCCAGTCTAGTCATGCCCCCCAAAAGGAGCTCACATGAACTAAAATCCAAAATTAAAACTGAATGCCACGTACTCTGTGGGGAGTGGGAAGTCTCAGCTGGGAATAATAATAATAATAATAATAATAATAATAATAATAAACAACAAGACATTATGGGAGGGGGTGCTTGACCGAGGGTTTCAGTGGCTGGCTGAGAGGGGAGTTCTCTGCTGGAGAGTCCTCCTTCCCTTCCCTGCCTGCCTGCCTTCCTCTCTCCTTCCGATAGCCTCAGCAATGGTAGCTGAAGGGCTGGGTGCAGGAAGTTGCCTTGCTAGAGATGAGAGTTTGCAAGAAGTTAACTGTGGGGCTTCTCTTTTATTAGAGTGCGGGTGAAAGACCTTGCTTCGGAAAGCACCCTCATGGTTGTGGAGAAGAAGGAGATGGTAAGTTGAGCTTTTTGCACTGTCTAGATCTTGCTCTTGCTTTCTAGGTCAGAAGCTGCCTGCCCAAAGTGTGCTGCCTCTTTCCTTTTCTTGGTGTGCTGGTCTGGCTCCTGTGCCTTTAATGGCAGCCTGTAATGCTGAAATGTAACATGTGAAGCTTTTTCTGGCATTGGGAGAAAGTGCTGAGGGAGCACTCTGCTTGCTACGTTTTTGTTGGCTGCTGATAAAGGCAGGGGAAGGTCTGGGTGTCCCACTTACAAGCTGTTCCAAGTCTACAGCGGGGTGGGGGGGTGGGGGAGAGAGAGATTCCATCAGGCTGAATTCTGTGGCAGCAGGTACTCAGTGATGTTGGGTTGGGAGCAAAGGGGAGTACACAAGAGCCTGCCTGTTCCAGGGTGTTTGTGTGAGTACCAGGTGCCAGTGGATGGACCTGCCTTTTTGGAGGGAGTGGGAAGGGCAGGGGTGGTAGGAGCAGTGGGAGAGTGTTTGTGGCTTTCCTCCCCTCCTGCCCACTGGAATTACCTTATTTCACAGAAAAGAAAAAAATCGAATAAAGTTCCTACAGGTGGTCAGCCCTACCTCCTTCATCTAAGGAAGAAGCCAAAGGAACCTGCCAATATGCCGAGGTCAGCTCCTAAACCACCATTTCCCTAACAAGGACTCATGCCTCTTAAAGAGCCAGGCCTGTATCTTGGTCCGCTGGCTTTGGTATCCTGACCCCTAAGAGCAAAGAGAACCCTCAAGAAGCCCATGCACCACCAGCATCGTCCTCCAGGGCTTGGCCAAGTTACTCCAAATTCTGCTTAAGAGGCAGAAACTGCAACAGCTGGGTGGGCAGAGTATGGTCCCCATTCTGTACTCATCGTGTGCTGTTGTTTTTGCCCTAAAGTATCCTTGCAGGTAAAGAAAAGGATCCCAAGGGAAGCCTCCTTGTGAGTAAAGAAAGGGATCCCAAGGGAAGCCTCCTGGGGGAGAAGAGCTTCTCATCCTGTCACTCACAGCTGGCTCCTGTTGCGCCCCCACTGCCTCGCTGCAAGAGCCTCCTGCATCTAGAGAACAGGAGGGGGGAAGTGGCAGCCAGGAAGGAGGAGCTGGAGTCCCTCTTCACTGTGCAGAAGGCACCCAGTGCAAAGGTAAGCAGTAACTGGGAGGGAGTTGGGTCCATATGTCTTCATTATAGGGAGTCAGCTAAGGTGTGCCTTTGGCCTGATGGTCTCACGTTCAAAACTCCTACAGTGGTACCTCGGGTTACAGACGCTTCAGGTTACAGACTCTGCTAACTCAGAAATAGTACCTCGGGTTAAAAACTTTACTTCAGGATGAGAATAGAAATCACACAGCGGCAGCGGGAGGCCCCATTAGCTAAAGTAGTACCTCAGGTTAAGAACAATTTCAAGTTAAGAATGGACCTCCAGAACAAATTAAGTTCTTAACATGAGGTACTACTGTATTGTGTTCAAGCACTGTTGCTTTTCACATTACGGCATCATTGACACACGGATAAGGTGGGGTAGGGGAGGCAAGTGCTTCTGACTTGCCCTTCAGCTTTTACCTGCCTGCCTTGCCCTGAAGACCTGTGGGGCTGCAGATCTTCTGCCAGGGAGAGGAGCCCTGCCTCCCCACTGCAGTGCCTCAGTGGCCTTGGGACCATCTACCTGCTGGACCTGCCAAGACCCCTTGTGGGATTCTTTGGCTGGAGTCCTGGGGACGTGGCCTTTCATAAGAAGCTGTGACAAAGGTGTGCAGGCTTCCTTCCCTGTGTTCGCTAGAGCAACTGCCTATTGCTTCTTCAGCTGATGCCATAATCCAGGCAGTGCTTCTGGGGCAGTGTGGTGCTCAGCAGGGATGCAGGTTTTACTATGTGCATCAGTGATTCCACAGTGTTTTTGTGGAAAGGGAGAAAATGCCTTCAGTTTCCACATGCAGCAACTTTTTAAACATTTTGTTGCTGTTAGAGTCATATAGAATAGGAGAATCCACGAGCACAATCCACAAGTCTTTGATAGATAAAGATTATAAGCCTATGATGGCTCCTCAGTTCACCCTGCCTCTAGTACCCAGCCCGACTTTTGTGGGTTCTTTGCATGAGGAGCACTTTTAGTCAAGCAATGTGCTTTTTTATGTGTGTGAGAATTTTTTTTATTATATGTGCTTTTGTGGTTGTAAGCCCCTTGGAGACACCTTAGTAGAATGGGACGAGTAAATGTGATAATCATAATAGAAACAACAATAGCACACCTTGGTGTGTCTGTGACGTGTTATTAAGAAATTGTACATATTTATTGGCCCATCAAGCAATCGTACACCTGTTTGGTCAGAAGTGGGAGGGAACAGAGTCCGCTGGGGCCAGGAGTGAGTACAGCTGTAGTCTCCTAAAAGCTGCATCAGACAAAACCAAATCCACCTGGGAAGAGATCCTTGTGTCAAATGAAAAGGTTCATAGAATCCACCCTTGGGCTGACCCAATAAAAACACACCTATTTTGCAATTGTGGACTGAGGGCAGGAGGGTTGCAGAAGAGGAAACTGGATGATACTTCTACATCTCCAGTTCATTTCCTTTGCACCAGACTCTTGTAAGGTGGAGAAGGCACAAAATCTATCTAGCTATCTATTCCAAATGGAAGTTTCATTTTGAAGTCGTACCAGGTAAGGATGTTAGTTCAGTTTCTCCTCCATCCTGTTACTGACATGTGGTTTTGAAACATGATGTGGTGGCGGATCAGAACCAGGTTCCATCTCACATGTTTGCTTTTGACTCAGGGGTGGTTTTTGTTGCGTTTGGCTTGCAAGAAACTCATTCAGAGGAATAATCAGCTCTAAACTGCATTCTCTTCTCTTCTTCCTTCCCCTCCATTCTTTAGATTCCCATGAAAGAAAATCTCCTGAGACGGACCCCAAGCCAACTAAAGTTTGCCTTAAGAGGTTTGGATAGCATACTTCTAGCTGTAGGTACAGTGGTGCCCCGCAAGACGAATGCCTCGCAAGACGGAAAACTCGCTAGACGAAAGAGTTTTCCGTTTTGGAGGTGCCTCGCAAAACGAATCTGCTATGGGCTTGCTTCGCAAGACGAAAATGTCTTGCGAGTTCCTGGTTTTTTTTTTTCCTTTCCCCCCTCTTTTTCTAAGTCACTAAGCCGCTTATCTGCTTATCCGATAAGCTGATAAGCTGCTAAAAGCCGCTAAAAGCCGCTAATAGCGCTAATAGCGCTAATCCGCTAATCCCGTCAATGGGCTTGCTTCGCAAGACGAAAAAACCGCTAGACGAAGAGACTCCCAGAACGGATTCTTTTCGTCTTGCGAGGCACCACTGTACTGCCTAAATCTAGCTGTGGGGGCAGGCATCCAAGAGATTTTCTAGGAAAGACTGAGCTGTGTGTTCCGGTTTTGCTCTAGACTCTGTGGCTTTCAGGCGTCCAATGCCAATGCTGGTAGAGCAGCAGGAAGTTGTGGATCCCCCTTGCAGTGACGGAGGAGGAGGAGGAGGCCTCCCAGGCAAGGCCCAGCTCCACCAGGAAGGCATAAGTGCTGTCAGAGCAGGGCAGATCTCTCAGGTGGGTTAAGAAACTCCATTTCCTATGCAGGCAGCAGCTGGGTATGTGGAATTTGAACAGTGGTAATCAAGAAGATAGGTTTTTTGAGAAAGCAACATGATAGAACAACTTGCTAGAGACTAGAGAGGTGGGCTTGTTTTGTTAATTATTAAAATGTAAGATATAGAAATGGAGGACAAGCAAAGGAAATATTTTGTAATGTGTAATAATGAATAAAAGAGTGAATTCCCCTCCTCAATCCATTGCATGTCTTTTCAGGGTGGATTTGAGTCTTTCATGGCCCAAATTGGGCAAAAGGTGTAAAACATGTATCCCCAAACTGGATATTAGATTTTTTTTGGGGGGGAGGACTGTTCTCTTCTGCATAATTAAGGTTTCCATCACTCTGTCCCCCACCGGGCCATAACAGACTATTCTTAAAAGGGTACCTCATTTATTCACCCCAGCTGATAACCACCACCCCATCTTTGAACTTCCATAGACCACAGATTCTGCCTTTGGGAAAGTTCTCAGAAGACACCATGGTGGTATTTTAAAGATGTTTTTGTCCTTAGCCATGAGGGCTAGAAATGCAGACATTTCAGACGCTTTAAGTTTAGTGTGTGTTTTGGTTCTCCAGTCAAATCTCTTATCTATCTTGGGCAAGCAGTCCTAAAGGGTGGGGTAGAGAGATGATTGCCACTTATTCTCCTTCTCAGCCTGCAGAAAACAGCAGAACACAGGTGCCGCCACCACCACCAGCAACAGCTGCCACTGCTGCTGATGGGCAAAAGCCCTCGGTCAAGTTTGAGTCGCACAAGAGCAGCACGGGCGCTTTGTACATGGAGGGTGAGTTCTTCCAGCACCTTCTGTCTTGTGGCAGCTCTTGCCATGCACTGTGCTGTGGAATGGAAAGGTGGGCAGGAGGGTGCAGGCACACCATCTAGGGAGGGGCAGCCCCCACCCCAAAATGTAAATGTGCAGGCCAGGCCCCCTCAAAGTTCCACACTGTCTTAACAACAGGCTAAATGAAGACCAGGCTCCATGGGCTGTTGTTGTGGTTGGGCTGGAGAAAAAAGATGGGCAGAAGGCCAGCAGCCCCTTGGGCTGAGGCCATGGACCTCTGCAGGCTACTTTGCTTAGTGAGTTGGGGTTGTTGTTGTTTTTAATTGATAAAGCCAGCAGTCAAATAACAACAGCAATGACAGATGGACCAATAATTCGCCTGAGGGTGGGGTGGAGGGGAAGAGAAAAGAGGAGAGCCATTCAGGGGCAGGAGAGCTGTATGTTGATCCACATACTATAAGCCTCTTTTCCAGCATGCTGCACACAACAAGCTCTTTCCCAGGGGACTTTGCAGAAGGAAACACAAGTGGCCGTGTAGAGGAAGGTCAGGTCCTGTGAGGCCTCCTCAGTCTCTGCCTTGTGGTGCTGCCCTTTGGTTGTGCTGTTTTCCTTAAGGACCTTGAGTACAGAAGTAGAAATGGAAGAGGGGGGGGGAAGCAAAGAGGAAGTGCTGTGGCAGAGGATGCTAAAGACATAGGTTTTTTCCCAGTGCTATTGCTGCTCAGAGTAGACCTATTAAAATTAATGGGCCTGACCAACTGAGGTCTGTTAATTTAAATGGATCTGCTTCAAGTAGGATTTAGCTGGATACGTCCAACAACAGCAACAAATTTCTTCGAATGCATCAGTAGCAGGACACCCATCTCAGCAAGCAGTTGGACCATTGGATGGCCAGGGAGTCTGAGATGTTCTAAAATAAGGAAGTTGCAGTGAAGCCCAGTAGATCCTTGGTTTGTTCCTCAAGTGGACTGACCAGCCCCACGGTCACAGGGAGACTCTCTTCCTCCCATACATCTTTCCTGCCCTCCTCATGTTGGAAATCCTCAGGGGGCCAAGTTTTGATCACATGACCAGGAAGCCAGCGTTGTGTGCATCCCTGTCCTTGTGCCTTACTCTGTTTCTGTTTTCCTCTTCTTCCACAGCTGATGGAGAGTTCTGGCTCAAGAGAGTGGCTCAGAAACAAGAGAAGACCCTCTTGCAGTTCCAGTCCATAAACCCCCCTCCTCCTCCTCCCTCCCCACTCATGTCTGAGACCAGCGATTAACCTCTAGGCCTGGCTTGAAGTGAAAAGGCAGCGGGGGGGGAGGGGGCATGTGTAGGCAGCAGCCTACCGTAGAAATGGATTTTTATTCCCCTTATGGGGATCCCTGGTTGCTCTTCTTGGACTTGGAATCATTAAAATCCCAGCTCTTCCACTTTCCTGCCTGTGTGGCCTTGTCTCCAGAGGAAAAGTCCATGAGAATAGCTTCTTATCACAGCGCAAAGGTAGGAAGCGTGGTCACACCTTAGGATCTTCCACTTCATCAGGTGCATGAAGTAGCCTGAGGAGAACACTGGAGAATAAACCAAACTTGAAAACTGAGAATGAAATGTGTTTGGTAGACTAAGCTCACAGCAAAGGGGTGGGCGGCGGGCGGGTATCTGCTTTTGTCAAGGGAGAAGTCACACTCCGGCAGTAATTATCATTAAACCCTCAGAAACGCAGTTGCATGTGTTATTCTGCTCCAGTTCTGCAGAGTGTGCACTTCTCTCCCACCTTTGTCTTCTCATAGTTGATTGGTCTGAGTCTTGCAAGTGAGTCCACAAAAGTCACTAGCCCATGGAAAATGTTAGTAGCCCAGTCTGCCCCATCCTACCTGTTTGAATCGCTTGTGGCGCATGGGTGGCCTGAAAGGAATAAAAAGGGAAATGACCAACTCTTACTAGCTTATTTCAAAAATGTCTTTGCCTGGAAGACCCCTTTTTCTCCACAGACGACCAGAGGACACAGTGGCTGTTGAAAAGCCTGGTTTAGTGTAGATGCAACCTATACTCTAACCCAGTTGTAGTGCAGAAATGTAGTTTTTCCTCAATCCAGAGTCATTTACGCTTGTCCTCAACATACCACTTTCGATCTAGATTGATCCTAGCATGATCCGATCCTGCCGTCCGCAAGGGTGAGTGTGGCTGTTTGATACACATTTGGAAATGCTCCCCCTGATTAGGTTATGCACGCCTTTCCCTCTTTGCACGTGTCCCAGGAAGGAAGAGGGGGTGGCAGTCCTGCTATATGGCCACCCACCATTTCACTGAGCCAGTAGGACTGCCTACATCGGTTTGCAAGTGGACACACTGCGGAGTAGCACAAAATCAATCTGCAGTGAGCTTTTATTTTTGGAATGGAACCAGTTTCTCAAGAAGTGCTTTTCAGGGGCAGGGCAAAAAGTATGTGATTGATCTATATTGTGGGTGGGCTGCATAGAAAAAGCACGCACTCGGTTTCCATTGATTGTAGGATAAAATTCTTGCATAAGGCAATGAATTAACACAAAGCAGGTGAAGCCAGGTTTTGTTTCTCCCTGCTGCTCTGAGAAGTAGGAAATTCAGGGAGGAGACTAGGAACATCTTGAGGTTTTAGAAATAATGACCCTCTTCTCTCATGGCTTAGGATGGAGGTGCAGGCTCCCTGGGAGGAGATGACAGCCACTTTGCTCTTCCCTGGTTTGTTCTTGGGTGCAGCTTGTGACTGAGGTGGAGAGAGCAGAACCACCAACCTAAGCTTGGATGACAACCTGAGCTAAGCCATGGTTTACTGAGGAGCCACAAAGTGGGTGAGAGCTCCTGGAAGGGGCAGGCAGGACGGTCGCATAGTTTGGCTTACCATGTCACAATGTGAACCAGTGCATTTTAAAAACGACCATTGTGTACAAATGGACAGGGAGGCCTTTCTTGGCTCCAGCCCTGCCCTGCCCATCCAAACAACTGTTTCTGTTGACATTTGCACTGCATGCTATATTCCAAGCATAGTCCCATGACAGAATTGTCCAAGAATATTGAGCTGCTGACGGTTCTATTTTCAGTGCTTTCCCAGGCATCCTTTGGAATTTGCCTTTTTCATCACTGGCACTGGAGCTCAAGTTCTCCTTCCGGTGTGTGTGTGTGTGTGTGTGTGTGTGTGTGTGTCTGTCACCTCCAGTTCAGATCCTTATACAGTGGTACCTCAGGTTAAGTACTTAATTCGTTCCGGAGGTCCGTTCTTAACCTGAAACTGTTCTTAACCTGAAGCACCACTTTAGCTAATGGGGCCTCCTGCTGCCGCTGCACCGCTGGAGCACAATTTCTGTTCTCATCCTGAAGCAAAGTTCTTAACCTGAAGCACTATTTCTGGGTTAGTGGACTCTGTAACCTGAAGCGTATGTAACCTGAAGCGTATGTAACCTGAAGCATATGTAACCAGAGGTACCACTGTATATATGAAGTTTCCCCAAATGGGCATCACTACATGGAATGGAATCAAATGGTATTTGCCCCTTTTCATTTCCTGCTCAACTCTTTTGGAGCTCTTTGTGACCCCTTTCGGCTTTTTTAACCACCCTGAACAATCTGCCAACTCAACCCCCTCATCCTGCCCCCCAAACTCCAGATCATTTGGGAACAAGTTGAAAGACCCTTGCTGGGGGAAAGAGCTTGATATCCTGCCCCCTGGCTCCCATCCAAGCACCTATTTTGGCCTTGGCGGAAAGGTTTTCAGAAGAGGCCAAACCTTTGCTCCATGCTGGGGATTCTTTTGGCAGCCCTGCTAAAGCGAAGCCGTTGTGGACAGAGGCCCCTCTTGTCTCCCTCCCTCCAAGTTGCTGCTTCTAATCCCCCCCCCCCCCGTGCTTTGGTCTCTTGGCATCAGACAGGACTGTCTGTTGCAAATGAGACTTCAGTTGGTTCCTCATTCTTGATTTGTGGCCTCTCTAACTCCTTGTTCAGTTCAGTGATCCAAGTAACTTTGGACAAATAACGTTTGACAGTCCAGCCAAAAAACCAAACGCCAAAATACCCCATACGCCAACAGTTCTGGCAACCCTGGGAAGATTCCCATGCATAACCATTTTTGACAGTTGCCATTTTTTATGTGCTGGGGTAAAAAAGGTACCTAGTTGTGCTGTGATGGAGTTAACGTCCCTGACCAGAGGTCCTGGCAAATGATTTATGCTATTCTTGGACTGGAGAAGGAGGAAGCAGGTTATCCAGGTAGAAGGCAGGTTATCAAAAACGGCCTGCTAACTGGCCCTTTTCTGTTGCTTCCCAGGCTCTGAGGGACAAAGTCCTCACTGCTTGCTGGGGGTTCTCTTGGCAACGCTACCCTTCTGAGGAAAAGAACCTTTTCCCAGGACTCCTCCCCCTCAAAGTTGTTAATTCTCCTTGTCTTCTCCCTCCCTTCCTTCCTCCCTCCCACTGGCTTCCATCCATGCTAGTCAGACAGTCCCAGTGCAAAAAGGCTTCCCTGCAGCTTCATCCCTTCGTTCCTTGGAGAGCAGGCGGGTTCTTCTACGGGACGCTCACTTGCCTCGTCTGAAGGTAGGTTCCAGGTGGCCCCTCCGTAAGTGCCCCTTTGCTTGGCGACAGTTGTTTGGGGAGGCTGGTGTGATCTGCTTGAATTTGGGGTCCTCAGGCTTGGCTGCTAGTTTGTTTTTAAATATAAACCTGCTTTCTGCAAGGAGGTAGCTGTGCAAATCCAAGGTCTGGCCTTTGGAACAAGGCAGCAGCACAGGGGGCTGGGGAAGTGGGATGCTGGTCTGATGACCCGGAGTTTCCCTTGACACCAGTATGAAAACCCTTCTCTTCCAGGCACTCATGAGGTGAGTTGCTGTTGGCCTCGGTTTCCCATCTGTGAAATGGAGTGAATAGTGGGACTATGGCCTAGTAAGGCTTTGTGCACTGTCCAGCATTTTAAAACAGGAGTTGCCAGACTATGGTCCATGGACCCCACCAGTGGTGTGTAAGCTTCATCCAGGGGGTCTGCAGCAGGTCTGCAAAAATTCGGTTTTTGCTTCTAGCACTGGTTGGCACATGACAATTGCTACAACAGGTAGAAAAATCACACTTAGTCCTTCAAGACCATCAGGTGCTTCTCAAGTGGTCTGTGGGTGGAGAAATGTTTGGGAACCGTAGAATTTCAGAGTTGAAAGGGACCCTGGGGGAATATGCAGCTGTCCCTCACAGGGATCGAACCTGCGACCTTGGCATCATCAGCACCATGCTCTAACCAAGTTTGTAAAATTATGCATAGTGTGGAACTTGCTGCTGCAGGAGACAGTAATTGCCACCAACTTGGAAGGCTTTAAAAGAGGATTAGCCAAATCCATGGAGGAGGAGAGGGCTATTGGCGGCTGCTAGCCAGGATGGCTCTGCTCTGCCTCCACAATTGGAGGCAGCCATGCTTCTGACTACCAGTTGCTGGAAGCCACAGGAAAGGAGAGTTCTCTTGTGCTTGAATCCCGTTTGTGGGCTTCCAGCAGTCATCTGGTTGGCCCCTGTGAGAACAAGATACTAAACTAGATGGGCTTTGGTCCTGCTCTAGCAGGCTCTGCCTAATTTCCTATTCTTGATGCTCATTGCTGCACATCAATCTGATGCCAATCGTGGTTGCAGGAGCAAGCGAAGCTCTTGTTTTTCTGGGCAGCTGGCAACTCCAAAGAATGCAGTAAAAAGGCAGTGTCAGGAAGCTGTGCCTAAAAGATGGAGGGAGTTTCTAGGAGACACACAGTGGCATGTCGGCCAGGCCAAAAGGAAAGCAAGAGATGCTGCGGGCGGGTTGGTGGAGCAGAGCAGGCGGGAGAATTTAAGGGACGCAGAGCGGGTTATCCAAGGGGCTGTCTAGAAACCACTCCAAGTGCCCTTGTCTGGCTGAAGGGTGTGTGTGTGTGTGTGTGTGTGTGTGTGTGTGTAGAAAATGAGTCTCTGGAGACAGAGAGGAAAGGGAAGCTCCCAGGTGAGACAAGAGAGCTTTGTATTTCTTCTTCTTTCTTTTTGTTGGATTTTTTTTTCCATTTTTATTTAGATTAATCTGTTTTTATTGTATTCTATGCTGAATAGTTCCATTAAAAATAAATGTATACACCCCCACACACACAAAGACTGAGCTGAGATGATAAGGAGCTACCACTCAGTAGGTCATGCCATGTGTCCCTTGATCCCAAGCTGGTCTAAGTGAAAGTTTGAATCCCTGCGATGGGATGAGCTCCCTTTGCTCTGTCCCTACTCCTGCCAACCTAGCAGTCTGAAAGCACGTCAAAGTGCAAGTAGATAAATAGGTACTGCTCCGGCAGGAAGGTAAACGGCGTTTCCGTGCGCTGCTCTGGTTTACCAGAAGCAGCTTAGTCATGTTGGCCACATGACCCGGAAGCTGTATGCCGGCTTCCTCGGCTAATAAAGCGAGATGAGCACCGCAACCCCAGAGTCGGCCACCACTGTACCTAATGGTCAGGGGTCCCTTTACCTTTACCTTTACCTTTACCTTTATCTTTACCTTTACCTTCTTTGGGGAAAGAGCCCTGAAGCCCCATGTTTCCCTCCCTATTCATTCTTCCTCTAATCAAATGTCTCCACCTTCAGCTCTGCCCACCTGTGGCAGAGAGTCAGAAAACCAGATAATTGGACAATCCTTTGACCTATACAAAAGGAGCCGTGACCTTTCCAATGTGTATCATTCAGTACTTACTGAAATAAAAAGAAATGAGCAGGAACGCAACGTTTTACTTGTGTGTCGTTTGATTTTTATATGAACACTAAACAGGGAAAAGTAAAATAAAAGATATAAGCATGTCAAGAAACCCTAAGTGTGCTGCTCAGAGCTGGAGAGGGAAAAACTGGGGGAAAGACCCTGCAGGATAAGGCAGAGAAAGAAGGAAAGGAGGTGGGAGGGGATCACCCACAACACAGCTCCAGGGAAAGCATGCAGAGTCCCGTTCAGGAACTATTTTAGGACATGTTCAGAACAGGAATATTTTTTTCTTTGAGTTTGCCATGGATTGACTTTGCTCTGTTTCATGGATTGACTTTGCTCTGTTTTCCTGGGGAAAGGAGCAGGACAAAAAAATAAATAAAAAACCCCAATCAGACTCATCATAATAGATTGATACAAAATACTAGTAATCATGGGACACAGGCCAGTGTGGATGGGCCCAGAGCCCTGCTTCGTAGCCCACCTGATCTCTCTCCTTCCCACCCACCTTTCTTTGTATCCTGCCTTTCTGCAGCTTTCAGCAATCCACAAAAGCAATAAAATTCACCAAATCATAATAAACCACAAGGATGAAAATAGCCATTGGCAAATAAAAGCAACAGCTGAAGAAGGATCTTGAGTCCCTGCGAGACTTGGAAGGACCCACAAGATGAGGATGGGTGTCCAGGGAGGAGACCCATAGAATGTGGCCACCTGCAAGAGTTTCACCCTCAGGTCCCCACCGCAGTCTGACACAGGATGGTTGAGAACACTGTCCGGAAAGGCTGCTATAATAGTTCCTCCTCCTGCCTATTCAGATAGTGGCCAAAGGCACCAGCAGCTGTCAGTTTCTACCTAGCAAGCTTCTCCCCAGAGCTCTTCTTTCCTTGCAGGTATGGAGCTCGACACCTGTGTGGAGGAAGGCCAGGGGCCTGCACATCTTCCAGAAAGCAGCAACGGCATTTCCAGAGCTCAAACTTCGCCGGGGAAGGCGCTGGAGAGGCTCCAGAAGAACCGGAGGAGAAAGATCAGCCACTCCTGCGTTAGAGGCAAGGGTAGGTCCTGGTAGGTGGAAGTGGGCTGGGGGCTGGCCTGGAAGCACATTGCAAAAGGGGAGCTGGGGCAAGTGGAGTCCAGGTTAGCAGAACCCTGGCAGGACTTTGCAGAGCCAAAGTAAAATCCCCTGCTCCATTTCAAGTGTTGCGTTTCTAAGGGTGTACACTCGGCGTCTTGTAAGGCAGAAAGCTTGCTGCTAAAAAGATTCTTACAAAGACCCTTGTTTCTTCCCTCCCTCCCTCTCTCGAGGCTGAAGAGCTACTGCCAGGCAGAGAGCAGACAATGTGCTGGAGTAGATGGAAGGCATAAAAGGGTCCATGGAAAAGGACCAAGTGAGCAGGGGCTGCAGGAGACCCTGCAGGAGACAAACACTAGGTTTGATGATGGACCTGTTGGCTGCCCGCCCCCCGCCCAGTACCCTGCCCCATAGAAGTTTCCGTAAAGCCAGCATTAGCAGTGCGTGAAATCAAGCTGTGACTGTTTGTGATCTTTCCGGCATCGGGGAGTTAGAAAACAGGCACTGGTGAATATTTGTATGCTCACAGATGAGTAAATAATCACTATAATTCTAAAAAATTGTTAATGTACGTGCATGCACACACCCACACCACTTAAATGTGGTGCACACCCACAGACACACGCTGGCGGTGCAATTTTGTACTTTGCCTTCAAGGCGGGGTGTCTCTCTCTCTCTCTCTCGCTCTCTGTTGTGGGCAGGTGCAGATTGGCTTTCAAATCCACCAATGGGCATCAGTGGTGCCTTTTGTCCTGTTCAAATAGTGGCGGTTAGGCCCCAGCAGCTGCTTCCTCCTCGGAGGAAATGACTTTGAAGCCTCTTTGAAGCTGCCTGGCTCAGCCCAGTGACTGGAATAGCAGGTGCCTCCAGTAGGAGAGAGTGGAGGAGCCGGGGTGCTCGGCTGGATGGGGGGGGGATGGAGAACGGAACTGCCCCCCGAGCCTCCCTCTGTGTCAGGTCAGTCGACCAGCTGGAGCCTCCCTGCTATGTGAAAACCTTTGGTGAGTTGGGGTGGGGAAGTGTGGCGCTTGTTGCTGTGGCTGCAGAGCTTGTTGCCAGCAGGAGTCCCTTGTTCTGGCAGGCAGGAGGGGAGTGTGGTGGGAGGTGCTGCTGTTGGTGTCTCTGTATCAGGTGTCAGGGGATGGAGCCTGTGTGCAGCCCTTGCAGCAGAGGCAGGCTGTGGCAATGCTCCCGCCTGCCTGTCTGCCTGCCAGGGGCAACGGCAGGAACTCTCCTGCTCAGTTGCCCTCCGTGTGTGCTCAGTGGGTGGGGAGTGTACCTCTAAGCAGGGAGCTGCAGCCGCTCATAGCTCCCCTTCACACGTGTACACACAGCAGTGTCTGTGCTCACGTTACCTTCCTGTGTGGCACGCATGGGAGGGCTCATGCCATTTCCTCACTGCTGTGCCAGGACTTTGCGGTGACCCCCTGCGAATCTGCACCACGTCAACCAATGGGATTTACTTCCACGTAGAAAGTGGGATAATTTGTGCAATCTCTAGGTCAGGTGTCTTCGTCCTTTTCAGACCCAGGGCCTGTTTTTTACCAAAACATGCATTTGGGGACCAATTTCTTAACCTTTTATGGGAGTTGTAGTCCAAAAACAGCTGGAGGCCCAAGGTTGGGAAATGCTGCTCTAGACTACCAGTCAGTTTCTAGCAAGAGAGGTGCTGGGCTGAAGCTTGTGTCCTCTGATCTGTGGGGATCTCCTTAATGTTAATTTTAAAGGCAGGAGCTCTCTGCAGGCTAAGAGGACCCTCTTTTGTTTAGTACATCTTCAGAGCTTACCTTTTAGAATTAGTTTAACCATGACTGGCTAAATGGAGCCTCCATGTCCAGAGGCTGTCTACCTTTGAATACCAGTCTGTTCCAGCAGCGAGGATCTTCTTACACTCATGTAACCAACTCTTGGCTCAGAATTCAGTCTTGCAGATGGAAACGGATTTGAGCCTGGACAGGACTGGACTCACCCCTGGCAGAGGCACTGCTTACAGGGGGAGCTAAAGCCACATGAAATGTGAAACAGGATGTCCTTTAGCTCTGGTGCAGATGTAGGTACTCTAGCCTTGTCTGTTGTTATTTATGATTCCACGTCTGCTTTCCTGGAGTTCAGTACAGTATTAAACACATGGGATTCAGCATCCCATGAACTGGAGCACTTGCTTGAAAGCCACACATGAGTCTCTGGCCTCTGTGCTTATGAATATGGGCTTCTAATGGTGCCCCTAATATGGAATTTCTCATGCTCCTTTCCCTGCCCCGCTGGCTTTGTTTCCTGGGAGGGGATTGTGCTCCTGGCAAATTCTTCCTTTCTAGGCCTGGTGGTTGGCTGGCAGGATCTGCCAGACACGCTTGGCTGGGTCAGGCCCATTCCGCTTTCACAGCAGGCCCTTTGTTCTGTTGACTGGCTTGTTCCCACAACTTCTGAACTCAGAGTATACCCCACTAGTGAATGAGAAGAATCCAAGATGTGGCAGGCCTTCCAGAGGGGCCGCAGACTGGC